ATTTCCTCCATGGCTAACAGCTTGGATCTCATAAAGATGTGGATGATGTTCAGCTCAACACCAGTTTGCTCAGTATATTGGAAGTGTTAAAGTTCAATAATCTTTTAGCCCTTCCATAAGAGGTATGAGAGTTTTGAGCTTCTAGTCCTTTGTTCCTCTTCGTTACGGAAGAAATAAAATGGAAAATGTTCAGAAGAACATCAGACAGAGAGAGCTATATAGTATAAGTGAGATTCCACGGGTAATGCTAATAATTCTACTTATGAATGAGAAAAAAAGAAAATTGTTTGAAAAATAATTTTTGAAAATTCAGGAGAAAGTAGCTGAATGAAGTGATCATAGAATAAGAAGGAACATACAAAAAAAGATTTTAACATGTTTTCTAGAGTGAAAACAGATGGGAAAAAGCAGTAAAATACATGATTTATATCTAATAAACACATGTCAATAATGGAATTTTCTGAAAAAAGGAAGGAAATATCATTATTACTAAACCTTTTCATTGCTAAACTCAACTAAGTTATTTAAGTACAAAAGAGGCGGAAAGTTGCTTAGAAGTTTTTAAGGCCAAGTTTGAATTGATTCTTAATGGCTCGAACAAAGCTTTCAACTCAAATTTGTCAATCACAACTTTTCAAATTTCTTTGGTTGAACTAAAGAAAGTCCTTTCTATCTCTCTCAATCTCTCTCTCTCTCTCTTGTTACTTCTATCTCTCTCTCTCTTAGTCATTCATTCTATTTTTGGGTAAACAAAGAAAAAAAGAAATTATCAGTCTAAAGCTATAGATAGACTTCTGACAACAATTTTAACTTTCAGTTAAAACTTAATAAAAAGAACATAACAACTGCTAAATGGAAAATGCGAATTGTAATCTCAAATTAATAGCTTTCCTTACAAATCTGTTTAGCAAAGATTGTAAGCTTCGTATTTTGTGCAATAAAAAAAAACAAAATTCTTATTGGTGTAGCGTTAAAGAGGAAAAAACGCGTGAAGAGCTATAATGGGAGTTTGTCGAATGCGCTAAGCTTTTATTAAAAGCATTGAACAGAATTGTGCTGAACTAATCATTCAAAATCTTGCAAACAATATCTGTCTCTTTCAGATATGTTTATAACGTTTTCGATAGACGATTCATTTCCAAATTCAGGATTAGATGAGATTTGGTTTTGTTAGTTAGACGAAAGATTGATGATGATCAAGATCTAGAATAGTTGGTCCAAAAACTGAGCTCAAAGTAGGATATAGAAGTACATGCAGGTTACTATTCGTAAAGAAACCAGTTTGACTTCTCAAAAAATGCTCAAAGTTTCATGTGGAAACAGTGTTTAAAGACATAAAAGAGAACAACTGTCTTTTGACCTGTCACATCTATATGTCAGTCATTGCAGAGAGCTGACATCAAAAAACCAACTATCTCAAACTGCAATTGGTTCACACTACATAAGAATCTCTCAAAAATGCAAAAGTTCTTCGTAACGTAATTCATTTGCATGAAGTACATGAAAATCTATTCTTACACTTCTGTTAGTTCCTTGTATGTAAGTGATAGTGCGAAAGAACGCTGAACGTCTCGGATAGAACCTATTCTATTGTGAGGTAAGGAAAATATATTCATCGTTTTAAACGTTATGTAGTAACCTAGATTTGAAGAAGAGCTGTACACACACATGGAAAAGGAATCTATTTTTATACAAAATGAGAATATAACAGCCTTTTAAAGATTCAAAGATCTCATCGTATCGCAATGTGCATACCCCAAGCTCATTTATTAGCACTTATGAGCACTTAAAACTAATATATAAACAAACAAGACGTGTTCAAAAAAAATATCGAAATAGGTACAGTATTGTTCTCTTGCAACGCATGACTTGTTCCTTACAAGCTTCATGATTAGCAGAATTGAAAAGCAAAGGTATGTTTCGCAGAATGTGGGATTTGTTCATATTGAACGCTTCAAATTACAGTTTATATTCAATGCGATCAACCATCAACAAACAAATCAACCAAGTTCCAAGAAGAACAAAACAAAACTCGAACCATTTCCAGAGAAGGCTACAATTCCCATGAAAAAAAGGTACATAAGAATCAACTAGAACTTTCATCAGCCTACTATTGAGTATCGTGAGCCTTTTCAAAACAAGGAAAAACACCTACAAGTGACATGAAGGCTCAACAACTTAAACAAATTGGTATTTATCGAGAAAACTTAACTCAATGAGTTATGAGACATGTAAGCAGGGAGAGCTGATGCCACCACAAAAAGAAGAGGAGAGTCATCGAAAACTTGAAACGCATGTCACTTATATCTAAGATCCCTGAACTCGAGAAAACAGAATAGAGCTCTCTCCATTACTAAGGTGTGGTTGATAGGAGCTATAGTTGACGACTCCGCGATTCCTAACTTCACATGTATTTCAGTCGAGCGCAGGAAAAAAAATTGACTCTTTCAGAATCTAGTTAAACACTAGTTTCACGTATCAATTCCCAACACGACTGTAAAAGTAAGCAGTATGTCTGTGTGATGACTGGAGATCAGAACGATAACTTCTAGAGTACAGGGTATTTTACACATACCATGCACGCAACTAATCAGACATGAACATCATTTGATCAAAATTATGGGTTCGTACCCAATTTTGTTGGGAAAAAAACAATTTTATCATTCAAAGATGAAATAAGATTGTTTTTTTCTGTCGGCTACCTACTCCTAACTGCCAGTCGAAAACGGAACTTATTGTACCAATAGCATTGACATTGCAAAGACCATTCAAAAAACTATACGAACGATATAATTTTTACATTCAAACATTCCCAAAAAAACTAGTAATAAAGGTGGTGCTCGTCCGATACTGATAGCTTCCCACGTTTGCATTACTACACATTGCCAAACTTGAACGAAGCACTTAAGATACCTCTCTAAGAAGAACCAAAAAATCCAAAACTCATTACAAAAAAATAAATGTCAGAGAACTGGGAACTTTATGTTATATTTGTTTAGAATCTCTATGACCAGATAAGCCAACAATTAACGCTAAACTACGGAACCTACAAGATATAGAGAAAAGTAATAAATGCGCTCTAATGTTAAAAAACAAATAGTGTGTGTATAATTATATATGAAAACTGAGACTCCCGTGATAATCAAAGTGTAGTTTGTCTTCCACTTATTAACGGAATACGTTTGTTACCAACTTTATCTCAAAGACCTATTCATCGCTCAGACAGACTGTTTTTGATCTTCTGTTGTTTTCTGTATCATGCAATTTTTGTTCGATTTTAAGAAAATAAAAGTTCTAAACACTTCAACTGAACCATCCCTGTTCTCTTCCTCAGAAATGTGATCCGGGCAGCACTTTTCTGGAGGATCTTAACTCATAAAGAGAAATATTTCTTTTTAAAGTAAGCAGGAGTCATTTATGAACTATTTATACATCGATACTTGTACAACACATGTTTTGTGACAAGTTTCAGTCGATTTCGCACAATCATTCTGCTTATTGAATGTGTAAGGAAAGGCTGAAAAGATCTCGTGTGAAAAAAAAACAGTTCAAACAGATTACCGAAAAAGCAAATCTCATTCATTCGCTTCTTGTACGCAGGGATAAGTCTCAGCATCCAAATGCACGCTGGTATAGGGAATATACTCATCACCAATATCGCTACGACCGGAACAACTAAAACAACTTATATTTGAGTTGATGAACCTAACCCACTTTCCGAATGCACATTGAGAATTACTGATAATATGATAACTGCAGGAGGTAGGCCTATACCTACCAACTGTGATAAGTTCTTAAGTAATGGCTATTATTCTATCAAAAAATCAAGCTCGTACTATTTTCAAAACAGCTAATGTCAGTTTCTTATGGTTTTCTGAATTCCTTGACCTTGTGTGAACCCGATATCTCAAACTCCAAATCAGGTATATAGTACATGTCATCCCGACAGTTGCAGCGCAGGAAAAAGAGAGCATGCCGAGGTATAGGAGCGTGCGGAGCACTTCATCTGTTTCTATGTTCAACACTATGGTCTCCGGCAGAAAAAACGTAGGAGGAGGGTGACTGTCAAATTTCTCGAAGGAAAATGAAATAAAATATGTAATCTAAAGTTAGGAACCTTCATACAAATGCGGCGGTTTTCGTCTGAGATTTGGATGGAGAGGGCTAATGGTAGCCCGATAAAAACATTCAAAAGGGAACCCACACAATAAGCGATGATTAGAAATGTTTTTCGTCGTTTACTCAGATACACTGAGATTGTTAACGCTCTCAGCAGACATATTAATACGTTCGAATAACCGCCTACTTCAAAACAAACATTTAGATCTTGAAGAATGAGATGATTTCAACCTCCGAAGAGAAAGATTCCGCATATAATCTGATAGAACGAACCAATACCAAAATATTGTAGAATCCCATGTGGATAAAAAGCAACACAAGGTAGAAAAAGAGTTGGGGTGAAGCCCAGTGTCAGATATGTTTGAGCGCAGCAATAACTAGACAATTTTTGGTGATTACTGTTAATAACTGGTAACCTTACGTTACTGAGGTCGCGATTATTGAAAATCGGAACGACGCGCTCAGCTGAACAGGCACAGTCTTGAATATATATACGGACAAGACGAAAGTCAGGAAGCCAACTACGAATAATGACCTCATAGTTATGATATAAATATCCATCAAATCTACAACTTGTTCCATCGATGTAAAAAAACAGGACAGTTTCGTTTTTGACAGCTTCAAAGAGTCGACTGAACAAAACATCTAATATTCTCTCATTTGTTGTGCGCGTAATTTGTTTAAAATCGCGCTTGGTTGCAAACTGATAATACTTAAACGAACTACAATTGAACCAATATAGTTTTTTGTTTATTTCACTCAAAACCAATCCGAGTATGAGTTATACATTTGAAAAAATAAGTCTGCATTGATTTTTGAATTTTCGACGTATAACTTTAATAAATGAAACTATTAGTAACAAGATAACAGATATATAACAACTAATCAGAATATTCTCTATTATTATATCCAGAAGATAACAAATTATGGACTCGAGCATGTCCATGTAGTCCGCTAACTTCGTCTTTTGTCATCGAAAATTTATAACTTGAAGGGGCCTCAGCAGCAGGTGTATCTAAAACTCGAACAGGTGGCAAAGCACGGACCTGTCAAGGAAAGAAATTTTGATGAGAATGCTTTTGAAAAAGGTTACCTTACGACCGAAGTAACCATCTTTTTTATGAAATAGCCCACTACTCATCTTGTAGCCAAACCTTCTGTGCATTTGAGCAGACCCAAATATTTTTCCTTCAATTTCAGAATGAGAAAGTCGTCCTACAGTTCCCATGCAAGTTCTATGCAAGGAGAACTCATGCTTATGTGGAAGCTTAAAAGGAGATTATTAGCCACATTGCATTCCTTTACCCTTATAATGGTGAAGTCTCCTTGGTGTCTGACTATTGTTGCAGCTGTTCCTGCTTTTACTACAAACACTTCCGAGTTTTCTGTAGGATATCGTTCTACACAGTTCACCAGAGTTCCTGGAGCTAAAGAGCCAATAGGGTATGAATTACCCTCAAGGCCAATAACTGGATTTTCTGATATGAATCCCGTTGTGGAAATGATATCGCCAGCCCTTCAAACAATTACAGAACGAATCTGAGAGACACTTACTTCATTTTTTCAGTGGCTAATAACCATCTTTTGCCATTGATACCAGCAGCTAATGCTATGTGTGATGACCTGTTAGGATCTCTTCGAACTTCTAATATTCTTTCATCGTAACTGTTGCCTGGCTCAGATGGTCCTCTATTGAGAGAACATTATAAGATAGAACAAACAAAAACAAAAACCTTCTATGAAAATCAATCATAAAGTAGTCAAACTTCACTCCCCCACCAATATGCTGGTTGACTTTACGTCCTGTTTCCGGATGTCTTCCTCCCAACCTGCGAAATAACCGTTTAAAGAACTTTGCCTTACAGCAACATACCTATTAATTCTTAACGGCTTATGAGTGTATTGACCTCCGGTTTTTTCGTCAAGATCTTTCTCATCCCATAAATATCTAGGAAGCGGCTTAGTGCCTCTCGCAGGCAGATTCCTAGTACTGGTTAAAACCTGTGAAATTATTATGTAAATAACTGATTTCATAAGGAAAAAAATTTACCTTCGACACCTGAGAAACTTTAAGGCTTCTCAGTTCAGAACATAATGTTGTTAACATGTTCTGAAAATAATTAGTAAAACAAGCTCTCAGGGAGGCTCAGTATGATACGTTCAAACGTCCGACTGCGATAAACATTGATAATTTAAACAATTTATGAATTGACTAATTAAATACATAGTTTTCTGGTATATATAGTAAACTCGTTTGAGAGAAAAAAAGGGGATTGTGCTCATACACAGGCAAGTTGTAGCCAACGCAAGCTTCGCTGAATTTTTTCAAGTATGGAAAGTCAGCCTCGGGTAACTCTACATCCATGTAATCATTGCATATGAAAATGGTTTTTCGTAATTTATCGCTCCAATTCAGCTTCAAATATGCTTCTATCAGTTCGTGTATACCATGAATCATAACAATAACTTCTAAAAAATTATGATCTTTAACTCGAACAAAACCAGGCTGGGGTGGGATCACTAAAACACCATCAAGACTGTTCAGGTAACTGTTCTCTGTGTTCGTGCAAACAATTTCCTGAAAAAGAAACTGAAAGGGAAAAATGATAATGTTCTTTACCTGGAAAAACAACTGTGCTTGGAACATTTTCATCAATTGTAAACAAAGCGCTAGCTGATGAGCTCCTGGGCACCAATTTCCATCGAAATGCCCATTACCAACAACATAAATTTTCGCAACTTTTTCCTCCTCAATGTGCTTCGAAATCATTCTACTCAGCCAGTCACTGTAAACCATTCACTATAACAAATGGATTAACAAAAACTTTAAAAAATGAAATGCTCCGAAGACTTACCATAGCTTAGAGTTCTCCATAGACTTTCGAGCAGATGTCAAAGCTTTCTCAATAGCTTCGACTGATCCTTCAGGAGGCAAGAAAAACTCTTTCTGGCATTTTTTGGATTTTTTCGTTACCAGAGTGAAACCACCGTCTTCCATTAGAATCCCTAATAGATAAAGTAATAAAATAAATAATAATGCAGATAATACGGAGAATAACCTTTCTGTTTTGAAGTGGTACAAGAATCTCAATATTTATTAGAAAATTGGCACCCGAAACATTAACAACAGAAACAATGAGCCTATTAGAAACTAACACTACACTTTCTATTACGACAAGAGTTTTATTTACCGGTTATCAATGAGAACATGAGTAGTTTTGGGACGGCTCTTGGTCTCAACGTAAAGGAACCGCCATTCCCACGTACCTTCGCGGAGCTCCATTTCAGCTTGAGCAACTCCTTCGTCTCGATCACCCTGAAACAAAAAAAAATGTTCAAAACTTAGAACTTGTAAAAACCTTTATATGAAAAAGAACACGGATTCTTTCTTTTCCGTCTTTCTCATATTTATGATGAGCAACGTGTCTTCTCCTTCCCCGCGAGTTTTCCTCACCAAATCCAGCAATCGTACTGCCGAAGAGATCAAGACAACGGCCATCATCTCGGACTAGAGCCAAAGCTCTGAAAAATCATTTGATTATTGTTGTAGTTGGGTATCTCCTAACTTGCTGAAGATGGCTTGAGGGCTATCCTGAGCGAAAAATTCTCCAGCTAGCAAATAGGCGAACGCTCCTAATAAAGCTACAGCACCAGCAACAGCTACATAAAGAAAGGTGTTTGTTGTCTTTTCAACAACCTTAAGAAGCAAGAATAAATTCTTCAAACTCTGCAAAACAACACCTTTCCGGTGAACGTTGTGGGCTTTTTGTCTTCTTTTAATAGGACTTCTTCAAGAATGGACCTCTGTAACTGTCCCTTAGCACTTTCTTCGGTTGTTTGAGCTTTGAGCTTGCCATCCTTGTTGTTCGCCGATGATAAAGATCTCACATCTTTCCTAAACAAAATAATGAACCACACGATCAGTGAAGAAAAACCTTTGCAATACTCGGAATAAAGACCCAGTTGTTTTAGCTTGTTTGGCTAAACTATGGTACTCATGAAGCGCTTGTCTACTTAACATATTGAAACGCAAGACAACAACAGGCACCTTCATCTGAACAATTTGTTTACATGATGTTAATACATTAATCAATGCAGCAATCAAGTACTTTCTGCTCAAACAGGCGTATGATGTGAGATCTCAAAATTTTTAACAGTTTTATATGACCCAATCATCTATACATAAACATCACCAACACGATATATAATTATAATATTAACGGTACTAAAAATGAAATTTCTTTTAAAAAAAAACGAGGTTTAAAATGGGAGCAGACCCGAAAACTGATTGAAAAGCGAACATATTGATTAGATCAACGGTAAGCATGACTAAAATTGAGTTAAAGGTAATAGAAAAGTTGTTAAGCTGATAATTTTTAGGCAAATCCAAATCCTTCCGTACATTCTCGAATAGCTAAGAGGAGAAACTCTCTTAACTTCTCATACGAATCGTATTGCGGTAAGTCTAATTGATTGAAACTGAAATTAAAAGTTGAACGATATAACTCGAGCGAAATTTAACCATGTATGTGCTGCTGGTAACCGATCACCACCTCGGCTATCCAGATGGATGCTGAATTTCTGAACACCACTCATACCTTCTAATGAACCGAATCCTTGCAGTGGAACCTAAAGTTAAATTTTAAAAGAAATTTAAAAATCCTCATTAACAAACCTTGCTAGTACCCGTAACAAATTGCAGGAATTTAGCTCGGTCTTCAGGTTCGAATGATCTTAATGCTCTCCAGAACCATTGAATCTGTAATCGTTGGATCCGTTAACGAAAATGAGAAGTTAGTACACCTGTGGACATGTCTTAGAATAACTTCGATATTCAGTATTATTGGCCAAATCGTCGATATCAATATCAGGCAATCCACTAATTAGAAGCTCCAATTCTTGTTCGTTGAACATACTAATAAGGTCTTTTGGTATTATTTCGTAAAAACCGGTCAAAAACGCGTCAAGCTGTTTGCGGATTGAACCTAAAGATTTTGCTTCCACTGGTTATGTTGTTTATGAAATAACCAACCTGTCATTTTCATTTGACAAACTAGATTAACATATTCAACTTTGTTCTCATCGTTTACTTCTATTTGGCTTCCATCGGGCTTTAAATCGCGTATCGAGCGAACACCGAATTCTTCGACTTCTAAGCTGAAAGTGAGATCGAGGGCAAGATCATTAATAGGATTTTTTAATAAAAATTCTAAGGAGTTGAAGAAAGCAGGATCCTAAAACAAAAAATCGAATTAACTACTTAGATCTCTGAATGGCACCTCGCTTTCAATATCCTGGTACCTAACAGGTAGATTCAGAATATGTTTATAGAAGGCTCTCGTGAAGTAGCAATCCAGTAACTTGTTGTCATAAATTGCTTTGGCAATCAATCGTCCAACGAACTGAAAATGAAGAGAAATAGCATAACTTCATTGATGGTTAAAGCTACCTTAAAGTAATCAAGATGTTCAGGGTTGATGTAGGAAGCTTTGTTAATCATATACGTCACCATGTCACCAGGAGCAGTGATGAATAAAGCATAATTAGGATTGAAAATTTCTCTAGTTATCACAGAAAACCATTCTCTCAAAAGTCCACCAGCATCTTGACCTTCCTCTCCTGAACAATTTGTTTAAAGAAGGAGCTAACTAACCAATACCTTGGAAAACAATGTAGAACCGTTTCTTCCAATCAGCAGGACGGAGCCGGAACAACTCACGGAAAGAATCCGAAAACAGCTGCGATCTTCTAACTGGGACATTGATATCACTTCGTCGGTATCTATAACTATAATTGTAAAGATGGAATAAACGCTGCTGTTACTCTCTGTCCCCATCTGCTTTCGTTAGTTCTTTCCGGAAATACTTTCTTTTCACATCGAAATCTAATAATTTGGGGAAAGAAGTGAGAATAGCAAAAGGCCCTCCAGACGATAAGCTTGTGCTGTTTTGCCTCAACACCTGATTCAAAACATCGCGATGTTTCTCTGAAACATTAGTAGAAAGTCGGAAAGTTGTAACTTGTTCGTACCGGCAAACTCGATCATTTTTTCTGTATCGGGATTTTCATGATTGTGTTCATTATTGGCGTTTTTGTATGCGGCATGAACCAAGAAAAAGGCTTCCGCAGCTGGTTGAAGCGCGAGAACAGCATGTGGATCCGAAGCTTTCCCAAGCCTTATTAGACAATCCGAGACTAAGCTCCAGAGATCTAAGAACTAAGTTTTGAAGTCACCAGCATAATTAACAATACCTTCTAAACCATCCAACCGTTGGCTGAGCCTGGCATCTAGACATTCTAGGCTTCGGAGTTTTTCCATAGGATCATCCACGAGTTCTTTCGTTTCATCTTGAGCTTCTTTGGGTAATGATAGACCTTCTCCTGTTTTCTCAGTAGGTTCTTCTTCCGCTTGGCCTTCTTCTTTTTCCTTCTGTTTTATTTTGTAATGAAAAAGCAAACGAAATCAATTACCTTCTTCTCTTCTTCTAACTTCTTTTTCTTCAGTAACTGTATTTCTTCCTCGCGCTTCTTTCTTCTCTCTTCCTTCAAAGTGCGCATAGCATCACGTATTTTTGTTAGAGTTTGCAAAGAACTCAAAAGACGATATTGAGCTCCAGATTTATCTGTTAAAGCCATCACAGAAGGCAGTCTTAGCTCTTTGCACACACTAGCGGCAACCATCTTCAAAAAAAACCTAACATCAGCTTAAATATCCGAACATACCAATCTTCCAGTTGTATCCGCATCAACAACAACACTTTCTCCTTGAAGCCTCAGAGATTTAACCTTACCCTTCTCGGACTGGGAGGTTCCAGTTTCTAATGAATCGTCTAAATCGATATCTTCCAATTGAGTCAGGAGAAGGCTTATCTGAAAATATCATGATGAAACAATTGATGATTTGAATACTCACTTGTGGTTTCAACTGCATTCCAACATTATCAATGGCAGACACTAGTTTGTCATAGATGAAATCAGATGTCGTAGGTGACAAAGCCCTCATGGCTTCGGTTAGTAGAGCCCTGAAGCAATGGTTTCAATATGAGTCGAAAATTGACCGTTTTACCTTCCATCGCTAAATCCTTCAGCACTACAGACACCTTGAGTCAGAATTTCAATAATTGTGCCTAGTTCTTCTTCAAAGGCTGTACCCGTAGATTCCAAATTGAGCGATTTCATAGTGTCATTTGGTAAAGTTTGAATAACGGAACTCAAAAGTTTCAAGAGTTTGTCTTGAAGCCCACTGACACGTTGGAAAGATTTCTTCTTGAAATGACTTGTCAACTGAGATAAACGACTATTCTTCAATGCATCGAACTCAGATCCCTCCTTGATGCTCAAGAGCTTGACTTGTGGATTCTGAACGCTATAGATTAGATACTAGGAACTGTCACCCTACTTGAATCATTGCCCAAAACTGATCATATTTCGATAAGTCTTTGCTTTCAGGATTTTGCTGTCTCAAGGAAGCAGGGAGGAAATTTCCGGGGAACAACTTAGCCAGCTGGATAAGTGAATCGAGAACGTTCCGACAAACTTGGTCTGATATGAGTGGATGAATGCTGACTTGAATAAACAAAAAAGAATATTGAAATATCATATATTGTTGAACCTTTTTTAGCATCTTTGCTTATCTTAACAGATCGTTCATTATGGCCTATTCCCGGCACAGTTATTGACTCTAACCAAGAAGGGCACACAGACGTAAACTAAACTGAGTTGAATACGCAATCTACAAGAATACAAACCTCTTCGTCATCTGTGATCGCATCAGAAGCTTTGTCAAGTATAGCTTGAAGGCACCAAATAACGAAATCACAGCTAGCTACATGAGAACACACCATTCGGATAACCTGTGAGAATAATAAGGGTTCATTAACAACTTAATTTGCTTCTTACTACCTTTTGTAGTCTTCCAACATTCAGTCTGTTGTCGACTAGGAACAATCCACATATCGTTAGAATAGCTTCTCGATCGAGCAACTGTACAGCTTCTGCGCGAGCAGTAGTGGTTTTTCCTGCGAAGTTTCCTATACCAGCAGGTGGATACGCTGGGTTTCTCCGGAAAATCGGTTGTCTACGTGAATTCAGTGGACCGCCGACATAAAGGTTATGAATGCGCATGACATTACGCTTCAAGGAAAATTAATATGAATACAGAATAAAAAAATGAATGGTACCGGCTCGAAAAGGCTTTGTATTTGGCTCCTAGCTCGCCTAGCTTCATCTTGCATAGCTTGAGGCAAACGTTGAAGTTCAGTCTCATCCATATCAGCTAAGACTTGTACTCGTTCTGAAGTAGGAAGAGAGGCGATAACAGCAGCTCCATCCATCTCAGGCTCAACAGGCGGAGCATTTGCTCGCCTTACAGCGTCTTCAGCTTCTCGAACAGCTCTCTCATGCTGTTGTAAAATTTCCTATAAATATGAATTTCGAAAACCAAAAATTTCTTATCATACCTCTTGAAGCTCTGGAGGTAATGCAGCAAGAAAATCTTGATCGATAGGGTCTACCAGAGGTCGTTCACCTTCTTCTGGACGAGGAGCTTCGGTTGCTCTTTGCGCTCGTCTCTGTCGCTCGTGATCTCTAATAACTTCTCCTCGCAGTTCTTCGGGTAAAGCGGCCAAGAAATGTGGATCTACACCTTCGGGTAGAACTATATCTTAAATATAACCATAATGATGAAGTTAGAAACATATTATAATACCTCCCAAAACATCACGCAACTCTTCAGGTACGTTACTTGGTTCTTGTGGAACAGGCTCATTTCCGCTCGGACTTGAAAACTTGGCATAAGCTAATTATAACCGAAACTTACTTTGCTTCAATGAGATTTGACGACTCATCTGGAACAGGGTATTCGGCATTGCCATCTATATTCAAAGGCATAAGGAATCTCTGGATTCCATCTTCAACGTCTCCATCCACATCCTCATCTTCATCTTGATCTCCTTCTCCAACTTCTCCTTCACCCTCGCCTTCCAAGGAGGAGGCAACAGTGGCAGCAGAAGAAGGTAATGGAACATCATCTGCTTGGGAAGAATCTCCATCTTGAGCATTCGAACCTCAAAAATACAAATTTAAAAGAAGAAACTAATAAAAGCTTACTTATAGCTTCCATAGGTTCGCTTGAACTAGGCTGTGTACTAGCTGTATCTTGGCTCTCAGCATTTTCATCCCAGGCTGGCCTTGCCTCTTCAGATTGGGGAGGAGCTACTACCACAACTTCCTCCTGAGCTTCTGTGGAGACGCCATCATTTTTGTTTTCAGCACTTGACTTGTCTTTAGAATCAGTCTTACGCTCCTTAACAAAACATACTATATTTCAATATACTATATTTGACGACTACCTCATCATATTTCTTTCTAGTCTCCTTTGCTGCTAGCTCGAAGACCAGTAAACCTATATATCTTGAAGAGTTAGGTTCCAGTAAGTCTACAGCTTCCGTTAGTCTTTCCAGAGCAGTTCTGATCACACTCATCGCTCTAGGCCGAGGATCCTCAAATCCCTAGAATATTTAAAATTAGCCTATATTCGAACAGTAATGTTGAACCATAAAACTCAGGAGAGCGGGTCGTTCTCTAGATGGTGGTAGACTGAAAATTCTCTCAAGGATTGGAGCGTTTGGATGCAGAGCTTGTTGGAGATTTCGACTAGCTTGTCCAAGTCTGCGGATAGCATTTTGACGAGTAAGTACTAATTGATGTCCGCTTAGAATGGAACGGAATTCGCGCATCTGGAAGAAACTGCTTTTAAAAAAAAACTGGAAAAAGCACTAACGCTGCCAGAGATATTTGACGCATTGAACGAGGGCGCTGCATCAGATGCTGGTGGTGGTCTTACGAGCAAAGGATGATGCTGTTCACCAGTAACAGCCCGACTTCGCGGTTCTCTTCTGCGAATAAACTGATAAAAAAGAAGGGCCTGTTGAAAAACTGACAGTCTGTTAATGTTAATCGGAGGGAATAAATTCCAATCATCGATACCCATTATTACAGGACGATCCAGGTCATCATAAATAGCTTCAACATCCTGTAATTGCAAAATAGAACAAGCAAAAAACTGAATCAAACTCTGTTATGCTCAAATGAAGGTTCATCGTCCAGTTCGAACTCATCTTGATCATCATCCTCTTCTTCTTCTTCTTCGCCTTCTTCTGTCTCCTCTTCTTCAGCTGTTAGATCAGGTTGAATGGGCATAGTTATGTTTTGTTCAGTATCTTGAGGACCATCGTCATCTTCATCAGATTCTTCTTCATCGTCATCATCGTCGTCATCTTCATCATCATCCTCTTCATCATCTTCAACATCGCGCATTTCTTGGTCTTCATCATCTTCTTCTTCTTCCTCTTCTTCTTCTCTTCTTGCGTTATCATCATCAACTACGATTTCGCCCAAAACAGATCCTTCCGAATCTCCTTCCACATCGACATCATCCATTTGAGAAACATTTGCTGCTCCATCGTCCTAAAGCAAATTCATAAGATCTTCCAAAAATCAGATCTCACATTATCTTCCGCTGGAAGTCTCTCTAAAGCTTCTCTGAAGCCAATTCCTTGTTGTTCAATAGATCTAATTGTTACTTGATCCCTCATCATATCAACGTCATCTTCACCGTGTTGAACCAATTCAATCACACCAGGACGAAGAATCTGTAAACTTACTTATAACCTGTATAGAAAAAAACACCTTACATCCATCCTCGTCAAGTTTCTACTGCTAGAGTTATTTGTCGTAGCATTATGATGAGTGTTCAAAATTTTCATAAGAGATTCCAATGTTCGGAGAACATGGTTGATAGTGTCAATGGATTCCTGAAAATACAAGCTTATTTTAATCAACACGCACGTAACTAACCTTCTGTACCAATTGCAGATATGTGATGGTCTTTACCAGATCGTTACAAATTTTCTTCTTGTGGAATAGTTTTATAATTTGATAGGAATGAGAATTTTTAGCAGCTTGATGGGAACTGGGGCAAGTATCACTCATATCAATTACTATGTTACATAGCTCCTCAACCTTAGCGAAGAAATAAAACAGAGAAAATGTGGAGAAACTAACTTTGGTGCAAATGTCCTCTGTACTGGAAGTGTTGCTCGACACGTTTACCAACACTGATTTCAAATCAGAGATAGCGGACTCTTGAGCTTTGGGAGAATGGTTCCCTGTTGCAATCACGCATAAAAGGTATCTCAAGGATTTCATTGTTTCCTAGAACTTACTGCTTTAAAGAAAAACTAGGAAGATAGAACAATACCTTATCATGACCATCAACGTAACGTTCCAACAGTAAATATAGCATACTGTGGCCATTTTCTCTGGTCTCTGCAACAGTGTTCGCAATACCGTTGTAAGTTTTAGCCAGCTCAGCAAGTAGCGATAGCAGAGTTCCTCGAGATAACTGAAATTATAATGAGAACGTTCAGAAAAAAATATACAAATACTACCATTCGTCCCAAGCTTTGTTTCTCAGCGTTCTCCCATTCCCCTTGATAAATTTCTTTCAGCAATAAAGCCACGATCTAGAAAAAAAACGTATGTACGATGAGCATGCTTTTGCTTACATGATTCATAGAAGAATTAGTATCCGTACTGGCTTTGTAGCTCTTAGAGATGAACTGCATACCGAGTCCATTGTTTATTGGGGTAAGTTTGACACATTTGTTCATTGTACTGACAAACACAGCAGGTTTTCTATGAACAAAAAGTTGAATTCATATATATAAGATATAGCGAGAATTACCTAACAGCGAGGGGCAACATTCTTCGCATCGTATCATGCCAATATTTAGTGTCGTATTGAGAGGATACGTTCGAGTTATGAGAACTGATGATTTGGCGAACCACTTTTTCATATACCTTAATTGAATCATTATAGTAGAAATTAAAAAAGTAAACACATACTCCTTTACAAATATCATCATTATCAATACATTGGCGCAGTATAATAGACACTAACGCAACTGTGAAAGGAGAACTTGAGCTGCGTAACTGGAGCATGGCTCCAACTCCTCCACTCTGAGAAATAGATTAAAAGTATATATCAAAACTAAATTGTACCTGTAAGAAATGAGCACCACAAGCTTCATCTCTAGTTAACCGGGCAGTAAATGATAATATAGAATGAACAGCTGTATGATGTATGTTTCCTTTGTGGAGAAGACGGATTAGTTGTACCATCAAGTCAGATAATTCTGATGGAGTCCATATAGATTCACTCTCCTTCAAGTTTCATAGTTGTAGTTGTAATTTGCAGAAAAAATAACTTACAACTTCCAAAACTTCCTCCAGAGTAAATTCAGTGCCTTCTGGGAGCTCCATGTTGATTTTAGATTTGACATTGTCAGATTCTTTCTGTTTCATAGATGTGAAATCAATCACGATTTCTTTATCTTTCCTGGAGAAAATCACAAATAAAATTTTTTTTTTCAAGACTAACTTTTTCAAGATGGCCTGTGATCTTCCTCTGAAGAACTCTTTGTTCAGAATTTGTTGGTAATTCGCGCAGAAAGGTACCCAGCGCTTACCTTAAACACTATTGTAAATATTTCAACAAGCAAGATAAGAACTTCTTAAGGTTGAGTATCTGCTCTCTTCATCTGTGATATATGACCATTTCAGCTGTTTGCTAGGAACTATTTTCTCCAGTAGCTTTCGTCGTTTCAACGTTCGTGAGCACTTTTCATACAGGTCAAGCCAGAGAACTAGTGGTGGAAGCAACCTAAAAAAAATTTAATCAATCCATAGCACATTAGACTTTACAAGTTTGGCATCTGCGGTTTATCAAAGTTAATATAAACTTCATTGAGTAGGTATAGCATGTTCGGAACTAAATTCATGGTTTTCAAAGCCTGAAAAATGTCCTTGTACTCCTAAAAACCGTCATCCAAACCTCGACATAGTCCTCGGCTAGGTGTTCGAATAAGAGGCAAACAAAGTGAATTCGAGTAGAAAGAACACAAATTTCTTTTTCTTGGAACAGTGGAGAAGCAGCTTTAGTCATAGAGACAATCTAAAGAGTTATAGGACTGAGAACAATGAAATCACCGAATATGACCTCTTCCCCCATGATCTGTCGGATCAAGATATTCTCCTTCCAAGTACCGTCAAGTGATTCTATGACTCCAGTTACTAAATCAGCACAAGAGAAAACCAGGTCAGACCCAACTTCCATCAACTTCTTGCACAACGGCATCAGTTCAATACATGCTTGTGATACAGACACATCTTTCTAACAAAAGCTCGTTTAGGTGACTTCTTCCATACGGAATATAACTATTACGTTGATATTAAGCTCCCTCAAAGGTGTTATTATTGGTGCTGCGAAATCTTCCTCCTCGTCTTCTGCAAAACATCATGTAACGGGTTTTCAATAAACATTCTATTACCTTTCTGTTGAGGTTTAGGTCTTCCTTCATTCTTAAATGGGAATCAAATTTAATAATTGAATATGAGAACTTTCATAAAACTTACAGCTTGTTGTTGATGTCTAATGAGCCATTCTGTAGCATCAGCTGGGTTAGAACATATTAATAAAGCCTCGTTGACTAAGTCACGATCAAAGCCCATATCATTCTGTGAATAAAATTATATATTCTGGTTATTTAAAAAGTATTACCAAAGCTTTTGCATGTTCATCTAACCTAGTGCGGTTTGCTCCTGTGGTAACTTCCGGTTCTTCATTGGGAACAAGACTCTGGGCAACTTCTCGATAAACTGATATAGCAGATTCACATAATGCTTGGTACTCCCGAAGGTCAACAGTATCTTTTGATAAGTAACTGAACAAAACAGACAAGCAGCGGAAGAAATCCTATAGAGAGTACATTAAATATGAAAGACGGAAATTGCGCTTACATTATGAACAAGTTTGCAGTATTTTTCAGCATCGAATGGTAAGCCTTGGTTAGAATGGAAGCGATAGTTTGTTTGTAACATCTTTTGTCTACAAGCTAACTTTTCCGCTAATCTGAACCATTCCAATATTGCTTCATCGAATGCAGCTGTAAAAATCTTTTCGTGAGGTTTATTCCTTGTTTCTTACGTGATTTATGATTGTCAAGAGCAGGGGCAAGTTTATCTATGAGCATATCGCAGAAAGCTTGATGACAGCCCGAGGAATAGAATCTCTCAATCATGGCATGATAAGGATACTTTCTGTCATCAAAAAGTACACCGTTCAACTGCAGTAATGATTCGTGTAGAACAACAAAACTAAAAAAAAAGTTTTAAGTTAAAAATAAACTATAAACCTCATTGGAGATACAACGCTCGAAACAGGCTCCCATTTCATTTCCCTATAAGCACCCGAAAATAGTTGATCAGCAAGTTGTGAAGCAAATTTGGGCATTGGCGTCAAACTGTACTCATAACGACGGTGTCTTCTAGTAGGTATATAACAAGATCGGCACAGTAGATTCAAAAACTCAGAGACATTCCTAAAATGAAGCATATATAAGTGTAAAAAAAGAATAATTACTTGTTGGCTTTGACGATCGTATCTCCAATGCTTTTATTACTCCTCCAATAGGTAACTTCCTCAGCAGTAATACCGAACTTCTCACATTCAGGAGAAAGCTGGTCGCTCGTGTCGCACGAAACGCTGCCTACATCAGTAGAATCAGGAATACTACAACAGAGAAATTATCAAGTTGAGTTCTAAGCAAACGTACGGTGTAGCTTCATTTTTATCATCTATCGCTAGATCATTAGCATCTGTCTGAGTGCTAACAACTTGTTTTGCCGGCTCGAGTGTTTTAATCAGCCCACTTTCCCATGCCAAAATCCGAGAAACTTTCCTGATTTTTATGAGCAGATTTTTTCCAGGATCCGTTAAGAAAGCTTCGTGCATTTTGTTTCTACGATCGTTAGAGAACTGTAATATAGTATTTGGTTGCATATAAAGATAGAAAACAAACTTGTCCTCCTCCTAAAGTTGTCTTACAAATTTGAGATAGCAAGGGAATGCAATTGTTGATGAAACACATAGAATCAACAACCACCTGCTTTGATTCGTTCAAGAGCAAAGATGCTGCTTTACTTGGCTGAATTGGGTGAGCGAAGGGAACGCGAGCAACGAACAGATTGAGGAAAGATTCCATGAGTATTTGGCCGGATTCTCCATATTGCTGAAAACAAATTAGTTGAAACCGAAAAAACATTGAACTCTAACCAGTAATTGCTGTATAACAACGGCAATACTATGTCCAAAATAAGTGGGAACTATATCGGGTGACAAGGATGGTAAGAGAGTCAGCATAATCAACTAAATTATAATATTAATAAAGAGTATCGTGTGTATCTTTGCCTTATTGACTCCTCCTTTAGCCACGAATGAAGTCATAATATCGTTAGAAACCGAGTGTCCGATAATAGTCTCCAAAATCTGAAAGTACAAAAATTTTAGTCGAAAATTCGTATGGTAGCAAACCTTAGAGAAAATAATCAAATAATCTCCGAGAGGTAGTATTCTCGTTCCATCATTGTTCTCTGAAGGTATATCCATTTCCAAACCCATATTATCTATGACAGGTTGACGGTCTGCACTCATTTCATCCATGCTCAACTCCGCATCCTCATCTTCATCAGACATATCTTCATCACGGGGAGAGAAAGTCTGAACACAAGGATGCTTATGATCTTCAAAAACAGTCATACTATATTGTTTTCATAATCCTGCTGACTGCTAGCAGAATTTGAGACAATAACAGACGAACTGATGCTTTGGCCAACAGCTTTACTTGCCGACTTGGATAAAGCCATTACAATCTTAGTGTTGGACGGGGGAGTGGTTCCTAGCTTTAGCAAGAGATCAAGAACCTTCAAATTTTGATTACATTTTTAGAAGAAAATTATCATACATCAAAAACAGATTCGACCATTAAAGGCTTCAAAGTTGGTTGATGTCTCAATAGGTCCTCCAAAGCTTGCCCAATACCCTGCGCAGCGTCATCTATGAGAGAAAATTGATACCTAGTTCAAAAAACTAAGCTTACTCATTTCACTTCTCTTTTTCTTCATAGTAGCAATAAACTTAATGCTGAGCACTATCTTAAAGACATGATCGAAAGGTCTGTATGATTTGAACTGGCGAAGTCCAACTTCGTTTAAACAGAGAGCAGTGAATACGTTTCCTAGGTTACTGATCACATCGCGGGAACCAGGTAGCTGAAACGAAGTTTATCCTCGAAAACTTATTATTCAGTACCTCTTTTCGCAAAATACTCTGTAGAATAACATATGGCAAATGTTTCGATTGCAAAAATCCTAACTGAGATGGCTCCTGAACGAAAAGGGGAAGGTGAAACATGAAAAAAGAGAGACGAACCTGATAAATGAAGAAAGTAACCATCTGAAGCGCATGATGATATATAGATTCAGAATAGTATTCTGCATTACTGATGATGTGCATAAGGGCATCGGGTAATCCTCCTTCCATGACTGCAAGAAACATTTTAAAAATAAATGATATCCACTAAGATAAAATACTATGTCTGACGCTGTCTTGCAAAGTTGGCTCTTGAATTGCTCTTTTCAAGAAAGTTAAAAGCCCCTTTATAAGTCCTGATCTCTGCTGATGGCATCTTTTCTCAACCACCGGTGTTTTGACGAAGGTGGTCTTCTCCGTTTCATCATCCACATCTCCAGTGACATCTATTGTGAACGGCTGATCTTTACGGCATTGATCAATTTCATGCTGAATAAGATTTTATTTTTTGGATTTGGAAAAAAAAACTACCACAAAACGTTCTACGAATATATTCATTCCTTTGCAAGAGTTGAACATTGTTACGTCAATTGTCGTGAATATATCAATTATTCGCGCACAACGAGTAGCAAATGATATGTGCTCCAAACATAAATCTTTATACTCTAATACGGTTAATAGAGTTTGTGTTAGTCCACAGGCAACAAGATTTTCACCTTATATAAAACAGTAAGGAAATTATGATTAAGCTACACGAACCTCCCGTATCGGCGCTGCTCAAATGATAAATAAACGAGAAGAGAGAAGTTCCTAAAGCAACCGAAGGTTTTCCTGGTTTACCCAACTGATTGGTCTGGAGGTATTCAACAATTGTTCGAGTAAAAACAGCGAGAAAGCCATGATAGGAACTGGCTCCCAAACATTCGAGTATTTGATTCAACCTGTAACGATGCCTGTTAACGAGCTTGTTGGGCTTTTCGAAAATGCAGACTCACATTGGTTGTTTATCTAAAGACACAATACTGATCAAAGTTCTGAGTGCCTCAGCTTGTATTGTATCAACAAGAGGATGCTCTTCCAGGTTAATACGGAGAAGGGCAACTGTTTCCTCAATAAAACCCGTATACAGTATGGCACTGAATTGAGACTCATCTGATTGACAACGACAATGTACTGAAAATGAAAGAGAATCAAGATATTAGATAAATATGCCATACTTAATGTAGAAATGGATAATAGTCGAACAATTAGACATTTCATGCGATGATCAGGGTTGTGAAAATTTTTCAACACCCTTAGCCGAGCCAATGCGAAATATTTATGATCTGAACTCATTCCATCACACAAATCGTTGACTATGCCTAGTAGTGGTGAATCTTCGTGCAACTGAAATTTAGAAAAAAGAGGATAAGAGCATCGTGTTGGAGTCTACCTTAGTAGTATTATTGGTACAACAGAATAATTCTTTGTTATCGGCACAAGCTAGAGGGAAAAGAGAAGGGACTTTAACTTCTTTCGAAATACAATCAGTCATTTTAATCGAACGTAACTTTCCTCCCCAGCTCTAGAATTATATTTATTTCAACTTATACTCTTAGAATATCACCTGAGCAATAGCTGTTAGAACTTGAACAAGCTTATTTCTGTCAAGAGGACTTAGACGCTGATTTAAATATTTTGATCTTTTGCTAATCGTTTGCAAAAGCCTCAATACTTCTGCAACTACGTCAAGATCTGTACAATCTAACAATGTTATCAAGCGCTGCAAGAATTTCAAAAAGCTTCAAAACTTATTCAAAAAAAATAACCTCTGTACTAGAATAAACCCTTCTTGTTGATGAACATTCAAACAACAGTGACGTAAAACGTAAAATAGCAATGGTCCGAAATTTAATTTCCTCACTTGTGTCAACTGCCATAGAAAAATCCTTAGAAAAAGATACTGAACATTCTCGGTTATCTTAAACTTACTACTGAAGTTGATGCTTCTTCCAACAACTCATCACATCTATTGAGAACTTCCGCCCATCTATACAACTCAGTCTACAAAATTGATGAGAATCTAAACGTCATCATTTGAATATTACTTTTGCTAAAACTGTTTGAAATGATCGGGCTCTGTCTAGCTCTTGTACAAATTTATCAGTGTCTCCAGCATTTTTAATTCTTGCTATTAAATTTGCTACCATAGGAGGCTATAACCGAGAGAATGATTATTTCATAAATAATGCTGACTAACCATAACATCACCCGCCATTGAAGGTATTGTTTCAATCTTCATGATGGAAAAAAAATTGGTTATAACTCAAATATACATTTATTCCAAACAACGCAAAGAAAACCCGTGTTTTGGGGGGAATAACTTTAACTGCAATATTTTTTGAATTAGTATAATATTGATTCGTCAAGTAATTGTGAGAAAAAAAAACTTTTAGAGGGTAATATAGAATCATCTCGTAATTCAATTGTTTCAAAAAGTAGTAATAGATGAGAACAACATAGATCCAAGCATAAAACATAGGCTTTCTTTCCTACTTTATTATAAATATAAATAAACTGCATAGATATGACATAGTAACAGATGACTTTTAAAGGTCTACCCATACCACATGGGAAGCTGACATACAGTAGGATTATTATTAGAGCGCGAGAGCCTTGAGTTTCAGTTACGCAAGACATGTTTTTGTTACCATTAAAAATATCGTAATTAAAAAAATATATAGATCAAATCTTTCTCGCCACATGCTCAATGAAGTATATTGAATAGTAACTATAGGAAAAAATGCTAAAGATTATCAGGAAGCTTAACTTTACAGGGTGCCAGAGCTGTTTCACGAAAACCGAAGAAATCGTTTGGTAATAAACCATGTATTTGCAATCTAACCGCTTACATCAGCATTCCCATGAAGCATGCAAACAGAAAAATGTTTCATTTTCTGAGAGAACATAATTTTGAAGCATATTCGTAAAAAAAAAATAGCTTGTTGCAAACGTGTACCTAATAGTTCTTACATGTATGCTACGTTACTACAGGGGGTATGCAGCATAAATATTAAATGAATAACGTTGAAAAAATATTACCTAATAATTTCAAAGAACTATAATGAATATTTTCTCTTTGTCCTAAGGCTAGTTGACCTAAAAGTTTGAATTTGAGAAGTTCCAGAATGACGACTGTAATCAACCGCACCTCTTCATGACGCGAAATAAATGATAATGGGACTTTTTGCATGAACTTAGCGCAACCGTTATGCTAATCAGCAGGAATTGACGGAAGGAAAAAAACATGATTACTGAATATTACTTCTGCACTTTGTCTCCATAAATGGGAAGTTTTGTTCCACTAAGATCGAATTAATTAAAAAATGCGCCCAATATTTCGATTGTTCAAACGATGCCATTCTGTTTTTCATAGGAAATTAGGGCATTTTGAAACAATGCGTGTAGATTATATAAAAGGTTTCTTTCTTACGTTTTTAAGAAATCCCATTGAGCTTGTAAAGAAAAAAAGTGGGAGGATTTCTATTTCAAAACTGACATGGCTTCTTTTTCAATTTCGCATGTAATTTCCACAAGATTTTAATCCGAAGCCAAAACAGCCGTTTGACTACAGTATTTGGCTTTCATTCTTCACATTTTCGATATTCAAAGATGAAGCAACTTTTTTTCCTAATATACTTTTCACTCCAATGCTTTATTAAATTATGCATAGCACAGAATTCGACAGTGCAACAACAAACTTTAACGGTAACCCACCATTCGGCGAGTTATTGTACTCATTTTTGTTTTAGGTATCCGTAGGAATTGCTGCTGTAGAGAATGTAGAAACCGGGAATATAGGTTGGTCAACAAGTGGAGGTGCTATACCTTTCGTCATTCAATCACTGAAATCACAAGGATATCTTCAAAATATCGAGTTTCAGTTGGTTCTTTCTTAATTGTTGAAACAAAGATGTTAATATTTCAGAGTATACGTTAACTATACTGAATGCGATGCGGGCAATGGAGCAGCAGCAGCAATCGAGTTTATGAAGGACAGGAATACGGACGTTGTTATATCGGCACCATGTCCACAGGGTAACTTTAGAATTTAGCAATGAATCGGTTTAAAATTCCATATAGCTGGAAGAATAATGGGAACACTGGCTACATATTACAATAAGCCCATACTAGGTTGGGGGTTCCTCACTCCCTCGGAGTTCGCAAACGCCAACCAGTTTCCTTACCTTACTTCAGTAGTATCTAGCTCTTTGAGGTATCAAACTTCCAACTTCAAGAATACATTTATTAAAATTCGAGCCTCGGTTATGCGGTTACAGCCGTGTTCCAAGAATTTAAATGGGATCGAATCTCCATCATTTACATGAATAATGACGTTGACTATTGTGGTGGAGTAGTTGCAGATTTAGAAGTACTGCGTCGGATTCATTAACGCTTTTCATTTTAAAACTTCAGACAGCACTTTCTGATGATTCAACGTATTCAACTTCAGTCGTTTATAAAGCAGAAGTCAGGAGATCCGTGAAATATGACGAGGTCCTGCTTCGCGCTCGAGATCGTTCAAGAGGTACATATTCTTCCCCACTCAGAAATTTGTCATTTTCAGTAATCATCACATGCTTCGATGATTCTTTTGAAAGAAGAAGGTTCATGATAAGCGCAGTGGAAAATAATATGACGACTGACGAGTTTGTTTACATTCTGATAGGGATGCGAAGTTTAGCATTTGGTGAGTCCACATTTTTTCTCATAGCAACACAGAAATATTCAGCTCGATCAGGATCTGGAGGATCTGAAAAATGTATGGCTTCATACAAAAAATTAAGTATTTGAAATAACCTAATAATTAATAGTTTCCAATGGATACACCCCGGTCTGGAACGATATAGTTAATAACAATGAAGATGGTAAAGATGCCGTGGCAAGAGAGGGGGCTATGAAATTTTTCTGTGTAATCGAGTATTTGCCATTCAAGCTTAATTCTGTTTTATATTCAGATTGATTTGAGCGCAGATGTCATGGACACCGCATATTTACAAAAGTTCCAAACTACGATGATTCCTATGGTTAGGCAATCTCCCATCTATTGTTCCACAGACAGTTGCCTGAACAATTCTAATGATAATGTTTTGAATTTCAAGGATTTCTTATTATGAAATGCCAACTTTTAAGCCCTCTGGATGGTCTCGCCACTTACATGATGTTTTTTACCTTTATGCGTCTTCGCTGAATGAAGCCATTCGATTAGCGGGGCCTACCGGAGTTTCGAATACAACAGTATTACAGAGTGTAATGAGAAAATCATTTCAAGGTTGATATCCGTTGAGATAAAACTAAACACTTATGAGTTTCAGGACTTACTGGTGAAGTAACAATCAACGAAAACAATACTCGTGAACCTCTCTTCATGCTATATGCTATAAATGAGAAATATGATCAAGTCTCATACGGTAATATAACTATAAGGGAAGGGAAAGCTGTCTTCTCGAAGGCTTACGCGAGTGAAAGCGAGCTGTGGGCAACTAGAAAGAATAAGCAAAGGTTTAAACTAGCAACTGATACTCAAACAATCAAAATCTTCAGACCTAGATCCACTCCGATTTGTGGCTTCCTTGGACGAAGTTGTCCGAAAACATTTTGGGAATTATACCTGTTGTATGTAGTTATTGGTGGCGTCGTTGTTATCTTATTGATAATTTCCTTGATCGTTTTCACAGTTTACATCTATAGGTCTTCCCGCATGACTATGTTGAAATAACTTTTGTACTTTAGAGCCAAAAAAGAAGAACAAAGACGTCTAAATTCAGAATGGCAAATACCTTACACTCGATTACGAAAACCACCTTCCAAAGTACAATAATTCAAACTTCGATAAAACCTTTGGCTTTTCAGAAAGAGAAAGATGGACAAAGTAAGCGGTCACTCCAATCTGGACCTAGTACCATAACGAATGATAGCAAATTCACGTTTGACAAGGAGTTCAGTAGTTACAGCGTGTTTCTATATGACAAAGACGTTGTTCTTTCAACAAAACATCCTGCAACACCCTTAACATCTGCCGATTATGATAATTTTGTACAAGTAAGCCGCGAGAGAGAAAAAACTGTTCAAATGAGCATATAGCTGAGAAAGCTGGATCATGATAACTTGAACAAGTTCATTGGATTGTCAATAGATGGTGCTGATTACTTAACTGTTTGGAGGTTTTGCAGTCGATCAAGTCTTCAGGTAATCCAAATTCCTGATATCTCACGAAATATTTCAAACTAATTGGTAGCACAACCTAGTTGTTACTTTTTAATGTCCACCAAGTGAAAGTACTTAAATTACCACAACATTTTTAAGGACATTATATCCCGTGGAAACTTTTCTGTTGACCCGTTCTTCATTTTCTGTGTTATTCGCGATGTCGCAGAGGTATATTCAATTAACAAACTAAACTAACATCAGGTTTCAGGGTTTATGCTTTCTACACAGTTCCTTTGTTCAGTGGCATGGATCTCTGCGGTCTGGTTGTTGCTTGGTTAATGATGGTTGGCAAGTGAAAATTAGCGATTACGGACTAAAATGTTTATCTGATGAAAAGAGTACAAGTAAAAAACGTGAGTATACCATATTCAGTTCAACAGTGATAAGATATTCAAGGTCTTCTATGGATAGCACCAGAGCATCAACGTGAACCATTCCCACCTGGTTCGTCTGCTGGCGACATATATTCTTTCGCTATCATATCCTCTGAGATCATAACAAGGAAACCTGCTTACGATCTCATGGAAAGAAAAGAGAGCTTGGACGGTGCTGAAACAAACAAACTTGCAGTTAGTAACTCACATTTTCAGAGTTACTCTATATGATCAAGAAAGGGGGACATAATCCCGTTCGCCCAGATCTCCATACTGATATAGAAATCAACACAGCATTGGTAAGAAAAAACTTCAACTTGCTCGAAAAGTTACCTCTCTTCAGCTTCATTTAGTAAGAGATTGCTGGAGTGAAAGACCTGATGAACGCCCACAAGCTGCAACGGTCTGCAATCTATTGAAAGCTATGATTCCGAATAAGCAGGCAAACTTGTTCGATCATGTTTTCAATATGATGGAAGAGTACACCACCACTCTGGAGTTAGAAGTTGAAGAAAGAACAAAAGAACTTTCAGCCGAAAAGAAAAAAGCTGATGTTCTTTTGAGCAGAATGCTTCCACGGTAAATTTGATCCTTTTGACACTAATCATGCTTCTTCTAGGCAAGTAGCTGAAAGATTAAAGAAAGGTCAAACCGTTGAGCCCGAAGGTTTTGACAGTGTGACTGTATTCTTTTCTGATGTTGTGAAATTCACTCAGTTATCTCAAAAATGCAGTCCTCTACAAGTGAGTGTACATAATGAAAATACTTTAATGACCTTCATGGTACAGGTTGTGAGCTTATTGAACGAACTATACAGTAACTTCGACAACATCATTGAAGAGCATGATGCATATAAGGCAAGAGAGCTCCAGTTCTTTGATCTTCACTATGAATATATTCAGGTGGAATCCATTGGTGATGGCTACTTGTGTGTATCCGGCTTACCGACCAGGAATGGTTATGAACATATAAAAGTGATCACAGATATGTCTCTTGCATTCCTCGACTATTGCAAATCGTTCCGGATAGCACATTTGCCGAGAGAACGAGTGGAACTTCGGATAGGAATAAATTGTGGTATAATTCATTGGATTATCGTTCCAAAAACATGCATCTTAAGGACCTTGTGTGGCAGGTGTTGTCGGACTTTCAATGCCAAGATATTGTTTATTTGGAGATACAGTGAACACAGCTTCTAGAATGGAGAGTAATGGAAAAGGTTCGGATTATCATGAAGCGTACCTTTTATCTCTTGATTTCAGCTAGTCATATTCATATGTCTGGAGAAGCACATTACCTTCTTTCAAGTAAATATCCTGGAATTTATGACACTCAGTCGAGAGGAGAAGTAATTATCAAAGTAAACTATTATTATTTCTTGCAAAATCAAACGATATACAAATAGGGTAAAGGTGTTATGGAAACGTTTTGGGTTTTCGGCGTGAAGGATGGAACTCAGCGCGAGCCTATTGAGCGCAATAACAAAACACCCCCAATGGAAACTATCTCCGAGGTTAAGCCACATAAGCCTCCGCCAGGAAGATCGGTTCAAAGTCCTTCTTCTGATATAGCCTCTCTAGCCAGATCTGCCTCCCCCGAAGCAGTAACTGAAGCTATGTATAGAGAATTTAAAAGAAAAGATACATCCGTTGTGCTTGATGACCTTTAATAAGATCCATGTTTTTAATGAATAAATAATATCATATGGTATGAGCTAGAATGCTGTTCGATATGATACCAAGGAAACTCTTTAAGTCAATGAAGGAGTTTGAAAGAAGTCTACGTATTTTATTATCATCAAAAAAGATTGACGACCTGCAAACTTCGGATCCATGAACTTTGTGAGCCTGCTCTTATTCACTGTCAAGGTAGGACATTACAATGTTTCTCGATTTTCGAGCCTCTCCGGGAAGAATGTATTTGCTGTTAAGAACTATAAAGCAAAAGTTACGATGTTTAGGGATAGTTACTTAAATCCTTACTTCAACATTGATATTTTTCAAATCATCAATTGTTAGAAGATTGAAACCAGTGGGAAATGTTATGGTCGCAATAATCAAAGCCTATAAACATCATTTGCAAATAGAATAAAGTTTTTAAACCTTTTTGACGTTCGTCAAAGCCCTGGTTAAAGATACGAGATGATTAGGTTCTGTTGCATTCTTAATGAAAACTCCAGCAGAAGCATGGTAATTGCTGGGACACTCCTTGTAAACCACTAAAATAATAGGAACAATTGTCTCATGAAATTTACTTACAGTATTGACACCCATACGTTAAACCGGAACGGACACACCATCCAAAATCTCGAAGTTGACTATACACAACTAACTTTTCAACCAACTTCGATCTGTTTTCTCTCGTGAACACATTCCATAAATCTTCTGAATCAAGATTATAAAATATAAAAAAAGAAACCAAACCTGCCGTTAACGCATTGCTTTGTTCATACACAACAATCCAATTCTTCTTGAAGTATAAATAAAAAACTTCTTCAAAACTGAGCTCCAAACTACAAACGCTTGGAGTTTTACCTGAGAGATAGTCGTAAAAATAGTAAAGTCAATTTTTGCTCACTGCTCCAGTATTCTCGCACAGATTCAGGCTGGTCGGAAAATACATCAGGGTTAACATTATTCTGTCTCTCACCCATCTTATGTCCATATTTACCCTCAAATCAAAAACGTTTGAAGAAGAAATAGACGTACCCACTGACCTGATCATTTAAAAATGAAATAGCTTCAGGGTCTCTCACAAAAAAAGCTTTACCGTGTAACAACACAACTAAGCGTTTATATGGGGTCTTCCCTGAACAGACAGACACACGACCAAACCTTTTGGATTGAAAAGTTATTATATCCATACCAACAGCACATACAACTGAAAAACCAATTCGATCAAGACAATACGACTCATATGTTATTTCCATAGCTCAGACTAGCTCCGCCCCTTTTGCAAACAGGCGCACCATTTTTGATTTCCTCACATTTTAAACTCTCAATTTTTTCTGAGAAAGAAGAAAAAAAAATTTTTTTCCCTGACAGATCAAAAACCAGTCATAAACCATCAATTTTAATATATATATATTCTTGCAAAGATAATCATGAGGAATATCTTTTCTCTCTTTTTTGTTCAAAAACTGGAAAAGTATTCTCTTCGATACTGAGATGGCGCTTTTGTGAAACAAAAGAAAAGGATGTTCCAAGTGATACCCAGGTAATCGAATGAAAAGAAAAAATTCTTCAGGGTGTTAGATAATTTCGAAAATATTGAAAAGACAGTAAAACTCCCCGAAGAAACGGGTATAAACAAAACAGGAATTGAGGTTTGTTTTATCACAGTTAGAGCAGGTTATAAGATATGACAGATAGATATATCAGTATCAGTTTTATAGGCAAGATTGTTCATTAGTTTGCCCATAGCTTCTCCACTTCACCCATCAAGCGTAGACAAAGCTCCTCTTCAAACGGTAGAGTAACAACTTGAACTCCAATAGGGAGCCCAACCGTTTTCGTACAAGCTTCACGAACAATTCGTTGAGCGAAATTGTAACCTTCAACGATGTAAAATTTTTTTCGAAAATTCATGGATTCATACCGACGGGGAACTCCTTTTCATTCATCAGAGCATCATCATCTTCTGATGTAACTGCCCCGGTTGGTACCACACCGGCTGGAAAATCAATCAAGTTGAAAATTCCTGTTGAAACCGCAGCAAGAGCCATGCGAGATGGATAGTTATGTGGGACAGCAGGAGCTGAACAATTGTACTACACAATATATCATGATTGAAAGCCTTACTAAGAAATCCTGGGCAAATCAGTGCATCTACACCCGAACTTTTCCAATAATCGACAAACTGTGTGAATACAAAAAAGTGAAAAATGCATTATGAAACGAACCTTCAAACGGTATTCATCAACCTGCTCATTGGTAATTCTCAAGTCTTCTAAGCCACCGACATATGACTGAGCAATCAAAGCTAGCTGAGGGCTTATTCGAGAAATGATGCAAGAGACCCAACGAAGACAACGAGGAATCTGAACAAAGGCTTTTACAGAGCACTAGAAAAATCATACTTTGAGCAAAGTCGCAAACTGTTTCATGTATGGATCGACAATGTCATTCTCAAACAGGGAACGTGCGTAAGCACCACCATCAGGCATAACTTCCTGTAAATAGAAAGTTTGTTAGGTAAAATATACTAAGTAACTTTATATAATAGATTTGCCATGACGTCCACATCAGGAACTGTGAATCTGACCATCGTATGACCACTTGCTTTCAATTTCTCGACAGTGTCAATAACTGCTCTCCTCATTCTGGATCATTCCAACAATGAACAAATTACAAAAAGAGCCTCACGATGGAACAGGAAGACTAAAACCATCGAAATCGAAGTAACCTATTCTGAGAGGTCTTTGAGCTTCTAGTTTCTGCATGAAAGAATGACAGTGATTTTAAAAAAAAGTTTACCGAATCAATAAGAGGAGAATATACGGAAAGAGGAGTTACTTCTCTATACTCAGATGTTCCCAGAGTAGTTTTAAGAAGAAATATCTGTTCTTCAACAGATTTTGAGAAAAATCCGAAACTTAATCCCAATCGAGAACGCCCCGGAACACCTCCATGACTTCCTGTCACAACAAAACGATCTAAAATTTCTATGATTAAGTTGAAGAGATTGATAACTAACCTTGTGTGGGTTTCAATGTTGTTATTCCACACATTACTGCAGGAATACGTAAACTTCCAGCTAAATCACTTCCAATTGCGAAAGGTGTTCCCCCAGCAGCCAGAAGTGCTGCTTCTCCCCCTGACGATCCACCAGGTGTTCTAAGATACGAGATGTATTATCATTAAATACAACAAGAAACCTTGTGACATCGTGAGGGTTGAGAGTTGTACCATAAACTGAATTGGAACAAACGAATGACAACAGAGCTTGTGGAACATTAGTCCTAACAAAAGGAACGCCCCCCAAGTTAGTCAAATGTACTACGAATGAACAATCAGTTGACTTTGGTTGCTCCACAAACTTCGCTAACCCAACAGCACAGTCATAACCATCCATCTATCAAATATATATCAACACTTTCGAGTATTAACTCACATAAAAGTTATCCTTAACACTGAAAGGAATACCAAACAAAGTTGGTTTATCAGATCTTCCTGCCCACTTCTCATCGAGACTCTTTGCAAGTTCAACAGCCTACGAAAGCCTAGCATCATAAACAATTCAGCAGACAAACTTCTTTGATGATCACGGTGCAGCAATTGATTCTTTCTTGTACTTGTAACATTTTCCAAATATAAGCTGTTAATGTTTCACTAGCAGTCAGCTCTTCTTTTTGAAGTTTCTCTGTTAACAAACATGGTTAGCCTCAAATACATCTCATATTCGGAATAACCTCTGAGCTCGAAAAGAGATAAGCTAACAATTTTTTTTCTCTGAGCAATGATATCCTCATCATCTGTCTCAACAAGCTCTTTCCATTGATGAAACTCATCGGTTCTTTTTTTAGAAACTCTTTCTAGAGCTCTTCTTTGGTAAGTAGCCGAACTCCAAGGCTAAATATTAAGATTGATAATCTAGTTATACACAAACAACCTTGAATATCACAAATTTGAATATCAAATATAATACAAAACAACACCATAAAACTGTTTGAGAAAAGACACATATGCTCCAACTTTCGGAGTAACTCACCAGTATATTCCCCATAATCACGACAAAATCCTAAGAGGAAATCAGTTTATGAAAGCTAAAACGTAGCAAAAATAACAAAGGCATAATAACCATTAGAGAAAACTAAAGTAAATTTCATTGAACATATTTAGCAAACTATACTGCTAACACCTATGAAAACTTTCATAACACGTTCTTCTAAAAAATTACTCAAAAACATCTTCTTTGTCACAGATGTATTGGAAAATATCTCTAGGAGTTTTGAACTTATCAGCATCTCCGTCAGGAATTTCGAACCTACAAGATTAAACGGTGTTAAGTTTACAAAATGGGGTCAAACCCGAATTCCTCTTCCATAGCCATAACCATTTCTACATGATCCAAAGAATCAAGCCCCAAGTCCTAGAAAATTCAGTAATCAGTTAGATTTCAGAATTGCCCTACTTTAGCGAAATCAGAATCCATAGTCAGCTTTTTTGGATCAATCTTATCATACAAACTTAGCACAAGAGTTATCCTTTCTTCCAAGGTTTTCTTGGTGAGGGGAGCCTTTATTAAACGCCATTAGTATAACTTCCTCTCAGAAATACAAACCTTGGCAGAATATTGAGGCACCGAACTATGAATTGTGCGCTTCAAGTCAGTATTGAGCATCAATGGTCGAGCAACAACTGGAGCTAAATTTCTTGTAATGTTGCCAACTTGCATGGAGAGCCGAGCAACGGCAGCCACATTTCGTAGCATATCTGATCTGAACAGAAATAATTAAACTAAGTAGTTACTGATTATAAACTATCAACAAATATATCATTTGAGGAACTTAGAAGTTCATCTTATTGGGAAGAAATGATTTTAACGTTGGAGCATATGTTAGCTTTTGAGCGCAGTTACCAAAATATAAAAGCAATTGAGGGATAAATATTATCATCACGGGCTTTTTTTTCCTTTTTAGTGGTGTAGTTTTTTTCAATCGTATCCATCAATGAGGCCACAGAACTTATGATAGAGTTTTGGATTATTTAAATTTTATTCTCAAAATTAACCAGTCGAAGTAAGTAAAATGAGAAGCTAATTTGTTTGGGTTATTCCATAGAATTGTGAAATGAAAAGTTTTTCACTATTTGACTTGATACATTGACGCCAACTCGAAAATATCACAACTTGATATAAAAGGAGTGTGAATTATTGTGTTTGGAGTATGTGTATTCTTTGGCATACTTATCTTTTTCTCTCATTATCAATGATTTCATTCTTCTACTAATACTGTTTGGTTCAACATGTTTTCTCTGGTTTTTAAAACTGCTTTGTCTTTCCCCAAAGTATCAACCTCATCAAATGTTCATTTCAACTCAAGTAATGAACAGCTGTTCACCATTTCTCACTTGAAATCTCTCGAAATGTGTTACCTTCATTCAAAGAAAGCTGATGAAAGTTACTCGTTCGTACCAAATTTTAACATTTACCTTCATTCTACTCAATGTAGCGGAGGTAAGCGAACCAATGATCAGACTAGCCGTTTTGGAAATCATGATTTATTCCCGTTTTTGATTTCCTCACATTTTAAACTACCTCAACTTGAGAATAAAACATTTGCAATATTCGTGACCATACAGTTAATATTTCCTCCCTGACAGAGCAAAATCTAGTCGTGAACTATAAATTTCTTATTTTCTTACAAAGATAATCATGAGGAATATCTTTTATAACTGTATTGGTTATTCTCTTTTGATATGTTACGCGAAGGTGAGATTTAGGTTAATACCGAGTCCAAATTTCTAATGAATCATCCATTCCGTTGAAATCTTATCAGTTGAAACTGAACAGTTCCAAAATGTAAACTAATAAGTGTTTCATCAGAGTACAATGAGCTCAGACGAATTTGCCAAACCAGTTCGAGACGGTTCCAAGTTCGATAACCCCCTTTCGTTCAAAAATTGGAAAGGTCTTCCGGGCTTCTCTTCGATACTCAGATGGCGCTTTTGTGAAACAAACCAGGAGAATGTTCCAAGTGATACCCAGGTAATCGAAAGTGAAGGAACAAATCCTCAGTACCATTCAGATATTAGATAAAACTATACCTGTGACTAATTTAACATCATTCGTCTCGCAAAACAAGTCGAGCCTGTTCGCAAGTTGGCTCGGCCATGCGACTGTACTGGTAGAAATGGAAGGCGCTCGGTATTTTTCTTGGGTAATTCAGGACTCCGAGAGAATTTTAGGTTTATTACTGACCCTATATGGGCCGCTCGAGCTTCATTCACATCTTTCTTGGGACCTGCAAGATATAGGCCGCCTCCAATGAAGATTGAGGACCTACCTGAGGTAAGTATACTTAGTCTGTTGGCAGAGAACGCATGACACAAACTCGAAATGACATGAACTTTTCTCTGAAAATTCGCATCTCTTTCATTTTATTCAAACTTCACCAAATCAGCTGTTGTTTAACATGTACATGATTTGCAGCTGCATTTCGCTGTTATATCACATGATCATTACGACCATTTGGACTTAGAATCGGTCAAATATATCAACAGGTTACTCATATCAGCGTACAGTGATAAACGCTATATATAGAGCCAATCCTGGAATTCGTTGGTTTGTGCCGTTAGGAATGAAAGAGTGGATGAGCAGTGTTGATATCCAAAATGATGAGACGAACAGAGAAAGGGTAACAGAATTAAACTGGTAAGCGATGTTTGTAATCCACCCTACGAAGTAATATTCAGGGGGGAAAGCGTTGATTTCAAAGTCAAAGATAAGAACTACACCGTTTGGTGTTTACCAGCCCAACATTGGGGACAAAGAGGCCCATTTGACAGAAATGAAGTTAGTTTCATCGTTTTCGGGATGTCATGTTCAATCTCTTCTTTTTTTTCTAGAGATTGTGGTCTGGCTGGGCTATAATTGGAGAAAACAAAAGATTTTACTACACCGGTGACACTGGCTTTTGTGAAGATGAGTTCCGAAAAATTGGAAATAGGCTGGGACCATTTGATTTAGCTGCTATTCCTATTGGTGCTTACGCCCCAAGGTAAGAGTGAGCTGTTGATTAACGTGAAGAACGTTTTCTTTAGATCTTTCATGAAATCACAGCATATCAATCCAGACGAAGCTGTCGAAATACACAAATTGATAAAATCGAAAATGTCCATTGGCATTCACTGGGGTACTTATCACATGGGATCTTATGAAGTAAAAATCTAACCTAAGGTTCATAGATATTGTTTTTTTCCAGTATTATCTCGAACCTAAGCAGAGACTCCAAGAGGTAATGGAAGCAAACAGTGGATTGAACCCGTTTGAAACAATACAAATGGGCAAAATATGGGAAGAGCAATAAAAAAAGGAACCACTTATTCCTCCAATCTTATCCGCTTTTCTTCTTGAGTTCCTTGTTCGGTCTCTCTCTCTCGTTGTCGCCTGAGCAATTTCTCGTAGTATGTCTCTTGTTTTACAGGTTTAACTTTTTTCTCTTCTTCCTCTTCATCATCACATACCGCCCTGGTGGTTGGGCACAGAGGGTCTACGGCCTGAAGATAAACCATGTTTTTCTCACTGGTAGCACATCACTCACCATCGCTAATCTAACTTGTTCATCTTCATCCAGTTCTTCCACTACTGGCTCTTCATCATCGTCATCAACATCATCTTCAAGTTGAACTTTCCCGTCCGGTTGGAAAAATCCCTGGCCTTCTAACTTCTCAGCAGGATTAACTAATCGTTTGCAACTGGAGAATATATCATGTATACTAAATGCGAGAGAAAGAGACTAACCTCATTTTGATTCCTTCCTCTTCAACTTTGCAGAAAAATTTACGAAGTCCCCGCAATAAATATTTCGAATCATATTCTAAGCCTTTTAAACGGGCATTCATTGCTGTAAGAGCAGAGTTAAGAAGTACAAGTTTTTTTCAAATAAACCTCTGTTCAGCTCTCTTCTTATTTCTCTAGTATATCGCAGGACATCCTTACAGTCAACTTCCTTCTCTAACTGAGTCTCGATAAAGTCATCGAGAACAATATCTTTCCATTCGTCACAAATTACCTGTGGAATAATAATAGGAAGAACTTTCGGTTTAATCTAACCTTCTTAGAAACAAGTAATAGCGACAATACGGGAAGAGGCATTATGTTACATATATAAGGCTTCGTAGTTTCTAGATGCAGTCCATAAAAAGATATTTGATGCAGCGTCGAAACACCACTAGCATCCGAATGAGCATCCAATGATTCTAGACACAGTATGATCTTTCAACTCTAATTGACTTACCAGAATGATACTGTGCTACACTGGAGTTGGGATGAATAAGAGAGAAAGGTTTTCGACGGGTGTGTACAAAAAGCTCTTGGCCTTGCTGAAGCGAGAAGTTAAAAAGTTTCATGTCGAGATAATCAAACTCTATATTTATTATGAGGATCCAATGAAGCATAGTTTGGATACAATCCAACAGCTATGATGAATCTAATAAGCTGAAAAAAGATATGACAATATGTATTGAGAGGAACAAACATCTGCATCTTTTCTACGAAGCCTATGGGTTTTCCGAATAAATTCGACGTCTCTCTGCTTATGGCTAAGAAGGAATTCCACTGTGTTTACATCAACTTTCAGCACGCTTTGTTCCCTTTCTACAAATTTAGGATCACAGAGGGATCAAGAAATTGATGCGTTACCCAAGTCTTCTTCTTCCTTGTCCTCTAGAATGGAATCAAAGTGTTTATTGGCTTTCAACGTTTTTTGAGACTTCTCAGCATTTCTACCCAGAATTGATCATCATAATCATTATCGAACTATAATACCTGGCGTCTCTCTTCATAGCAAAAAGCTTTTTCTTTTCTCCTTCGTCGATTCTTCTCTGTCTCGAATCTAGCTCCCCTAACTCTTCTGCAGTAGGCTTTTCAATCAACCCAGCATCCTCCAAAACTCGCCTATATGATTCTTTCATAAAGCTAAATAGTTTTGTCTAACCTGTATTGATTTCTAAGTTTACTAATCTCATAGAGACGATGTTCATCTATTCCATTTTCTATAGCCCAACGACGTGTTTTTCCCCCAGTAACTTTTTCCTCAACCCATTCTCGGAACACGTTTATACAGGTGAAAGGATCTCCCATTGGACTAGTCAAGGTACTACGTCGTTCAACAACATTCGATTCCCTAACATGATAACATTAAACATCAATTATTGGGCTTAGGTTGAACCTGAACGATCTGTGAGTGAAAGGGCTTTGAACAGATAAGCTCGCCGCAACAGTAAGCATTACATCCGTTTGATCCAACACGCAACCCATAATTAGCATCTGGAAATGAAAACCAACTAAGAAAATACTCATTGAAATTACTTTTCCAATAGAAACATCAACAGGTAATTTAGCTATTGCATTTCCTAAAGCCGTCAGTTGGTTCTCTCGGTCTGCATACACAATTCCTTGGAACTTTAAAGTTTCCAATGCAATGTTGAGCGCTTCATCTTGTGGATGTTCTATATATGGAAAAGTCCGTGGATCAACTGAAATAGCAACGAATTAGCTGAGACATTTCTTTTCTTTGAATACGTCCAAGATTTAGACTAATCATCCGAAGAGCCATCTCCTCTAAAGAAACTCGATGTATTTCTGGAGTAGTGAAGTCATCCATTTTTTCAAATTGTTCAGAGGAGTATAAACGATAGCAAATACCCGGGCCAGTTCGTCCAGCTCTACCTATATATCCATATTTGATGAATTTAATATATTTAATGAACGAGCCTTTTCGCTGATTGGCCGATGCTTTGGACACCCAAAACTCAGTCAGTTTCTGCGATCCACTTCCTGGCTCATGTTTGATTAAATTAACCTGATGTTCTTAACCGTTATATAAACACTGAATTGAGGTAAAATAACCTTTCCGGAATCAATTACAAACCGGATACCATCAATAGTAACAGAAGTTTCAGCAATATTCGTAGACAATATGCATTTACGTATACCAGGAGGAGCAACATCAAAAACTTTGTCTTGTTCCTCTACCGAAAGTGTACTGAAATATGTTTTATAGAAAATAGTGCAGCATGATTACCTATGTAAAAGTAGAATGATCCATCCTTTCGAAATTTCTGCATAGGTTTTCAGTGATTCAGCCACAGTTGTCATTTCAGATACTCCATTCAAAAAGATTAATGCATCTCCTCTTTCCGTGGAAGGTACTTCCTTATCAATAAGCTACAAGAGAATTTAGTGTTAATCGAGGCGGTTCAAGTACCTCAAGAATTCGTAAAAACGGAGTTGGATCAATCTTGTGATCTTTTTTGGCTGTGTCAGCCAAAAACTGTTTTATTGGATGGTATTTCAGTTCTATGGGAAATAATCTACCAGGAACCTGAAACTCACAAAAGGTGAGAAAACTGAATGTCATCCTACTTTGATGACTGGTGCTCCTTCGAAATAGTTTGAGAATAAGTCCAAGTTGATCGTGGCTGACATCAAAATCAGTTTGAGATCGCTTCTGGTCTTTACAAGTTCTGATAGAAGTCCAATCAGTAGATCCGAGGTAAGATGTCTTTCGTGCACTTCGTCTAAGATTAGAATCTGTGAAGACAGAAGTCATCTAACTAAGTTGTTCTCTCAAACATTATATTGCTCCAAAAGAGAATTCATTTCCATTTGGCGTAAAAGTAATCCTTCCGTCAAGAAGAGCATTTTAGTTTTCTTTCCCTTTGTTGTCTCAAATCTGAACAAGTATATACTATTAAAACCTTCTCTCTATTACCTTATTTGGTAAGCAACTTCATTGCCAAAAGCATTCAACGTTTCATAAGCAACTCTTCTAGCTAGAGCCGTACATGCTATCCTTCTTGGCTGGGTGCATGCTATGCCAGAATATCCGGCTTGAAGTAGGTATTGGGGAACCTATAGCATTTTCATATATATTTATTCATAAATATAATTATATCTGTTGTTTACCTGAGTACTTTTTCCACAACCCGTGTCTCCGGCAATTATGAGAACTTGATTCTGAAAGATTCATTTGGCTAGGAAAACCATTTTTGGATCAAACGTTTTCCAGCAAGTGAAGAACTTCATCTTTATGGGCATATATTGGTAATTCTTTCTGGCTTTTCCTCAAATCTTTCATTTTCTTGAACTTCATCTCGTTTAAATACTCCAGTGATAGTTGAACAGCGTATTGGAAGTGTCGTACTAACCATTCTGGAACCTACAGGAATATAAAGACAAAGTGATATAACTTATACATGGCTGACGAAACTTGGAATGGCATTGTCGATAAGTTGAGGCATAACGAAGTATCTTTTACTAATATCCTGAGGAATTTCATAAGAGTCTCGCTTCATTCTTTTCATGTCATAATGGTCTCTCGAAGTTCCCCCAGTTCTGTTATCAAAACGTTAATATACTGCTATAGTACATCACTTTACTTGATGAATCTGTTAAAATATGAATTGATGAACTGTTTCTGCGTTTTGATTCTTTCTATGTCGTTGTTGAGTCCTCTGAATAAGAACAAATAAGAATCAAACTATAAATGGGTATACTTGTGGGCTTCAGAATCTGCGGAGTCTAGATAATGACGAAAAAGAGCCCCTTTATATTTGGAGAATTCTTCAGTAGTAACACTACCCATTGAAGATTTGAAACTTTGAAACTTCCAAACTATAGTTCAAATGAAGGTATCTGGTTAGCTGTGTTAGTTGACTGATATCATGGCAAAATTTGAATTAGCATTCGAGCAGTTTTTCAAGCTAGGAGCGAGATTGTTTACGGGTCTCGCTTTTTTCCACAATAACTCTTTTCGCGTTCGTATATGTTGTAGAATGGACATCTTCTCGTTTAAATAGAAGAATATGACGATAGTTTGAGCTCATTTGGAAATCAGAAAAGCTTTGTTGTTTCTCAACACGCCAGCCATATGTATGACCAAGTTGTATGAGTTATTCCACTACTCATAATCAATGGCAATAAAATATGAGTAGCCATGATTCAAAAGAAGGTGAGGAGACAAAACATGTAAAACTAAAGCCTCCGGAGTGTCTACAATAGCCTAGTGATCAATAACTGAGTATATTAGGTATTTTTGGAAGTTTTAAGTTTAACGATCCTTTCCTGCATTTCCGAATATAAACTTTTATTTCGTATTCTCATTACACTGCCCGTCATTTGACGCATTTAAACTCTTAGAGAAGGCTCATAAAAATGAATCCATTATATCCCTTATGGGAAAACTTTTCATTCTTCAACTTGAGTTTTAATGCGATGCCAACTTAAGCCCGAACAGATGAATTTGTAATTAATGCTCAATAGAGAAATAATTTCGTTAATAGTTACTTTTTCATATCCGTATATCCAGTATACAGACAAAGAATGCAATGGCTCTGCGTATTATCTACCCAAAGTTGTTTACATGAATATAACCCACGACCGCTAAACAGTTTTTCTTGCTTAAAATGAAAAACAGAGTTTCTGAAGAATATAATGAATCGTTCCGTATCAGATAAGAAGAAAGATTGAAAATGATATTTATAAAATCAGATTTCCTTTCAAATATGGAAATTATTTTTTTAATCATCTGCCCAAATCAGATACTTCCTCAGTATTGACAGTGAGCCAGTCGTTTCCTGTTCGCCCAGTCAATCTGTCGTTACGTGCCTAAAATAAAATTGAAGCCATTGTTATAATATTCTAAGCGGTACCTGTTGGTATTCATACCGATTCAAGTTAATCTCCATGTTCAAATACTCTTGCGTTATTAATCCATCGTTATACTTTCGTAGAAGTTCTTCATTTTTCTGTCTGAACTTACGATCTATATCGCTCGTATCAGTAGGGGCTCTCGTAGTAGTTGTGACATTACCAACAAAATCATCCACAGCTTTCTGTTTAAAATAATGAGAAAAATGATATTTTATAGAAGTTTTCCACTCTCCAATCACGAATATAGGCAAAAGGAACTTACACTAATCTTGTCTACGACATCAGCTACACTTCTCTCGATCCGTAAGCTCCTGCGAATATCCGATTGTGTAGCAGTTGTTGTTTGAACGATTAAAATAACTAAAAACGCTTTGAAACTCTTCATAACTTTCTCTAGGGAAGTTCACCTTGAGACTGAACTTTATCAGCTTCACACTCTATTTGAACTTCTCAGATTTCAGGTTTCTTTTAAGCAAATAGTACATAGCACTTGGAGAAGTTAAGTAGATTGACAATCTGGATGTTCCGTCGTTAAAAATCATTCAAAGTATTCGAAAAGTAATTACAAAGCTGAAATATGTTTGAACGAAAACAAATTTCCTTCTCTTTTCCTGATTTAATGCAAGAGATAAGAGGAACACACAACTTATCAATTAAATCAGCGAATAAATCTTACATTTCCTACAAAAGTAAAGACAAAATCGTTTACATAGTCTATTTTTTATGAACAAGAGAAAGCTCTTATTTTCCACAAATCAAAACGAGAAGATTAACAGCTGTGAATGTCAGATCGCTTGAAGTTTTCCACTCCCATTTTCTCATTTGAAGCTTTAAGCCCACACATAGGCATATCAGTCGATAACATCATAATTAAAACTTAGCAAAAACGCTTCAAAGATCTTTGTCTTTTTCATTTTTGCTTCATATACGACATTTCACACATTCATCTACATTTTTGAAGGTTCTCAAAGCTATATTGTCAGAGGTCCGTCACTCAATGTTGCTTTGAGTGATAGTTTCTCTCGATCTTTTCGTTATATAAAACTAATAATAAGTGATGAAAGCATTGACCCAACTTGTCCAATTTCATGTTTTTCCTAGAATTGCGTTTTAAACTATACACATACATTTACATCTATAGAAGGCATTCAGAAAATTTTTTTCTACACACACACACACACACACACACACGCTTACAAACACACACACAGACACACACACACACACTCACATTCATTTTCTCTCAGACTAATATTTCTTTAATTATACTAGCTCATCGCTTTATCGAGAAGATTCTTATTGGTTTTTGAAATTCTGTATTACTCAAAAACAGATAATTCGGACTTCTGAGGTGTTAGTGAAGCCAGGCAAGGATGTTTCATCAAATATTACATCCTAATCATGCTAATCGATCTAATTCAATGGACAGCTTCAGTTAAACATCATATTCTAAGCTCTAAAACCATATTTTCATAATATAATTATCATTTTATAATCGGTTTTTCTCTCAGCTTTCACATTGATTATGAAAGTCCACAATATTTTTAGTTAGCAAACCTTCATTGTATTTTTATGTCAAAAACACGTGTGAGATTTCTACAAACCGTCTAGTTCACTCCTAATTTTAGTTCATTTTCTATTCTTTATCGTTTCAAAATAACAAATCCCATTTTATAATTTTCTCTCTCTTCATCCATCCTTGTCTTTCTTTCCTCTCTTTCACCCTCTCTTTTCACTAGAAAGCTTTCCTCACTTTATTTATCTCACTATTTGTGCAATTCTGAACTTAATCATTCTCTATTAAAAAATATTAGTAATAGTCATCATTTTCTTGTTAATTAGACAGAACGATATGGCTTTTCCGGCAAGCCAAGCTCAGCTCAGCACTAAGCTCATCGTTTCCGGAGACGTCTATGAATGTCAGAGCTTCAACCATTTGGTAGTCTATCTAACTCTCATCTGCCTTTTCGTAGCATTATATACAAATATATCTGTGACGATTTAATTGGAAATTTTCAGTTATTTCAATAAAAAAATTGAACAGAATTTAACTAGAAAATCTGTTTCTATGAACTCAACAGACTCCTAATAAATCATTTTCATATTATTAGACATTAAAACTATTTGAAGTTTTAATATAACTTATATGAATGTATAAATTAGTTTGATATGATTAGCGAAAGACTTTATTGACTTGTAATTAAATCAATGTTTTATTCAATAATCATGATAGAACTCGCATTAGAATTGAAACATTCTTATTTATTCACATCTTATCGATAAACTCCTTTATTCACAACGAAATTGTTAATCTAAGCTTGTTATTATGAAGCAATATTCTCTTTTCCTGCTTCTCATATTAACGCTTAGATTAGTTGCTTTGGCTTCATCCTATTGACCATGAGCGTTATTTCTTTTGTTCTTTAACCCACTGCTCATATATTCACTTATTCATAACAATGCCTTGCCTTAATACTATTTATTTTTTAAGATTTCGTTTATATTCCAATGATACCGATCACTAATACATCCATTCCAACATCAGCGTCATCATCTGCACTTAACACTTCGCCTTCACCTGTCCGAGCACGTTTTGCTTCACTATACGGACACAGATCTGGTAAGCCTTGATTACAGATATTATAAAACTGTTTACCCTATTTTTAAACCTCGAAAATGTTTTACCGCCCATTTTGCTTTTTCAAATGTGATTTATGATTGGTAAGGTTGTGAGCAGAGAGTATTATAATGATTTTTTTCCCACGTAAGACCCACGTCATTTTGTTCGCATCATTTCTTGCCCTATAACACGTGATGACCGGTTGAATGTGAATGCAAATTTCTGATTTATAGCTCCCATTAACATCATGTTGTAGCTAGCTTTTGACTTTATTGAAACTAAATCATTCAACTTTTTTTTATTATTCCTACCCAATCACCAATAACCGATGAGTAGTGTATAACCCGAACTCTGCTTCTTTACACTTTTTTTTCAAAAATAATTTTGACACTTGGTGTGACCAGCAACAATCTATGAGTGTGTGTAGATGAAGGGTTTGTCAAGATTAGTTAGTCAATTGTCAACTCAGGTTAGAGGAAATTAGAAAATTAAAAAGCTGGGGTTATAACAGTTGTTCCTAAAATGAAGACGTGTGTTTTGTAACTTAATATGTCTCGATAGAAATGTGGTCAAAGTTTCTTTGACCTCAGTCAGATTCTGTGACTTTTTCTAAAATTCTATTCTAATAATTTCAACATATTCATTATGATATCAGTAATACTCAACGGTTCCACAAAAGGTTTAATTTCAACAAATTCTTCTAGATGACTCCCATTACTTAATTTCAATTTTTCAGCCCTTGGCACCACGACATCATGTGAACAGCAAAAAATGATCTTGCCCACTCGAGTTAAGGGAGAAAAACTTGTTCGACACATGGAATCCTCCCCAGATAACACAGAGGACATAAGGTCGGTTGTTTATACTATAAGAAACAAACTACAAGTAGAAGACAGCGAGTTACGAGACATAATAGGACTTATTGATTAATATTCCTCTGCCGAATTTGAAAGTTCAGTTCAAGCCTCTATTCATAAACAATATGGTTGATGATATTGTCCCTATTACATTAGCGGCTTTTTCCTTCAAGTTTTGAACATGAGCTTAAACGTGATTTCTGATTATGTTAATTCACACATGGCTTGCGCGTGCGCTGCAACGTGGGAAAAATATTTGAAATTTATTATTTTTTGAATTGGCCAAAGCGAAAACGGTTGCTTATAACATACCCATACGTTATAATCATATTTGGAAGTAGAGTTGTGAGTTGCGGATACGTTTTTTCTTATTCATATCCTCCTTTTGACGAATAGCTGAATTTCACTCGTAGATTTCATTCTTTTTTTTTTGAAGACGAAGCATCAACTTCCTTCCTCTTATCATAGTTTTTCTTCTTTTATATGCTTAATACATATTCATAAACTCAGAGGAATGAAGAGACGGACTCTTTTTCTCAAATGTTTTAAACAAATGATGCTTGTAGTAATTCTTCGTTACAATATAAGATTAATTGAACTTACAAGCATTTCTTCACATCACTTTTTCATCTCTTATTTTTTCTGACATTTCTTTCTATTCTGTCTCATATATCTGATAACTTTTTTCTATTTTCTCACTGAGAATTACTAACACACGATTCAATTTGTTGAGTAAAACAACTGATACTCTCTCTCTCTTTCTCTCTCCCTCTTGCTCCCTCCTTAGAAGAATCCTGCACATTTCGTAAATACGGAAAACGAACAAAATAATTAAGTGAAAGAAAAAATTCATCAGATATTCAAATATTCAAGGTGATGTTGCGACATGGCTGGATATGCGAATAGAATTGAGAAGATGACATAGATTCTTCGCTAGCGAATGTTCAGCTTTCGGCTCTCATTTTTTTTGATTTGCACTATGAAATTAACGAATTTCTTCAAGTTATTGAAATGATAATTACAAACAATTTATATGCTTGAATGTGTAATAATTAATGCTTCTGGAAAATCAAATAAATTGAATAGGCTTTTGAACTTTGCGTGAATGGAAGTTTCGTTAAAGGCTTTGAATGTTTTCAAGAAGCATGAAAATGGAATATTACATATAGTTAAAACTAACTATATGCTTATATTGCATCTTAAGTGATGTTGCTATTCATCAGCTTATTCTCAGCTCTATGGAGTTGTGCATCATCTCCATTCCATCATCACTGCGTTTTCCTGAACCTTAAATGTGTGTGATGTAGCTTTTCGTCAAATGACATCTTTCACTCAATATGTATCTATCGAAGCTTCTCAATAATAGAAACTGATCTGTTGTGATTTACTTCTGCGAAAGGAAATCTTCCATCCCACTTCATTTAGCTTCTAATTTAATTTTTCTTGCCGTCAACTATCATCTGTTCAAACGCAGCTCTCGTTGTCGTCAACGTTTTGAGCTAACACTTCGTCATTTTTGTCTTTCTTGTCTTCTTCATCATCATCTTTACATCACCCTTCTACTTATTGCCATCTTGCTTTTCTTTCTTTCTTTCATCCGTTTTTTCCTCATGTAGTTGTCGTCTTTTTCTTGCCAATAATTTGCCTTTCTTGTTCAACATAATGTCCGTTTTGTATTGAATCTTCCTCTTGTTCATTGTGAAAATTGAAAGCTTGAGTGTCCCACACCGATGCAAATAATCAGCTGAAATAGTTGTGTATGAAGCTAAAAATTGACACGACATATTATACAACTGGATAAAAAACCTTCGAACAAATCTTGCCATTCGCATTTGATTTGATTTTGCCCACGGCTCTTCATGCTATTTCCAGACATTCATGATCAAACTCATCAAGTGTATAGCGAAGTTACATATTTGGAAAACATCTAGTATAAGGGAGAAATTAACGTTCTACTTCATGGCATGTATTTCTCTTTCGTTCTAAATGTTTTCCAATAAGCAGCTCTTTCATATATGTTATCCTCTTCTTCATCATAATCTTATTTGATACTCAATATAGCATCTAATTGAAGTTTAATAGTTTTTTTTACAAATAGAATATTTTCATGCTTTTCTCTTCAATATTTATTTCACTGCGAGATAAACCATGAGTTGTTCGTATTTCCTCATTAGTCATTAGTCAATGCACAGAAATTGAGCAATTCATTTGAGCTTTCCATGACTTAGCTGGAGTGGATCTGCTCTCTATTTCTCTTTTATTTTTTGCTTAAACGTTTATCTTCTCTTGGCCTAATGCTTTAAGGCTCTTCTTCTTTATTTTCTCTATGTTTCGTTCGAATCGGAAGTTGTTGAAAGTAACAGTGTCTCAATAATCTGCTATCTATAATATATGGAGGGTTTATCCCTCACAGAAGCTGAAAAAATAAATGAGAGGAAGAGAAGAATAATTTTTTTTTCTAACAAGACATTTGATTATAAGAGCATAAGATCTCAGAAAATAGCTGATTAGACAAAAAAAAGAAGGAAGGAAAGCTTTGGAAACAGAATTAAAAAGATAGAAAAGCGAAAAAAGAAGAACCGCCTATGTTTCATATGATGTATGCTTGAGAAAATTTCTACGATAAATCTGATCCGCAGTAAAAGCTTTAATTATAAAACTTGTCTAATCCATCCTCATCCATGTATAACTGTGGTCCTTTCAATTGCATCCGTTCCTCTTCTCATTTAAAGCTCATCATTTCAAAAATGATTGAGCTCAACGGCTTCCAACATCACAATACGTTCGCTCTAAGTTCACACATCCTGATCTTATCCCATTAACTTTTCGTATATTTTGACTAAACATTGAAATTTTATTTTTGCTTCTATATCGCTGAAGGTTGTTTCAAGAACAATTAGAAGTTTCTTTACGAATCGTGTATAACCACCTATTTGTTGAGATTTGTTTCCTTTTCAACATAATCCATATGATTGCTAAGGCTTCTATCCAACCACCTTAGCTTACATTTATGATTTTCTTTTCGTATATCGTCGATTCGGTTTCATTGAAAAAATGTTCAGAAATCAGTGTGAATCCTTTGAGGATTACAATCGTCATCCACATTGACTGACATGTTCAGGTGAGATTACTATTCTAAAAAAAACTTCCTTTTACGGTTTTTCATAATATTTCTTCATTTCTCATATTCAACAACATGTTGACATGATGGTTTTTAAAATTTGAGTTAGAGAAAGTCCACATTTGTCCCTATTTTCGGCAGATTTCCTAAAGTTTATGTTGAGAGTTTTCCTCAGCTCGCCATAGAAGTTTATATGTGTGTGAGAGAGAGGACGTAATAGAGAAAATCGGAGAGAGAGGAAGAGAGAGAGAAGAATAGAAAATGGAGGGAGAGCTATCTGATAAAAATACAGCTGATGATTGATGAAGATCGTTTCCATAATAGGATGCAAACGTTGTTAACAACTTTTTTTTAAAAGAAAACTTAATTAGAATGTCGGATGTTATTCATTAATCAAGTATTATTTGTTAAAGTATTATTGAACTACCCTCGAATTGCTTCAATGATAAGATTGAAGTGGAAGTTTTGGAAAAATGAAAAAAGTTTTCTTCAATTCTTCTCCAGCCCAGGGCTGCTGGTAAACGCCGTTCTTTCGTGAGAGAATCTGTTTAAAATACTTGGCCAATGGGATTAGTGGAATGCTTTTCGGGCAGCGCTTCCCAAATATTCCAACATAGTTTATTTTTTAATAAATGCTATTATTGAATTCATAAAACGTGTTGTTATTGATTAGTTATTAAAGACTTAAAAAATGAGCTGCTTGAAGGTCTGTGTACAGATATGGTCAAAACAAAAATATTCAACAAAAACACTTGAGAGATTGCATAAATTTCTTGCTTTTCCTTCCTTGTTTGACCTTTTCTCCTGCTCTATCAGCACATCAACGATGATTTCCTATTCATCAAGTTTTAAGCTTTGAGCACCTGAGAAGAATTTGCAGCCTTCAGGCACAGATTGAGCTTTTCGCTTTCCTTTTCTATCGCTTGCACTAATAGCATCTAATGTCTTTCGTAATTTCCGCTAGAAAAAATGTTCTGAAAGGACAACACCTTGTGCTCATCAAAAGGATCCATTACATGTCCATTTACCTTCCCTGCTTGAGCGACATATGTTCAAATCCCAGAATAGAACTTCTCTTGTCGCTCTCTCCCTTGAAAACAACGACAATGTCATCATCTATGTGCTTCATTATTTTCTAAACAATGAATAATTTGGACTGAAGCGAATCTTAAAGAATATTCTGAAGCATCGAAAGCACATAAATCTCTGCATCTACTGAATAGTGTAACTTTCTGGGCGAAATCATTGAAATTTGAAAAGCAGCATGTTCAATTACGTTTTTCTATTAGAAAACAGCTAATTAATCTTTTCAAAATTATTTGCTATCTCATGTTTTATTTACTTGAAAGTCTTCAAGCTCTGCCAGTCAAGCATCGAAAACAAAACAGTTGACTATAAAACAGAGAGCTTGAAAATGAAAATTAGTTTAACAATTTCTCGTTGATCACAACTCTTTGTTCTTTCTTCTCTCAACTCCGCTATTTTTGGAATCGGAAAGAGATGAGAGAGAGACACAAAAAATGGATCAGCTTCCTCATTCTTGGTTTCTTGGAAAGAGCTTGCCATATATTGAGCATTACCTTCCGAGTATATATAAGCAATTCTTTATGACCAAGTGTTGATATCTATTTGGATGCAAGGTACATTATCAAGACAAGAGAGATTAGTTGTCGAGAGAACTAAACAGATACAGAAGTCATTAGAGCATGAATCGGTTGGAAAGAATGTGTAAAAGTTGGAGACAATAGACGATGGAAACACAGAACAAGAGAAAGGAGGTTCAGACACAGAAAGATAGAACTAACTGAGATTAGGTGGAAAAAAGAGAAGAGGGAGGGAAGGAAGATGAAAATCGCCATTCATTTCAACTCCTTCTTGTCCTGAAGCCAATGACCACCTTGTGTCAGGCATAAGAGTAATTCACTTTCTTACTTAAACCATGTTTGCCATACCCTCAGCTGCAGTGTAAGTTAAAACTATCCACATCACCTTATATGACACAAAATACTTCAATTTTAGTGTCGCTAGTCTCAGTCAAGATGAGGCTGCAGACGATCCGTTCAGGTAACTGCATCTTGGATCTCATTTTCATACTTATCTATGACTTTAACTGTTGAAATTTTGGCCGAAACAAAAACTCTCTTGCTTGCATACTATTCTTCCGAATACATCTTTCACCACTCAGGGCTATAATGACTTGGGCATTGTCAATTCAAACAATATATCCTTAAGCTCACTCTAACGGTAGAGATGATGAGTTTACATAAAATGTGGATTAAAAAAAAAGATCATAGTCTTCTGAAACCATGTTTTCATTTAATTACTTGATATTACGCGATTATTTCTAGTCACTCGGCTTCTGGAAGTGCCGTATTAGCGGCTGCTAACAAAGAGCATGCAGGCTCAGCAGAACCACAAGAAGGAGAAGAGAAAACTCCAGCAAGGTAATGAAAGATCTCTCAAATATTTCTCACAAAGAGCTTCTCTCTTGATTTTGAGCGCAGGTGATATAACTTCACTGGTAATGCGAAAACAAAAATTCGATAACTTTCATACATCTCAAAGATTGAACATAAACACTGGGATTCAATTTTTTGCACATGTTGAAACGATCGGTTGTCAAAACATTGATAGAGTTGATCGGTCGTCTAAAAAGTTACGTTTTTTCAGATTCCAAGATGATGATGTAGAATCTCGGATGCCTCTTGAGCGTAGTAATCACAAAAACAGTGTTCGGGAGGGACCACCTGTGTGTAGATAGATACCTGATTCGCTTTCTTTCATGTAGAAATTTCAGGACTCAATTTTACGACTGAATATCGGAGGAAGTAGTTATAGAATAAGAACAAGATCAATCATCAAGTTTGGTCCTAAAACACTATTAGGTAGTTTATCTTCAGTTTTTGAACTGAATCAAAAATCTTTAGGGCGTTTCGTGCGTATGAACCATGAACATCGTAGACAATGGGCAGATTGGTACTTTGAAGAGCAGGATGAATACTTTTTCGAAAGAGTACCAAGGTAAAGGATGAATTTTCTATATATTACAAAGCATTTTATTAGATACTTTGATCCTATTTATGATTTCTATGCTACCGGGAAGCTCCATGTGCCTAAGGTGTGAAATTGTTAGCCTCTTCGAGCTAATGAAACTTTACAGGATTTGTGCTTCGACAAGTTCATGGCGGAACTTCGTTTTTGGGCTGTATCCAAATCCCGTATGGATGAGTGTTGCTCACCTTTCACACAATACTGTGTAACAATGGACCCTCGCTCACAGGTTCGAACCGAAAAAGTCCTTGAGAAATCTCTCATTATACAACTTCAAGCTGTTGAGGCAGTGTTTAGATTAAGATACTTTTTCTCTTTTTAGGATGAAATAGCTGCATTTGAGCAGGTCTTATATCTATTAAACGATTCTGTTGATAACTTAATCATTAATTTGTTACTAGATATAGGTTCAATAATATAAGCATGAGAGTGTATTAAGATTTAACTCTCATCCTCAAATTTCTTAACTTCCTCTCAGTTTCTACTCATAAAATCTAATGATTATATCTATTAATACCATCACGAACATGAACGTTAGATAATGATACTTTCCAGGAAAAAGATCACTTCATTGGAGTCCGATGTGCGAACGTGAGAAGACGCTTGTGGCTCGTTCTCGAAGGGCACACGAACTCGAGATGGTGGAAAGTAAGTAATTTGATGCTCAAAAAAAATACGATACTCTGTTCAGGCGTTTGAAGTTATTTCAACAGCTTTCGTGGTTCTTAGTATATCGGCATTGATTCTTGGATCTATACCGGAGTTCCAAGTTCCTCAAAAAACAGAAGATGGTCAGCTTGTATATGCTACAGCTACATATCCAACGTATCCAAATTCGGGAGGTGGAATGACTGAATCACGTACCATAATGAGAGACCGCGCAGAAAATCAGGTATTCGTTGATCCGTTTCATCAACCTAACAATGCTGCGGGAGTTCCTTCTGCTTTTTTTCAAATGTTTGAGACCATAGATCCTAAATTACAGAATAATGGAACAGGTGTTGATCCTCATAAAAAGGTACCCAAGAGTAAAATAACCTGTAATTGAATACCTTCTTCTTTGATCTTGATATGCTTAACCATTGTTGCATTATACTAATTTTGCCAATTAGTACGGTGAAAGACCATTTCCAAAGTAGATATCAGAAGCTTAAGAGTGGTTTTTCGATGGTTTTGCTTCCCTAAATGTCCTTTTCGAGCTGTAGGACTCATTATTTTGCCTTACTAACCAGGGATAGAGCAAAAGTGTGTGTACAAGTTTTGTCCTCATTCATGCTTTTAGGTGGAAATGACAGAACACCCTGTTTTCACCTGGGTGGAGAACTTGTGTGTTATCTACTTCTCAATAGAATATGCTGTGCGGTTTATCGTGGCTCCAAGAAAACTCGCGTTCGCTCGTCAAGTCCTTAACATCATCGATCTCCTATCCATTGCTCCATTTTACTTCGAAATGCTTCTACTGCTGGTAGGTGGATTTAAAATGAATTTAAGTAGAAAATGGGAAAGGAAAATTAGCTATTCGGTGATTGGCCGATCGAAAATGTAATGGTACTGATCTTCGATGTCTATCTCTTCTTGATTTGAAGACAAATGAAAAGCTATTCCAAAAACTTTGTGCTACTTATTCAGCGACAACTGCTTTTCAAATTCAGTCAATGACTCTCAGATACACTACTTCCGTGTCTGACAATGTTGTAATTTGTGTTTAGAATGAATTGAAGAAATACCACGTACAAGCTATTTATTTCAGTGCGGAATTTCTGGAGAAAATGTTCGTAAAGTTCGTTGGGCTTTCCTTACCGTTCGTTTATTACGTGTCTTGAGAGTTATTCGTATTGCAAAACTGGGAAGATTCTCACCAGGTTTGTCACTATGAAAAAATTCATACAGGAATGTCTTTAAGGTCTGGCAAACTTCGCTCTGACGATTCGCAAATCCAAAAAGCAGATGCAAATGGTTGGAGTTGTGATGATAACTGTAGTCATTTTCTTCTCCACGCTAATCTATTTCCTAGAGAGAGACGAGCCTGATACGAAGTTCACCTCTATTCCTGCCACATTCTGGTGGTATGTTTAAAACAAAAGAGCTTTGACAAGTTTAAACCCAGGTGTGTGGTGACAATGGCCACTGTTGGATACGGGGATTTAGTACCTGTGACAGTGGCAGGAAAATTAGTTGGTAGTGGGGCAATTGTATGCGGAGTTATGGTTTTAGCTCTGCCCATAACAATTATGGTAAACACGAACAATTATAAGAATAATATTTATGAACAATTCAGGTTAACAATTTTATGCAAGTTGTTAAACTTCGGGAGGAGAAAATAGTGAAGAAGTATGCTCAGCAGCATGGGGACCACGTATGAGGAAATTGAAAATATGGAGTATCAAACGCACACTTCACAGTTCCTAATTGAAAGTTTTGTGCTAATATTATTATCTCATAGTATAACAATTGCTTTAATCGCTTATTACTATTCATCGATCTAACTGGGTATGTATATATCGATGCATAGGTTTACAATCTCATATCAGCTATGAGACAGATGTTCTTAATAGAAATAAGGATTGATCTCGATTGATCAACTAAAGTAGATTTTTGGCCTAAGCTGAAAAATAAATCATAACTTTCATATCTTAAATGACCTCCAATAAAATAAAGCATTAGGCTCTAGTCGGTACACTACGAAATAATCTCAAAATAGGTTTAGCCATATGTATCTCGAACATGATCGCGCATTTTAAATACAAAACTGCCAAAAAAAGAATATTATATTATGAGTCACCATCCTCGTCAACCCATAGCGAACTATTGTCATCTTCCTGCTCGGAAAATGAACTATTTTCCTGCATTGTTCTGAACTTGGCTCTCAACGCAGCACCGAGAAAAGCACCCTACAATCTTGAGATCAAAAATGTTAGCTCATAAAATTTTCAACCTGGTCTAGATCAGCGCTTGGGATGTAGCTATTGCGTCTACCACGAGGTAGTGGTGTGCCTCCCGGCGACCTATAGAGCTTTCTCTATGAATCTTAGAGCTTCTTACCATACCTGTCTGTATTTGTTTTCTTTAATCTTACAGTTCTCAAGTCTGACACACTCGGCCTCACTACGGCTTCTCTATCCTCCTCTTGACCATCTGGATTACGGTTTTCATCTCTCAATTTTTCTACTGCCTGAAAATTTATTTGGTTTTCGTCAAAAGTATCCAATTTATAACCTCTTGGACAACTTTTGGCTTTAGAATTTCTTGATTAACCGGCTTCAGCAAGTTTGGTGGTAATGGAGGGGGTGGGGGAGGAGCGCTGAATATGGTAGTTGGGACTGCGATAGATCTCAAAGGGGAGTCGACACTTTTTACTTTGATCTAAAAAAAATAGTTACAAAATTAGATGTAAGCAACACACTTTTCCACCCATAGTTGGGCTGCAGAGAGAACCTCCTTTTCCCTCATCGTCCGATGTCATGGATGATCGTTCTGGAGATGTATCCTATGACAAAAAACTTTAAAAGAAAAATAATCTTAAGGCACTTTTTCGTTATTCTTGATACTCATAAAGTACTGTAATTGTTTTGTGAGCATGGCAACTTGCGCTTCCATAGATTGTAACTGGAATACAATGAGTAACATGGAGAGATAAAACAAGAATCACAGTTTCGGCAACTCCAGTCCTGGTACTGCCGATCGACATTAAATCATCGTCATCTTCCAAAGTCATAGTAACAGATAAAGGCTTATTGAACAGCTTAAATAAGAGCAAAATTTTCATAAGCCTTGACAAAACCTTACTTGGAACTCGCTTATATCATCACGAAGAACAGGTTCCGATTTGGCTCGAAGCGGTAGCATTCTCCATTTTGGGAACAAATAAGGATTCCTATGGATAATTCCTGAGAAGTAGATGATACTCTGAAGCCAAAAGTTATCATGTACCTTCTTCATTGTCATCTGTGGTCAGAATTTCTTCAATGTTATTAAATGAATATTTCGGGATCTTCTCTTCAATTTGGCGAGTGTCCTTGTTATAACAGAATGAGATATAGTATTAATATTAGAAAAAAAACCTCAGTAAAGATCATCGCCGCATCTCCTTCATAGGTTATAGGTTCGAGAGAAGAATATCTAAAGATTTATACAAATAATACGAGGCCTTCGAAACAAACTAACCTTAGCACCATACGACGCAGATGACGCCTACTGGCGTTTAAAGTATTATTATAGAACGTTTCGAAAACAGCACGGATTCTAAGTCCCAAAGTTCTGATCCATAACCTCTATAGGAAAATTTTTGTTTTGAATAGGACAGAGACTAACCAATATCATAACTTCTTGGTTGACGCATCTAGCCATAAGCTCCATGCTACTTACATCTTGTTGAACAAGTGCTACCGGATAGGATGAAGATTGCTGTGACACGTAAAACAAAGAACAGTTCAAATGTGAACTTACTTCTTCATCAGTGTTTGGGTTTTGGTAAAAATGCACTTGGGATATATTCAGAGTTTCGTTATTGGTGTAGGTCTCAGAACTATGTGATGTTCCTGTTCTCTCTATATTCATGTTCTCTGTAACAGGTGTTCGTCCAGAATATAAAATCTTATCAATCATTATCAGGTGTTAAACATAAGTAAATGACAAGAAAAACAAGATAATATTGATTGATTAGCTTAATTGCGAAAGATGGGTTGAAAATTCAAAATATTTGGATTCGCGCTACTCGTAAACAGCGTGCAAGATTCAGATCGGTACAAGTGAGAGTAGCGAAGCATTATGCATTCAAAGACGAAAAAAAATTAAATGAAATTCATGAATTTTATTGAATTTTGCGGAACGAACAAATAAATAAATATCAATGTATGGTATATACAGTTTAGTTGCTGGGTTGAGGAATAGAATCTCCAAATTTCTTCTTATGCACTTCGTTCTTCGCTGGGTAAAGAACATCATTGTGTATGTAAGCATCACAGGGATAACACCAAACTGCGAGATCAGCTAAAGAGAGAGCCAAGGGATGATTGGAACTTGTATAATGAGAGACTGCGTGTTGATTAATATGCCGACCACAGTGAGGCTGAAGAGGTTTTTGTCAATCAATATTATGCGAAAGGGATGAGATCTGTTGATCAATGACCTACTTGATAGCAACACAAGCATATCCAGATTTCTGCTCTGATTTGACAACAAAGACATTCGGCATTGATGTCTATTCCGATTTCGGGAACCTGCTCCACCTTAATTTTGAAACTTCTATTTTCGGCTCATCAAACAGAAAAATACCACTGCTAGATGAGGACAGCTCGTAAGAGGGGTAACGCAATGCAATGATCCGAAATTGGGTTCTTCATCAAGTCTTTCAGGACTTCCCGGCGGCTTTTCCTCATCCATCCACTCTTTATCAACCTTAATTGGTATGTTATATTTACGTTTTCATCCTTCTGGAAGTTTCACACTACTATCTACCAAACAAACAAAGAAAACAAATAGAAATAATATCTGATTTGGACTTCTATTCAAACCAAACAAATCTCAGAAGCCTTCGTTCGCTGTGTTTCCCCCTCCCCACTAAGCTTAGCATTAAACAACATCAAGCATGTAGTCTTTCTAATTTATGAATAGATCGGCACTCATCATAAGTAGAGTCCGTGTCGTTATGTCGTTATGATATGAACTAAGCAAAGCGTAGCTCACCTGGAATCCTTTGAGCATGTTCCAATATTCTTGTTGAACCGAAACTACTTCTCGAATTGTGGCCAAGGCACTGGGGCTGTAGGATCTAAAAGGAAAGAACAATTCCGCAGAGCACTTCTCCAAGTCTCACTTAGGTTTAACAACTGATGGATCGCGATAATTTTTTTTGAAGCTCCGATTGATCATTGTCTCACAAACAGCAGAGGCACTCCGAGAAATCGAATCAATGTTATAACCTTAATTGAAAAATGGAAAAGACACTTCCAATGAGATTAAAACCTCCTTCTAAGACTGTGATGACGCGTCCTCCCGCAATGGAGCCAAGGAAGTGTGCCATTAAACCATAGGCCTCTGGTGACACCTTGAAAGTGATCTCGATGAAAAAACATAATACAATGACTTACTTCATATTCACCGAGGGGATCTCCCCGAGCGGCATCAAAACCAGCTGATATGAACACTAGGTCTGGACTGAACTCATAGGCAATGGGCATGATAATCTAGATGGATGTGATTATAAAAGTTTAGGGAGTTCTGTTACTTTCGTGATAGCAAGTTCATATTCCTCATCACCCATTACACTTCCACTGAACGGGATGTTCACAGTTTTACCAATTCCATTGCCGATTCCAACATCTGTAGCCTCTTTGGGTTCTCCCATTGGATAGAAGATTCCCTTATCATGTCTATGTATTGAAACAAACAAGACGTTCTCATTCTAGAACAATTGGGTTAAGAAACTTCACGATGAGAATATTAACTGAATAGAATATTTCCTGCGTGCCATTGCCGTGATGGACATCCCAGTCAACAATTAAAACTTTTTTGACATCATATTTTTTCATAGCATACTGAAATAAGATTGATTGAGCAAGCTTAGAAGAATTGCTTCACCTCTGTAGCAATAGCAACATTATTCAAGAGGCAAAATCCGCTTGCGTTGGATATTCCAGAATGGTGGCCTAAATGGATACAACCTCAGCAAATACATATGAGTTTACAGCTCAACTAAGATGCTGCATGAATAATTCTGGAAGAGTGCTGGCACATTTTTCTGTTCACACACCACCACATTCTTTCTTCTAATAGTTTGTTTTCCAATGACATTCACAAACGTATCAACGCCATTCGCAAGTGCACTTTCAAAATTAGCATAATTTTTATGGCTCGCTCTATTGCATTTCGCACTATCTTTTTTGTTGGAACGGTCTATAGTCATTTTGAAAAACGTGAAACGGTTGCTTACCTGGTGGCCGAACTACTGCGAACGCATTAGTCAGTCCCAATAGGGATTTTCTTTCCTCTAATACTCGATCAACACACTGCAAATATTTACATTTCGTAATAGTGTTACAATAGTAAACTCCTTGTTGAGTTTCACAATAGTCTATTAACTTAAAAGTTACGAGTTTTGTTTTAATTCAATAATCATTAATTTGTTCAAACTAAGATATAACGCATCACTTATTATCAAATTCGAACTATTACTAGTAATCAAAAAGCAAAACGATCTCCAAGATTCTTCTGGCTTTATATAACTATTACTCTATATGCTCCAAAACTTTGTAGTGATAAGATTCACAGTGATTTGATTGCCAAATGGCATCGAGACACTGTGACTATCCTACACTTTTCATACAAAGACTTTCGTAACCATGTCATTGTGTGCTCTAAATGACTCATTTCCATCTTTAAAAGAATATGTCATATGTATTTACGTGCACATAGTTTCAGCTGTTGATTCTACTCCAAATCATATCTAAAACGTGTGCTGGCATGCTGTAGACTCTGACTGACAGGTATGTGTCCCTCATTATAAGCGAAAGCTTAGAACGTTTGAGGTATCAAGAGACCTAAAATGGCTTTACCACTGTTCTCACAACTGTTGGAGAAGCAGTTTCTGGTTCCCTTCATCGTATACTTCACGTTTTTCCGAATAGCTAATGTCCTTCTTAAGCAGAAGTATTGGCAAAACTTTGAAGGGTTTAAGTACGACCATCTCCATTAGAAGAATTATGAAAGTCAATTTGTTTCAGGAAATACCGTTTACACAATTTGTCAATCTGCTTACTACATTCATTAATTTCGGGTACTTGGTCATTGACATTTTTTTTGTGTAATTGGCGGGTCATGATCGAAGAATTGGCAACTTGGAACACTTACTTTGCTGCTCAGCTTCCGCTCTTTTCAATAGGTTTTCTATCATATTGAGAGAAAGTAAGATTCAGCATCATTTATAGCTTACTTCTGTCATGATGCCATTGATATGTTAAACTATGAATGGTCTCGTTGGACGCTAGAGCTAATAATTCATCATCTTGCTACATGCTTTAGCTTAAGCACAGGAATAGTTTCAAAAACATTCGTGCTCTGCGATTACTGGGCATTACTCATGGAAGTGAATAGGTCAGATCATCTTCCGACAATCTTAAGTCATCATATTATCTAGCATATTTCTACATTGTCGAACCATCATGCAAATTAGTGGGCAGAACAAAACAAACCGTCACATTTTCAAAATTGTTCTTTTCCTCAACATTGCTAGGTAGGAAACTGACTCGATTGCAGAAGTACTGAATTTCATATTTCAGCTTCATTCTCTTCCGTTTTCTAACTCAAATAGTGTTCGTATATTTGATTCTTTTCCACTTTTTGCCTTTCATGGACTCGTTCTATGTGATAGTCGCATTAGGAGGACCTATCGTTTTTCTCATCATCAATGGAATGCTTTTCTTCCGAATTCTAGCATCAGATGGATTTCTCACTGAGGAATGGAAGAGTAGAGCTGCAATTACTAGGTATCCATCAGTTTAATGATGAATCATGCTAGGAATTTTCCAGAGATTCTATCCGAGAATGGAAGGAAGAAATTACACATAAAACATCATAAAACGCATCTCAACTCTGTTCCAAATTTGTTTTTTCGGGTTTTTTTCGTTTAACAATAGATTTTACCTCGAGCACAGCTCCAACAGCTTTTTTTGCTACTTGAAAAGAACTGTTCGTGAAGTAGATAGAATCGAGATCTTGTTCTCTTCTTCGAAGTTCTTCATTAGTCATCTGAAAGATATGATAAAGATTTGAAGTATTTGGATTTCATACACTTTGCGTTTTTATTAGATCTTGGAGGTGAGGACGTTCATGAACCAACATGATTTCTTCTTCAGTAGCGAACCTTTGATTGACCACCATATGACACTGACTATCAAGTCCGTCAGCTCGGAATTTTTCAATAATCTTACGCACATGGAAGTACAATTATGACCATCAGTGAAAACTACCTGTTTAGTCCTTTCAGGCCTTTCGGGATGCTTTGCAGTTGCCACACTGTGATGAGTGTGGTCATCGTCATTGTAATATACATACGTTTTAAACTGCAACCCTTCTAAACATTTTATTTTATAATCACACGCAGTGTCTTTGCTACCGGCTTGTGGAGCATTGAAGTCTTCCTCAAGGTAATTGTTTGATATGCTCAAAGGATACGTTTTTAACTTACGCTTCATCAAACTTAATATAACAGTTCTGTACATATTAACATTATTGAACCTACCGATGAACTGATCTGTTAGTTGAGCTGTGATAAAACTTCAAACTTGGCGAAAAACGTCTATGATATGTAATAGCTTTTAAACAAGCATATGTACTACTGAAAGTGGCCGGTAGAATACATGAGAGAATAGGAATTACCTCGATATCACGGAAGGATTTCTCACCAGAGGTATCGGAGGCGATCCTTTCAAAACTCGGAGACAACGTTCAATTTTTATGGCCGCCTCCTCAACATTCCCAATCTCCTGCAATGAAGCCAGAGAGTGGACCGGAGAAACCTTATTTAGATACCTCTAAGATCATGAGTAGTTTGCCTTTAGCCAGAGCTTTCAGATGATATACAAGGTGAGAGTACAAATCAGCAGATTGTTCTAAAACACTATCGAACCCTGTAAAGATATTTAGATTGATAATTCGATGCAAGTTTACCAAGAGGTACAATAACCATATGAGGATTGAAATCCGAAGCGATTGGCCAGATAACATTAAAAAGAATTTTGATGAAATCAAGATCGTAATACTTTTCCTGAACTCTTTTTTTATTTTTTTTAAACTTTGAAATTTCTAACTTTCGCTATTTTTATATTGACATTATATCCTGTGCCCTCGCCGTATCCAACATAACGACTCTTCGATTCTGCTTCAGGTGTGATATCAGAATGCTCCCCATCAATGTGGATGGATATATGCATTACTCTATTTCTCACTAATTAAATTGAAAGCTTTACAAAGATACCTTTTGTCACCATAAAACAATCGTTGAGTCCCATTTCCGTGATAAGGAGAGAGATCAACAACAAGGATTCTGAAACGCCAACATGAACACAAGACAAGTGAAAGCGAAGAACCTATCAGCTCCAAAATTAAACGCAGACTCAGCAGCTTGAGCGATATTGTTCAAAATACAATTGTTTTCAGGTAGATTAGTATCTACATTGTGTCCTCCCGGACGTACTATAGCAAAAGCGTTGGGAATCTTAATCGAAGAATGATCGAGTTGAGTTCAGCTCTTACCTTATCTTCCATTATGAGCTCCGCCAACGTTCGACAGCATGATACCCCTTCTAAGGCTGCTAATAAAGATTTCTTAACATATATGATAAGTTTAAAAAAAAGAAGCACCGATTACAGGTGTGAAATACATATATTTGAATGTTCTACAGAACTCATCAATTTCTGTTTGACTCATGGATGTGATGGCCAACAGTACATCTATATATGCTTTGGTATGTGTAAGTTTTATATCATTTTGATCAAGAGATGGCCAGCTCTGAAACTTTCTAAGTAATCTATTCATATCATCTTGAATCACCTCAATAACGTTGCAATCCCGTTCTCCTCCTAAATTCGTAATACCCTCTCTAAGCTTTTTCATAACTACAGAATCATTCGGAGCTATTTGATGGACATGCTTTTGTTCCTTAGGATTATAACCAATAGCGGTTTTGTAACTCAGTTCAGAGGCAACCTCGTGGACCTCCATCTCTAGAAATTGTCTTTATATTGATTTAATTTGTATTGACGGCCAAGCTTAGGCGAGATTTGGAATGATAACATGAATATTCAATTAGTGAAACCAAACTGATAGATCAAGCGAAAATTGAATGGAATTTGTTTTTATTGTTCATACTAAGTCAATATTCTGTAAAATAATGCTAATCACTTCGTTTAGAAGCTAGTCTATCATACGCGGTCAAGGGTTTTGGACATGCAGAATTTGTATTTCGCCATGGAGCACAATATGAGGTTCTACTGATGCAATGGCATTCTAGTTATCCTATTTTTAAACTCTTCAAACCAAATATTCTTTTGCACGTATTTCGCTCACCTATCTCTTTTATTTTTTTTCTTATTTTATTTTGTCAATTTAATTCTTGTTCTTATGGCTGGACATGAAAATCTTGTCAAAGAGCACTGAGCAACTCTCAACTCATATTTGGCTCTTAGGGAGAAAAGTTTCAACATAGATCCAACTTAAACCTCTGTGATAATTTTCTGTTTCTCAGAAACAGAGAAAGAAATTATCATAGATATCTTCATAAGGCTTTTTATTTAGTTTGTAAAACTTTTTAGTACCCCATTATCATTACCGGCTGCAAGTAAAATTCAAGTCCTTATACATATTCCGTAAATTGATTTTTTGATGAACCGCATTTTCTTAATCACGTCATCATCAAGTTGAAGGCGAGGGAAGGAAGACGAAGATTCCTATTTGAGGCTTGTGAAATCGTTTCTTGCGCGAGATTGCGTCAGTGTTGTTTCTACTTATTTGCAGTTTGAAATTTCTATTTTCGTTTTTTTTATCTATTCGTATCACTCTGCTGTAGTCGTCAACCATCGTGAGTGTTACAGGTAAAAATGAGTACGCTAAGTACTGTCCCTGACAGCATCAATTTTCCCGCCGAAGAGGAAATAACGCAAAAGCGTTGGGAGGACAATGAGGTTTTCAAGAAATCTCTTGAGTAAGAACTTTGCAACTACACCTTTACGTTTTATCGTCTTCCAGATTATCTAAGGATCGTCCACGTTATACTTTCTACGACGGACCTCCTTTTGCTACTGGTCTTCCCCATTATGGCCACATTCTTGCTGGTACCATCAAGGTGGGCTTTTTCAGCCTCAAAGCAGTACCATAATGTCTTAGGATGTTGTTACTCGTTGGGCTCATCAGAGTGGATTCCATGTTGAACGACGTTTTGGCTGGGATACGCACGGATTACCCGTGGTTTGTACCATGTTCTCTCCCAAAGCTTCTCAATATTCTATTTCAGGAGTTCGAAGTTGACAAAACTCTCGGAATCAAAGGACCCGATGATATATTGAAAATGGGAATAGACAAATACAATGCTGAATGTAGAAACATCGTTATGCGTTATTCGAAGGTACATTGCTACATATGAATTCCAAAATTTTGTTCATTCGAGGAATGGGAGGAAGCTGTTAACCGTATGGGTAGATGGATTGACTTCAGAAATGATTATAAGACTCTGTACCCATGGTTCATGGAGAGTGTTTGGTGGGTCTTCAGTGAGCTAGTCAAAAAAGGATTTGTTTACCGCGGAGTTAAAGTAATTCATTTTCAAGTTTTTCTACTACGTTTTTTGTTCAGGTTATGCCTTACTCCACTGCATGTTCAACACCTCTCTCGAATTTCGAAGCTGGACAGAACTACAAAGATGTTGTAGACCCTGCAGGTGAAGAATTGATATGTTTATATCAAATTACTTTTTTTTTTAGTTTTCGTCGGGTTCCGCCTAGAAGATAATCCTAACCGTTTGATGGTAGCTTGGACAACAACACCTTGGACACTTCCTAGTAACTTGGCTTTATGCGTTCATCCTGATCTCGTTTACGTTGTTGCGAAGGGTGAGTCCTATATGGTTGAAATGAACTAATCTGTTTTTGCAGATAAAACAACTGGTGTTGAATATGTTGTTATGGAGGATCGTTTGCCTGAATTAAAAAATGAAAACTTGGAAGTAATTGAGAAGGTACGAAACTTACTATTTCGCGTATCATGCCTCATGCGTTATTTTCATTTTGTTTTAATGATATTGAGTAGCGGTTGTGCTTTAATGAAGTTGGCGAGAATCGTTTCATTCAATCGTTTAACTTATATCGGTAAAATATATTTTTTCAGTTGAAAGGCAAGGATTTGGAGGGAAAATCCTACTTGCCTCTGTTCCCCTATTTCGAGCATCTCAAGCAGGAGCGTAATGCTTTCCGAGTTTTAAACAATACTTTCGTAACAACTGATCAAGGTACTGGAATCGTTCATCAAGCACCCTATTTTGGAGAAGTCTGTAAAAAAGAAACATTCATCTATATGTTCAATTTAGATTGATTTCCAAGTTTGCTTAGAGAACGGTATTATCACAAAGGATATGAAAATTGTGTGCCCTGTAGACGCCAACGGATGGTGAGTGTTATCATTTCTTAATTAAAAAAGTTTGTTGTATTACAGCTTCACAGCAGAAGTTTCTGAGTACACTGGAATTTACGTTAAAGATGCTGATAAGCAAATCTGTAAGAAATTGAAAGAGTCTGGAAACTTGATTCGCCAAGCTGAAGTATTTATATAATTTACATAACCAGCATCATTGTTTTTTTCAGGTGAAGCATAGTTATCCTTTCTGTTGGAGATCAGACACACCTCTCCTTTATAAAGCTGTACCATCCTGGTTCATCAGAGTTGAGTCCATCCGTGATCGTCTTCTTGAATCTAACGAACAGACTTATTGGTTTTTTATTTTCTCGTTCATGTTTTTAACTATTTGTTAAGGGTTCCCCAATTCGTTAAGGAGAAGCGATTTGCCAATTGGCTACGCGATGCCAGAGATTGGGCTGTATCTAGAAATCGGTTTTGGGGTACTCCTATAAACCTTTGGGTCAGTGATGATTTGGAAGAAGTTGTATGTCCTTCAAGTATCGCCGAGTTAGAAAAATTGACTGGGCAAAAAATAACTGACATTCACAGAGAAAAGTTTTATCTTAATCGTTTGCGTTGATTCATTTCTTTTTCTAGTGTTGATCATCTCACGATCCCATCTAAGACCGGGAGAGGAGTTTTGAAACGCGTCTCCGAGGTGAAATCTTTTTTGTAATATTTCCTTGTATAGTTATGATATTCAGGTCTTTGATTGTTGGTTCGAATCAGGATCAATGCCCTACGCTCAGAATCATTACCCATTTGAGAATAAAAAAGTTTTTGAAGATAATTTCCCAGCTGACTTCATCGCGGAAGGAATAGATCAAACACGTGGATGGTTTTACACTCTTCTCGTTTTATCTACCGCTTTGTTCAATAAGCCACCATTTAAGGTTTTTCTTGGTATTACTATTTTTTTGCTTATTTTACATACTTAAAGAATCTTATCTGCAATGGACTTGTACTTGCCTCTGATGGTAACAAGATGTCCAAGAGAAAGAAGAATTATCCAGATCCTATGGAAGTAGTTAAGAAGTATGGAGCTGACGCTCTCCGTTTGTATCTCATCAATTCTCCTGTTGTACGTGGAGAGAATCTTAGATTCCGGTATTTATGTTGTTTCTTACCTCTCTGAAAGTTTTCTCTCAGTGAGGAAGGAGTTCGTGAGCTTTTGAAAGATGTCTTCTTACCATGGTACAATGCTTATCGTTTCTTCGTTCAAAACGTACAACTATACGAGCGTGTAAGATTCATTTTTTGTTTTTTTTTTCTGAATGGCTGTTTCAGGAAGTAGGGGGAGTTTTCTCGTTCTCACATGAAGTTAAAAGTGAAAACGTCATGGACAAATGGATTGAATCTTTCACCAACAGTTTAGTCCAGTTTGTTAGGAAAGAAATGGCTGAGTTAGTGCTGGCACATAATGGTTGCATTTATATTTCTCCTGCAGATACCGCTTATACGCTGTGGTCGCACCATTGACTAAATTCTTCGATACATTGACCAACATCTATATTCGTCTCAATAGAAAAAGAATCAAGGCAAGTTATCCGAAAAGCAATTGAACAGATGTCTTTTAGGGAGAAGATGGAGATGATAATAGAATTCATGCTTTGAATGCTCTCGGAAAGGTTATCGTTCTCATCACTCGTTTGATGGCTCCTTTCACTCCTTTCTTCTGTGATTATATTTGGCATAACCTCCGCAAAGTAAAAGTTTCACGAAGTGATGCTATAATTTTTTTTATTCACAGATCTCTGGTCACTCGGAAGAATCGGTACATTACATGCTTCTTCCGACGCCTGATGATAGCCTCATCGATGTTACTATCGAGAGACGTGTTGAGGCTATGCGTTCTGTTATTGAACTTGTCCGTATTTGTAGAGAGAGGAAAGGAATACCTGTTAAGGTTGTTGTTTTATCGTATGTTAGCTTATAATAACAGTTTCAGTACCCCCTGAAAGAAATGATCGTCATCAATAGAGATGAACAGTTCTTGAACGATTTAGAAAGTCTTCAGCACTACATTCTTTCTGAAGTTAATATTCGTAAGCTCACTGTCTCTCAAGATAAGACAAAGTATGGCATAAAGCTGAAGGTATGCTAAAAAAGGGACTTGAAAACAAAACTGACTCGCTTCTTAGGCTGAGCCTAACTTCCGCATACTGGGAGCTCGCCTCAAAGGTGATCAGAAAAAGGTCGCTGAGTATATTAAAGGTGATAAGAAGAACCCACCCAAAATCACTGAACAGGAATTAGAAAACTTCTTATCGACAGGTCAGTAAACTATTTTTTCTTTTTGAGCCATCAAACTAGGTACTCTCAACGTTCTTGGCCACGATTTATCATTGGAAGAAGTTTCTGTTAGCTATGCTAGCGACGAAAAAGGTGCTGGAATTGAAGGGTTCGAGACTGCTTCGGATAATAAGGTTTCCAATGGTTATAGCACGACTCATTGTAAGATTTAGACCATCGTTATGATCGACACCACAGAAGACGATAGTCTTAAAGAAGAGGGATTAGCTCGTGAAATAACCAACCGTATCCAAAAGCTGAGAAAAACGGTCGGTTGTTTAAGTTTTCTGGTTGTTATATTACCATAAGCTTTTAAGGCTAAGCTCGTTTCCACTGATGCTGCGGTTGTATACATCCAGATTAAGCCAGCCGATTGTCATTTAGCTCAAGTAGTGGCAGCGCATAAGAAAAACATCGAGACTGTCACAGGTTTGTTATTAACCGAGGTTTTCCATCAAAGTCCCTTCCAGCTTCACCAGTTTTCATCGAGGAATGTCCATCGGATAAGACGCCGAACGCATCTAATATCAGTAAAGTAAAAGATGACGAAGTTTCGGTATGTCATCAAAAGCAGATTTTTTCAAGACAATTTTTTTTTCAGCTCTGGCTGTTCTCTGAGAACTCCTCCACTACTGTTTTGAATTAATTTGGTTACACGCTGTTTTGTTATACTCTAAAATAAAGATTTGATCCGTTCTAGCATGGTGTTTAAATTTAGTAGAAACTTTCATAATTGCCGTGTGAAATCATCATAGATAAGATTATGGAACATTATAAAAGAAAAAAAATGATTCCAAGGTTCAGTACTGCCATTCCTTCAATATGTGGCTAGTGTAGGTATAACTGAGCAAGTGAAGTAATTTACAAGAGATCTGACATGCAAAGTGGTTGGCAAGAAAGTTTAAGCAATGACTTCCTAAAGATGCCTAAGATACATACCGTCTCAATAACTTCAGAACACCATGAACTTTCGAAGTCATAATGTTCAATTATTGTTCTCATAGATTATTTTGTGATAAGAAGTTGATGTTATGTGTTTAGGGAAAAGGACGAGGTGAACTAGTCCTAGGACGTCCTGAACTGGATGAAGCTTATCAAAAAAGACAGAAGCCTCCTCCATTCAAGACAGTCCTAACAAGGTATTCCTTGAGTAAGGTCGAACTCTCAGCCTAATTCAATTCTTCTGTTCTCCATATATTGTTATTTTTTGAAATATCAGTAGTTTGAAGTTGTCCGAATCTATTTGGCTTTGTTTCGTTAGCATGCTTTTTTAAAATGCCAATGGTTTATGTAGCAAATGACCATTTGAAAACAGTGACATTACAGATGAGAATTAGTGAAACTTGTCATTTCCTTTCATGTTTTTACCATAAACACATTGTTCTTCTTTTCATATCTTGTAGTCGAATCAAGAAATATACAAGACCTATTGAAAACAGCAATCTGTTTCTCAGGAGTCTCATCATTTTCTTATTTCAGAAATGAAGCACGAGGAAACATCAACCATTACCTTCATAATTTACTTAATAATCTCCCCATTAGTTATTTCACCTTTCATCAGCTCACTACTTACTCCCAATATTAACGAAGACACTGTATATGGCTATGTTAAGCCATCATTTCAAAAGGTTCATGACTCTTTCAGGTAAACGTGTACTAATAAAAGTAAACTATTAATCTTTTGTTTCAGAAGGAACTTCGGTGAAGGTCTTGAACGAGAAGGTGCGGCTTTATCAGTGTACCATAGAGGAAAACTAGTTGTTAATTTGTGGGGCGGATATGCCGATAGGGAATCTAACAGAAAATGGAAAGCTAATACACGAACTGTACTCTTCTCTGCTACAAAGGTGATTGTTGTTAAAAACCTAAACACTTCATTCTAGCTTTGAACATTACCTCTTCACAACAATGGGTTGAAATATTTTGAATTCAATAGATAAGAGTTTTGATTATGAAGATTCTAGTTTCAGGCTATATCAGCGTTATGTGTAGCTGTTCTGGTCGATAGAGGATATCTTTCCTATGACGATAAAGTCACAGATTACTGGCCCGAATACGGACGACATGGTAAAGGCAACACTACTATTGAGCATGTTCTAAGTCATATGGTTCGGTTATCAAGTCAAATTGAACTTTATCAGTGAGAGTTCTAGGCTGGACTACCTTATTTGGATGAACAAATTGAGCCCGACGATATAATCAATTTTGATAAAATCACCAAGAAACTCGAAAATTCAAAACCTGTTTGGGAGCCTGGTTTGCCAAAATAGCCTTTAAAATTGTTTTTATTGAATATTTGAAGGAACTAAAACAGGCTATCATCCTGTAACTTTTGGTTTTCTTATTGATGCGATAGTTCGCAGAGCTGATCCACGAAAAAGAGATCTATCATCATTTTTTAAAGAAGAAATTGCAAACAAACATGGTCGGTTGAATTTGGAAGAAGAATCTTAAACAACGATTGATATAGATTTAGCAATTGATATTGGCATAGAGAAACACGAGGCTCCATATATTGCTCGAATAACTACACCCGGTATCTGGGAGTACATCAGAGATAGTATCCGTGATCCTAAAATCGTCGTCATGCTGGGAATAATATATGCTCGACTAGATGAAATAGTTGCTAAAATTAGAGATAACCCATCATGGATCGCTATTAACTATGTGCGTGTTAGTTCAGTATTTTTCTGGACTCATTCAATGTTCACTTCTAGTCTCCATCTTTACAGGATACCGTAACACTGAATGATCCCGAAGTGTTGTCGTTACCTATGGGTGCTGTTACTGGAGTTTCGGGAGCTGAGTCTCTAGCTCGCCTATTCGCGCTTTCGATTGATGGTCAGATTCTTTCTAATCGAACATTAGATCTTCTAATGCATCCAACAATAAACAGTTGGCATAAAGAGGAGGTAGGCAAAATGAAGAGCTTTGAAAGTCAATCTAATCTATTCCAGGTTACTCTTTGGCCTGTCATGAAAGGACGAGGCTTCTTCTATGAACGAAATCCACTCATACCTGTAAGCATAAATTGTGTTTTCACATGCATTATGACTAATTTAGGGAGCTTATACCTTCGGGCATCCAGGGTTTGGTGGCCAATTCATTCACGTAGACCCTCGTAATGAGTTAGTTATTTCATATGTAGCAAATGGATTAAAAACAGGAACTGGAGAGTTGTGTACACCATATATGCGCTTGATGCGTGAAGTTTACCGAACTATTTCAAGTTTTTAACTTTTCAAAACAATGACTTTAATAAGAAGCGGATGTAATGTTCTGCCAACCGAAATACGAGTATTGAATGTATAATATAACTCTGATATCATTTCTCCTTTCATTCTATCTAATTGTTTACTTATTTATATTATTTATGTATGTACAAAATGAATTATTTCTTAAGTTCATAGTTTGAAGAAGCATACACATGATATAGTGCGGGATTACTAAAAAGCTTATAACACGTGGCGGTATTGTACTCACGTGAAATCCACGTATACGAGACAATATTTGCATGAAAACTATTACAGTTCATTTCATCAAGCAAACAGAACGGTTGCTTTACCATTCTCTTCTTCCTTTTCTCCAAACCTCCTACGCGTTTTTTTCTCATACTCTCTCCTTCTTTGTCATACTCTCTCTACAACTCATCTTCCTACTTACCTCCATGTCAACGTCGCATCTGTTCGGTTTAATAATATTTTGCGATTTATCACCACTTGTCAACGAGAATTTAGCAGAACTTCCATTTTCTGTATGATAATCCAGTGTTTCAAACAATTCTTTTTTTCCAACGCTCTCAAAGTTCCAATTAATGTTTTTGTCATTATCCTATCTATGAACACAGGTGTGTTTAGAGAAACATATGAATTAGTATAGTGATGCGTTTAACATAAAAAGAAATGTAAAATATATGTTGTGGTTTATTTATAATATTAAAACAATATTTCTTCTTTGTTTGAAATGTTTTCTAGAAGTTAGATTCGTCTTCAACCAATGACTCATAACAGATTTCCCCGCCCCACGTTCTTCTTGTTCAGTGCCTCTAGCGCAGCCCACCTCTGTCACAAACCGTCATGTGTCGAACCAACGTATTCGTTCTTTGTGTTTTTCAATTCATTATATTATCAGAAGCATATTTAAATGGTAAGTCAGTAGAGTTAATTTAAATTTCATAAAATAATTGAGTTTTGAAACAAACAATCAATCTAATTCGTTTATACTTTGGTCTCCAATTGACAAATATTGTTTTGGACTAAATGATAATATTGATTGGATTGATTCGTATAAGGGTTTCAACCGTGATAATCTTAATAAATTGCAGAAAGTGATCATATCTATGAATGGGATTCCATAGAGGATGTCCGAAATCGTATCGCTACCTATACAGAACAGAAGTTCGCGCAATCCTATCATTTATGGGATTCAAAAGACATCGATGAGTTCAAGAAAGGCATTCAAAAGGTTGTTTTCCAGTTACTTAACGATGTAACAAATCTGATTAAGCCAGCTCTGAGTCATCCATTGACATTGTCTCGTGTAAGAAGAGATGGGGGGATCGTATCGGGGCCTATAGCAACAGCTGTTGTTACAGGCATGATTGGTTAGTCTCGAACTCATTTTTTTCTGTTGAAATTCAAACATTCAAAATTTTTTCATTGATTTGAAAAAATCGAAAAGTTTCAAGTATCAATTGACCTCAGTACTTAAAATTCTTTTGTATAACGCTGTTCGCAAAAAACGTTTTCAACATCGATGTTTTGCATCATTAGATCGTTTGTTTTTATATCCAAATATAGAACTAAGCTTTTAAAATGGCTTCCTTCGATCAAGAAATGGAATTCTAAATGAGTTTTCAAGGTATGACAGCCAACACAGTGAGGGAATTAACAAACTTCCATCCGAGCAACTCAGCAGGAGGATGTTTGTGGTTTGGAACAGCTCCATTCTGTAATTATCCTTGTCCTCCAGAATACGATTTCATTCGTCTACACAATGGGAGGTTTATAATATCATTTGTTCATTCAATTATATAGAAATTTATTGAAGATGTTCTAATTTTTGGATGTCCAGCTTATGCGTTCCAGATGACAGCTTTGGCAAACCCTGCTCGACCTTATTAGGATCTTATTTCTACAAAAGATTTTGTTGCAAGTAATTAATATGATATAATTATGCGTATTGGAATCATAATTGTAGATCAGACCCAGCTGAATGCTCTTGGAGTGGGCGATGGATGGGTGCAAATACGGCTCATAATATTTATTGTCGTTATGATAATGTTGGTACTTGTGGAGCTATAGACTGCTCTATCAATCATCATACATTCAAGGTTTCTTTCAACTATTTTCTCAAGCGGGACATTGATTTAATAATGAATTTCAGGCTCAAAACGCTTCAGAAGTATTCGGAGAGCGATGTGATAAAATAAAATTGTTCGGCATGAATGGCAAAGCCACATGTGGGTATATAGCTTGGTTTGATGACGATGGACAGATTATTGACAGCTGGTACAAGACAAGGTAGATCAGAGAGGGGTAAATATCTTCAATCACTCGATTTTTATTGTTTATTTCGTGATTGTTATGTGTTTTACCAGGAGTTCTGTAAGACAGGGATAATTTTGTTGTAAATTATCTTTTTCAGAGTGTGAAAACTTTCAAACTCCTTTCACGGATTTTTCTACGGGTCTAATTTTTCTTTTTCATGTTTCAATAATGCTTTAAATATCTGTATTGATTTTACTCTTAAAATACTATCTCATTAAAGTTTTTATTCAACAGCTTTGTTCGAAATATCACGAAGTGATCATTCTTCTTCTCCAGAAGGAGCTGGTCCGACAGGGGTTTCGTCATAGTCCAAGTCGGGACGTCCAGGATGCTTTTTCTCAATTGGCTGTAAAGAGCTTCGGTAAGAACCAGGACGAGGTAAACAAAACTTACAATTTCCTCTGGTGGGACACTATCTATGTCAAACTTGTTGTAATCGGGAGGCACATCAGGAGCTTCAGCTGTACAATCTTCTTTGTCAGACATAGTGAGAGCGATATAGAAATTCGAAAATGAGGAAAAGTTGGGAACGAATGAAATGGAAGTCCTTTTATAGCAAAATATTTCCATGGCAACGTGAAAATGGAAATGAACGACAACCATAGTAACAGGGAGAAATTAATGTTTTATAATATACTATTTGAATAATTATCACTTCAACCCCTTATGAATACAAATTTAAGATACATGTGATGTCTGATGGCTTTTTTCCGAATTAGCGATATGATATGCGTGACCCGTTTTTTCTACCATTTAGAATATATGATATTATTATAATTCTCAATTCCTTGTTTGCCTTTAGAGCTCAATCCGACAAGTTGAGCACAATGAACTTTACTCTTTCTACGTCGTTTACTCAGCATGTAGATAGTTTGGAATGGTAAAGCTATGAAGAAGATAGGAAGAAGCTGAAAACATTCAACGTTTACTCGAAACTCTTTCAAACCAACAAAAACACTTGATTTCAATGTGTAGTACAAAGGCATTTTGGATCGAAACAAGTTTTCCATTAACCTCAAACTTAACGTGACAACAGCAAAAATTGTCAAAATGCAGATCTGAAGGGATATCTCCATTTCACGTGTTACTCTCATACCTGGAGGAGCATTAGAACAGTTATGAAATGAGTTGTATCAAGGTTTTCTTTCAACTGAAAATGACTGGAAAGACGAAAACGAGAGCTATAAATAGAACGAGGGATAAGCATGATGGAATTATTATTCGTGCACCATGAAGTTCTCTGACGATTGATAAAAGCGATGTATTGAAGTGTGACAAGGCAACCAACTGCAGATATTGTGAATAAGAGGAAGGCACAGTTAACACTTAAACAAAAACTTTAAAAAACGAAACTGTAGTTCACAACAAACCCTCTATATGAGGAAGGTGGTGTGGCTAGAACTGATATTTGAGGATCAATGAAGGATTCATTCCAGTACAGGATGCCTATTATCGGAGCAGGGAGAATCACCTGAATGAGTTGTTTAGTTACGTTCTAATTGAAGATTCTGATACAGCTAGTAATGTGAGCGAAAATCCGATTTTCGAATTTTTTCTTTCATATTCTGCGGCATGAATGGTAGCCAATGCACGTTCTATACAGGCAGCTATTTGCAAAAGAGACTAGAGAATCATATCAGGAGTGAGTTCATTGATATTACATACTTGTACGACAAGTGCATAGAAATTCAGAAGATGACCGAATATATACCAGTTCTTGGACAAAAATATATCACAGAAGTTTTCCATGTCATAAACAAGCTTGCTCTGATAGGCCTCAAATGATTGGACAAGATTTTTTCGAAGCAAATAAAATTACTAAAAAGAACGATAAGATCGATGCATGAAATGTTGCGTTGGAGAAGTAAGCAATGAGAATGATCTGAAAACACAGGTAAATAGGGAAGATTGATCCGTAGGCTAGGCTCACTTTGATGTTGCAATGAAATGTGGTGGGATAAACATACTTCTGCTGAGCATAAATGAGAGGAAGGATAGAAGAAATACTTAAAAAGAATCCAACAAGCTTTATTTGCACGTTCAAGGGAAAAGTCACAATCTCATATCCGTGCTAAACATATTTAAAAACGAAATAAATAAAAATTAATACCTTGTAGCAGAATTCTTCTGTCAGCTCGTAGCTCGTCATCAGTTTAACATAAAGAAAACGACTCCCAAGTTATCGAAACCTCAAAGTTATAATTAGAGAATGAAAAGTTTTAACATTAAAAGCTCAGAAACTAGAGACAAGCCTATGATTTATCATGAGATCTCAGATCTAAGTTTCAAGAGATGCAACTATTCAACTGGCAGATTCGTGAGAAGCAAGTCAACTCATACCAAATGATAATGTTTTTTTTTCGTGAAGAAACTTTTGTTTGTGTCTTGTTTATGATAAGGTTTGTTGACAAATGTGAACAACTGAGAAAATTACTGAAATCAACCGCTCATCATTGTCTTTCATGCTGAAATGGTTCTGTTGGTAACCAGGTTTCACGTGCTCTAATCTTATGCTGTTACTCTCGGAACAGCTGGTTTTGAACTGAAACGAATGATCATGCAGGAACTGAGTTCCATATACTCTTTCCTATTCTCCCTTTAATTGATTTTTATGTGGAAAAAAACTGAGTCATTGCCTCTTGCCTTTTATGTGGTTTTACCCATGTCGCTGGGTCATTTTCGTCCAGTAAATTCAAGCATAATAGGTTGTGTGTATGCTCCGAACAATCGTCACCTCGGATAGAATGGGAGAGTGGCTGGGTAAGTGAAGCCAAAAAAGCTCATGAAATTTGGAGAAAGGAAATTGAAAGTGGAAAGTTTCTAGAATTTTAACTTTGTGGTAAAAAAAACTGCCAAAACGGGGGTTGGTTGTTATAAATTCATCTCAATCTCAACATCAGTGATATATTTCTCAGTTTTATAATGTAAATGAATGAGGAAGACAAAGCTTCAGTTTGTAGAAAGATATTTCGTCATTTAGCTATTGCCTTTAATTAAACTAGCCATGATGATTCATACCAAAATTGGAGAAGATAATGCTGAATATGTGAATAATGTTGAGAGAGATGAGAGAAATTGGAGGAAAAAGGGTGGTCCAAGGACAGTCGAATATATTCGTTCTTCTTTATTCTTCTTTTTGAAAACACAAATGATGAGCAAGGAGAAGAAGGATGAAACCTCTAATGGTCAAAGAAAGGATGACCATGAGATATGAGAGAAATGATGATGACAAGCAGCTCAGTTAACCGATGAGCACATCCATAAGCTTCATCTAATTAGTTGCAAGAAGATGTATATGCTTTATAAGACAAACAATTGGATGAGATTGTTCTCAGCTTTTCCTTTGGCATTGTTTACGATTTTGAGAAGCATCTCCACTTTTCCAACTATCCCTCACATCTCCAATATCCAATTATCCAGTTAAATTCAAAAATTGTCAATAAAGAAAACGTGCCACAATAGTTTTTGCTGAAGTTAATGTCAATGAAAGCATAATTTTCATTTTGTACGGATATCAGGACAAACAAGTCTTGTTTTCTCTCTTCTTACTTGAATTTCTTCGAAATTATCAAAAATGTTTTATTATTCACATTTTTTGAAATGTAAATTGTCAACAGACTCACGTCGTTTGTCATCATTTACTTTGGACCCCAAGGGATGAGCAAAGCCTATAACTGACCACAACTAGAGCATATGAGGAGAAGCCGAGAGGGAGATGAAATCCCAAAAAAAGGGGAAAGCGAGAGCATTCTTCTCAATTTCAACATTGAGCTCAATCAGTTTTCTTATGGCTTTCATTTGCGTTGTGAGGACGAAAATGAAAAAGCTCTTGAAAAGCTTTCGGAAAGAAAAGCGAAGCACATGGGAAACAACCGCTCCAAAAATTCCAAATCAAACAAAATAAAAAAAAAGAAAGTGAAACGCACGCTTGAGAATTCCACATGTAAAGTTGACGGGATATTTGATTACAGGTAAAGTTCTTACAAAAGTAAGGAGAACGAAATTAAAAACGACAGCATGCAATGAGTGGAAGTAGCTGATAGAAGCTCTGAAAAATCACGACACTTTTCGTTCATTTTTTAAATTATTTATAATTTTGTTAAAATTAATTCCAACTCTGCTGTCCTTCTACGAAATACTTCAGGCTCACTAGAACTGTTGTCGTTCACATGATGACGGAATCGTTAATAATTATCCCCTCAAAGTTTGAAAACAATCTTGAAACGAGAGTTATATTAAAATTCAATTCATTTATATTAATTATTCAATATAATTTTTGATTTTTTCAATCATTTGCAAATGTGCTCTCAAAGCCCAACGGTTCGGTTTAAACATTCCGCCGTTTATTATTAAAGGATTTGCTTATGTTGCGTATGAGTAATAATTAAAAAGGAGAACGATAAGAATGCTCCATCGCGAATTCTTTTCATTTCATTTCTTTGGCATATTAACCACCTGCTTGACACAACATCTTCTGTTTCCATTGATGTCCGGTATGTATTGCATATTTGCCAGTCTCATATAATCCTCAACTGTTTGACCATAAATGTACCTTCTTCAAGACATTAACCAGCCAGCCACAGGACCACATAATAATGACACGCCCCCTCATGCTTGCTGTCATCGTCCGGCTGCTGTCCATCGGACAACCCGAACCCCGCCTCTTTTCATCATCCACCAGCCTTCTGCTTGCACTGCGGTTCTGACCTCTGTAGGTTTCGCAGCTGACATCACTCTATATTTTGTATAAAAATATTTAAAATTGTAACAGTTATGTTATACTAACTATAACAAGAATGATTTTATTGTTGTTTATATTTTTATTTACGTCCGTTCAATCGGATATACCATATTATGTTTCTGGAATTGAAACGATATGTGTGGAAGATTGTCCTATGCCTCATCCATATGAAATTATTTGGTTGCCAGCTTCACGTCCACCTTGCTTACATCCTGGACAACCTATATTTGAATGGCCAACATCTAATTGCTCTTTGAAATTAGTTGAATTGCATTCAAACCAAATTTCTGTTGATAACGAAGGCACTGTATATGCTAAAGAGCGTCTTTGCTTTTACTATACGTACGAAGTTATCCATTATTCGTTCACTTGTAACACTGATACTCAAAAAACGTCTTCCTTGCGATTGGGTCATTCCATTTTCACGAAGCAACAGCGACGAGTCAAGCGTTGGCTCCGTCGTCGAAATCCCAATTCCGCAAGCATTCATTTTCAACAAGAACGGTAATCCTTTGTACTTACTTTTTTTTCATTTCCTTCTCTTGTTTCAGTTATGTGAAGGAATTACCAGAGGACATTGAGGTGAATTCCCTAATTCTCTCCGTGCGGGCAACCCATGCAACAAACGAACCAATTTATTATTCTATGGTTGCTCCACAGGATTCTCGCTCTCAGAATATCTTTACACTTGATACAGTATAGTTTCTTAGTGTTTATTCTAATACCAAAATAACTTTTTAGGTATCGGGCGATATTCGCTTAGCGAAATCATTGGATCGTGAAATTCTTGATAAACACGTTCTCAAAGTTACCGCCTATGAACGAATCGATTCTACAGTTTCGAGCAGCACTACTGTGATTATCGATGTTTTGGATGTACAAGACAATTCACCTGTATTTGAACGAGATAGCTATTTTTCTGATATTCGAGAAGATGCTCCGGTGAGTTGGTATTTTTACTCAAGTTTATTCCATCACGACCTTGCTTTCCACACAAAGCTACTTGCTCATCCAGCCATATGCTAATTGTTCTCTTTTTTGGTCATTTCTGTTGTTTTTAACAATATTTCAATTGGAAACTACTTTTCTCTTCTTTTTTTACCATATATTGACTATTTCAATGCATTTATAATTGTGTCTCTTTCTCATTCTCTTGATATCCCTCATTACCGGGCCCTCTTTGGCTAAATCTGTGAATGGCATAGTCTTCTATATGGTGATGTTTGGGAGGATTGGTATATTTTGACCACTTGTATCTTTTCCCGTCAAGTTTCAATGAGAATCGTCATGTTGACATCGTTGATGACGGAAACTTATTAGGTAATCATTGAAATGGAAATGATGAAAGACGTTTCAAACTCATGCAACTCTTCTGACCACCCAACTTTTCGCATTTCCTTCTCTGTACAATCTCATGAGATGGACGAAGAGGTCAACATGAAAAGAAATTATGAATTTGAGATCTTTTCCTTACGCTTCTTCTCCAAATTTTTCTATTCTTCTCACTCATCTCAACAATCATACTTGAGCTTTTTCTTCTGCTTAGACCAGATATGTAGTAGAGAGATTTACTTTGCTCAACTTGAATAAAATTGAAAGAGTGTGGGATTTGCGCATAGTGGAAACGAGAAAATATTCAGAATAGAAGTGAATTCTGGAGAGCTGTGAGTACACCAATTGCCGGATATGCTGTAAGAAGAATTGAATCTTTTCCTTCTTAAGATATGGATACTTAGAAGCTTTTTCTTTCTTTTTTTCTCTTACTTTTGGCATTGTACTCCCGGCTATTTCTCACTTTTTTCCTCTGAAAAACAATTCCCAATGCAAAGAACCTTTGAAAAGCTGTTGCGAGAGCGTTTTCACCTTCTTTCCTCTACCAAAAAGAGTGGTTTGTTTTCACTACAAGAAAGAAAACATATTTTTATATATTTTTGGGTATCGATCAATATAATTAGCATTATATTCGCATGAAAGGGACATATGTTCAATGGACACTTACATAGATAGATACCTGTAGATGGATTAGTGGCATAATCAAGAGATTCTCATCCCTCTATTCTTCACAATTCGTTCCATTCACATGTAGGATTCATCCATATTTTAACCCTAAAAAAGCCCTCTGAATACTCAATTCCCTCCATAAATGGACCTTAAACTGTCTATTAGTTTTATTCTTTACTTCTTCTCCTTCACATCTCATTAAGAAATTCAATTTACAATTGCCTATTCAAAGAATTGAATCATATTTTTTTGTTTGCATTTAACCTTCAAACTCTGCCCCTCAGGCTACATAAATACACTGACTCTTACTATGCTTATCTACTTCTATTCCTTAGTTTCTCTTTCTCCGGCTTCATTTTCTCTCGTTCTCTTTGCCTCCATCGGTCTGTAGAGCTTAATTAATCTTTCTGCCATCTATTCATGGCCCCAATAGCAATGTTACCCATTACGGCCAGTCAGCAGAACCTTCGAGCTCATTCTTAAGCTGATAATGGCTGTCTGTGATGAGAGGAGGGTCTTAGACAAACTATTAGATGATGAAATATTTCATTAGGCTCATGAGTTTATTGAAAAGCTAAACAGCGTTTTTTCCTAGCAAGTCAGTGCAATCAATATCATTGATTTCAGTATGAGGAAGCCTTTGTAAGGTATTCTGTTAGCTTTTCTTCTCATACGATTTGTTCTGGCAGGTGAGACTAATTAAGGCTTTACTATGCATGGAGAACACTTTCGACCCACATGCATAGCTGCCAGACCATGGGGGTTAGAGTAGCATCTGAGAACGAAATAGTGTAAGAACGAAGAGACTAACTATAAGGTCAGACGATTAGATAATGTCAAAAGGAAAGAGAAAGACAGGCATGAAATAATAGAAAGGGAAAGGAGATAAATTAGCTTATGAGACGTTTGGACAGATAGAAGCAATAGGCTTAACCTGGCTTGAATACAACAAAGATTGTTTATAGCCGGAATTTTTAGTAAAATGCTAGAAATGCAAGAATTACCAAGTAAAGGTCACAACCGCTCTGCACGTCTTCTCGATGGGAAATAAAGCTTTCATGAGAATCGAGTTTTACGTAAGCTAACGTGTGAAGTTGAACTTCATATAAGATGAATAGAAGAGAAATGAGACTACTTCGAACTGTGTAAAAACCTACCTAATTACTTATATTGTATAGAGTTCATTGAATTCTCCAGGTGGCTCGATGCTTACGACGCCTTAAAAGTCATTTGAACGTCTTTTCTCTTGTTTCTCTGAGCTACAAATCATTTTTGTCCTCATAGCTCACATGAATGCTAACAGAACTATTGGTTTAATTGTAAGAAAAGGGGTTGTGAATGAAAGTATTATACTATTAATCCTAAATACTCAAAACTAGCTTGGATAACCAGCCTCTAGAAAATATATTTTCAGTTGATTGAGACTGTCCATTCGAATTTGTTTTTAATATTATATTGTTCTATAACCAGTTGGGATCAACAACACTTTTTTATTATTTCAAATCATTTTATTTTTTTAATGGATTGTTGAACCATAATGGATTATTTGGACTTTCCGCGACCCGTCAGAAAGGGACGATGTTCTTCCTAAGCATGTCAATCGGCATTGCCTTCTTCTGCTTTCAACATAATGCTTATCCACACTATGAATCTGACTGAATGAGTGACAGCTTTGCTGACTATAAGAAAATTAATTATATATATGTATATATGTATACATCTATTCCGACTAAGCGAAATATTTTGAAATGATTGTGGAAATCAGGAGATGGATATAGCACCAGAAATCCTCTTTTCATTGTTCTATTTATCAGATGGGAACTACTGTTTTATCAGTTTTTGCGAGAGACTTGGATATTGGAGAAAATGGAGAAGTTGAATACTCTCTTGGTGATGGAGAGGGATCAGAATATCTTACAATCCAGCCTAAGTCAGGAGTCATCCAAACAGCAGCTCCACTTGATCGAGAAATCTTGAGTCTCATAAGGTATAACATTTTCCGTCTATAGCAATAATTTGTACATCTAGATTGGACGTTGTTGCCACTGACAAAGGCGTTCCTCCAAGAAAAAGCTCCGCTCTAGTAGAAATTGGAATAATAGACGTGAACGATAATCCACCTGTATTTGAAAAAGATTTTTACAATGTGACTGTGTCGGAAAATGCTACATTGCCAGCAATTATAGCAACTGTCAAAGCAACTGATAAAGATAGTGGAGTCAATGGTAATTCAGCAATCTATTATTCTCTGTGATGTATTATTTTTCTAGGACAAGTTCATTATAGTCTTGTGACATCAACTTCATTACCAATAACTATAGACTACTCTACAGGAGAAGTTATATTGAGGGAGAAACTTGATGCAAAATATTCTCCATTCACTATATTAGTGAGAGCTAAAGATGGAGCGCAACCCGCACTAACCTCCACTGTTTCTTTGACACTGAACATTGAAGATATTAACGATCACGTAGGTCTTTCTTTCGATACTAAATATGAATTAATTTTTTAGGCACCACGGTTTATAGCTTCTCAGAAACAAATATTTCTCGAGGAGAATGTGGCAGTAGGTGAAGAAGTTGCAAAAGTTTATGCAATCGATGACGATTCTGGAAGCAATGGACAAGTGAGATATTCACTAAGTGGATCACAAGATTTTGCGATAAATGAAAACTCTGGAGTTATAAAAACTACTCGTCTGTTGGATAGAGAACGGGAGTCTTCATATGAGCTTCAAGTTTGTTTGGTCCTCATTAAATTTTAACAATTCCATAACTTCTAGATAACAGCCAGTGACTTGGGGGTTCCTTCTCAGAATACTTCAACAATCATGAATGTCATGATACGTGACGTGAATGATAATGCTCCACAGTTCGAGAACAACGAATACAACATATCTGTCTCGGAAGATACAGAAAGAGGGTCTCAAATTTTAACACTTCTCGCAACAGATAAGGACGAAAACCAGAAAATCAGTTATCGGATCGAGCAAGCAACCAAGGAAGTTGTAGCACTGATCGATATGGGAGAACAAGGAGCCTTGCTGACATTATCTGCTCCTGTACACAGTTCTGACGATAAAATTCGGGTGGAAATCTCAGCTACAGACCAAGGAGGACTCCATAATAAAACGATCGTGAACATATATGTAGATGATATCAACTCTCCTCCATACTTCACCCAACATCCCTTCTCTGTACGCATCCCTGAAGACTCACCAGTTGGTTTTCATGTTATGACTATTCATGTAAGTATTCGTTTCTTTGAGAATGTCTTGAATTGAACTTTCAGGCAGAAGATTCTGATCGTGGAAGCAATGCTGAGATTACTTATTATATGAAGAGTGAAGACTTCGAAATTGACGCTGGAACTGGCCAAATTCGAACGAAAAAGGAATTGGATCGTGAAAGTCAAGAATCGTACACCTTGACAGTTGTGGCTTCTGATGGAGCTCTGCCCCCCTTGAACAGTAGCACACAGGTGGAGGTGATCGTAGATGACGGTAATTGCTTTCTTTGCATCTTTTATGACCACATGAAGACATATTGTTGAATATTTTATTAGAAAATACGGTTATTTCATGAAAAATCTTCAAGATGCTCTCAAGATTTTTCTCTATGCGTGTATGCCAAGTGTTTCTTTTTGGATTAAGGCGCTAATTTCCGTAAATAATGAGACAGCTTGAACAGCTGGCCTTTTTCATCGGCTGGAAATTGTTTAGCCGGTAGTCTGTCTGCCGTCTCTTCTGCTCTCTATTGACCTCTCCATCTCTTCCTCTTTCCTATATGGTCCTATTGAGTTTAGTTGGGGAGCGCCAGTGAAAAAAGAAAGAAGAAGAGAAAAGCAACACATATGGAAAGAGAGTAAGAAGGTTTCGTAAAAGCGAGTTAGTCATTAATTCATAACTGATGGGAAATTAAAGCTTTTTTCTCGAGCATGGAACACACAAATCGATTCCGTGTCATCCCCTTGAGAAAACAAAAATGATTGACAAGTTTGACTGTATTTTATTAATTTCAACAAATATTTTGACATAAAACTAATTGAATTTCTCGTCTTGAGCTAAATTAAAATTTCGTCTACTCATTAAGTTTTCGGAGAGATCAAAGAGTTATTAAAGCAGTGACAAACCATATAATATTTCAACAGCTTTTATGTAAATTATCTAGATAATTTGTTTACCAAATGAATTTATTATGTTTTATATTTGCAGTTAACGATAACTCCCCTCAGTTCTCAGCAGCAAGTTATGAAGCTTCTATATCTGAAGATATTGCCGTGGGCACTTCCTTTATGCAGGTTGATACTTTGAAATTAGTTTAGAACAGAACTGAATATATAATTTTAAGATATCTGCTGTTGATTCGGATGTTGGGAATAACGGAATCGTCGATTACTATATGAATGATTCTGATGCAACGGTCATGCTTGATCTTTTCCGTCTTGACAGAACAAGCGGAACCTTACGAGTTTCCGGAAAACTCGATCGCGAACTTTATCCCAAGTAAGATTTTAGTTGCTTCAGTGTAAATATAAGGTTCACAATTTTTGTTTCATATAGAACAAGAGAAAAAATTGAAAGAAAAATGAGACATCTGTTATGATAATTAATTACATCGAGATGTCTATGTATTTTTCTCCTTTTTTGAATTATATTTTCTTCTATCCATTTCGATTATGAGCATAATGAGCTTATTGCGCAAGATCTCTTATTGAATGTGACCGGGATGGCTTTCTTTTCATCGAAACTGTCAAAAAGGTCGAACAGATGACATGAGATTCACACAGATATCAAGTACACAAACTGCGAATGTTTTTGTTGATAACGGATAATTACGTATCGCCACGACATTATGTGATTATTACCGGAGTGAGAAACCGGAAGAGGAAGAATATATATGTTAATGGAATTACTCACTACGAAGAATGATGTTCCATAAAAGGACATGCAATATTCTAATTGAATTGATGTTATTGTGTCACGAATTATACTACTTAGTATATTATCGATTTTTGATTGTTTGAAATCATATAATTAGCATATGAGAAGTGCGTGAATGCGATCGGCGTCCTTTTTTTGAATTTTTCATTTAAATACTTGTAAGCGAGAAGCGTGGTTGTTTTCAAATACAATACAATACTATCATGTAGCTTCGTTCTTTTCAGGCTTGTTCTACCAGTTATTGCCCGCGATAGAGGAACACACAGCCTTTCATCATCATCCGAGATAATCATAACTCTTCAAGATATCAATGACAATGCGCCTATTTTCGAGCATTCCTCTTTTGACTTGTATATAGCTGAAAACTCCGCAGTTGGCAGCTTAGTTGGTATGTCGTTTTTATGTTTTTCAGCTTTATTGTACTGTTCAAGGTACTATCCAAGCACACGATCCGGATGAAGGCGAAAATGCAGTTATGCAGTTCCGTATATTTGGTGGCACCGATGCTAAGCTTTTCGATATCGAGACAGATCCTGATCAACCAGGACTCGTTCGTATTTTAACACGAGCAGAATTTGATTATGAAGCAAAAACAAACAAATTTTATTTAGAAGTACAGGCTAGCAGGTATTTCTTTTTTACTTAGTAATATCATGCTTTAACCATTCCTTCAGTGGACAACTGAGTTCGACCGTCCCCGTCCGTGTTCATGTATCTGATGTGAATGATAATCGACCAATACTAAAAGATTTCATAGTTTATTTGAATCGTTATGAAAACGAAGCTTTATCGCTAGACGTTGGTATGATACCTGCTTTGTGAGTACTTTATGATTTTGAAAAGTTTAAATTTGAATAATTTTAGTGATCCTGATCAAAATGCAACTTTGGAATACTCAATGGAAGAAAACGATGTTGTTTATTCGGATAAGTACAGTGGTCGCATGACGTTGAAACAACTTTGGAAAAGGAATTTCGATGCCAGTTTCAAAACATGTGTTTCAGGTAATTTTTGATTTGTTCAACCACTGGTATTATGAATTTTCGTTCAGATGGCCCAAACACTGTTTGTTCCACATGTCGTTTTATCCATACATACGTGCATTCCAATTGGCTTAGGGAAGCTGTGACCGTTTCCATTGATAAAATATCACTAGACGACTTTTGGGATCCGGCTGTTTTCAACCGCTTCAGGTTATATCGGATAAAGTTGTTTCAAACTTTTCTGATTTTCAGACAGTCTGTCTCCACGCTGGATGAGTGGGACCCGTCCTTCATTCATGTTTTGGGTGCAGATCCTGTCAAGAATGGACTGCATGTTCACTTTTGTGTTGTGAGCAAAGGAAAACTAATGAGGTATACTTTTCCGCGTTGATGAGTTTTCCAAGAGTAGAAGAAAGAGAAAGTCACCGTAATTATATAAATTAGCAAGAGAGAGAGAGAAGAAGGATGAATTCTTTATCTCAATATCATAATTAAAGCCTTAATTAGAGTCATTCGGTATCGTCAAGTGTTTCTCTTTCTCGCCTGATGTGATATGCTCTTTCTCAGCAGGCGGTAATGGAGGTTCCTTTTCGGCATAACCCGATACTATCGAAAAGGAACAGCTTGGAGAGGATGAAGCATGTATTTCAGCGGGTTGACAATAGCGACTCTCTTGTTTGGAAGTCTTCAAGAGTATCCGCCTCTTGTCGTCGGCGTAATCTTTAAAAGAAAAAAGATAATGTCATTGTAGCAAATTGAAAATCAAGTGTTTTTAGTATTTCTTAATAATCTGACAGACATCTGTCCAAATGGATTACAAATTCTTGCGAGGGTTGAGAGAAATTTTAAAAACCATTTCTGGGTTTTTTTGGTTTTTGTTAACCAAAAAAAGAATTAGTTATATATGGTTACTGTTCTCTTTAATCTTGAGCTTTAACCGCTCTCAGTAATTTTTAATAATAGAAACAGGTGACTATGTGAATGACATTATTGGTTTACACGAACATTTCTTTTTATTCGCTTGCTCAATTAGGTGTGACAGACGGTTTTTATGTTCGTCCGCCAATATGGTCTGACCGATACAGAGTCAACAGCAGATGCCCATTTTTCATGTTTTTTTCTTATAAAATGTGGTACTTCACCATTTTGTTTCGAAAAATGATGTTGACGTAGGTATTAAGGGCTTCCCAACATCTGTCGCTGTAAATTTGCATAATACTCTGTAGTTTTCATTCAACTGTTGGATACAACTCTTTCATTGCAAGCTATAAGATACCAATTGAGATATATTTAGAGGTTGATTATTTCAAAAGTAGTGGAGCCTTGGAGCTTTCATCAAATATGTGTTCATGATTAGTTGAATAATTTTATAATTGCGAATAGTGTATTCATGGACATAATTTGATGAGTACCAGTTGACACTCTGTTGCATTCAGATGATCGATGTCATCCGTTGTTGCAATAGATGGAAGAGAGTTGGAATAATTCAGTAGATTACTTGCCGTTCAGTGCTATTCGTCTCCTGTAATTTCTCTCCCGAGGCCTTTCTCTACCACATTAGAGAGTGAGTAAAGAGAACTAAAAATTGGACAATTTAACATATTCAGCTTGTATGAGCAAGTGGGGTAGAGAGAAAGAGGGAGAACAATACGAGGGACGATAGTGAATTCACAGAATTTTAATCGTCATTTTAAAGGATTTATTTAATTTGTTAATTTCATTGACAATATCTTTAACTAATCTCACGATTGATGGCAGATGCTGTTAGGGAAACCATTTCATTAAGGAATTGGTTTTCATAAAAGTTAGAAGGGAGTGAAATAAAAAGGAAACATATGATTTCGCGGAGAGAGTTAGAGAGAGAGAGAAAAAGGAGATTGGGAAAGGATATGTGTAAGAGAAGCAGCTTGTAGTTTGTGAGGTAGTAATATTATATGAGTAATAAAGATGATGGTATGATAATTAGAGAGGAGTAGACTATGGAAAGATAGAGAGAAAGGAAGTAGAGGAAACTGAATATGCAATAAGAGGGAACAAGTAAAAGGGAAAATACAGGAATCTCTTTCGAAGCATATGGTTAAGCTCAAATGACATGTCAACAGTCGGTTGAAGCATGGATATCTTAGCCAGATATAACTTGTTTCTCCTTTTATAGACAATATGAAAGCGATAAAAACAAATAAAACGACAGAAGGCTCGAATAAATTGAAATTAATATGAAAATTTCTTACTATCGAGGAATAAACAGGGAAACAATAGTATGAATATATTTTTTTTCAGATCATGGAAAGTGGAAGATGTTCTCAAATCGGAATTTCATCGGTTGGAACGGATTTCTTTATTGAGAATTAATGTGATTCGGGATGAAAGTTGTTCTAAAGAGCCTTGTCCATTCTACCAAAAATGCCGACAAACACTGAAGTACATTAATAATAAAGAGGTTTGTTAATATCACTATTTTTCTGTATAATATGTCTTTTTTCAGTTCCATGAAACAGATAATTTCATTGCGAAAACAATCAAAACGTTGCAAACGTTCATATGTGAATGTCCAACAGGCTTCACAAGTAAGTCTCTTTATAAATATAATTATTGTGACCTTTCTGAGCCATTAACTTATTATTCATGATTACCAAGTAAAACACTTGAGAGCCTCTTAAAGACTTTACAGTCTCTTCAACAAAGAAAAGACTTGTAAATCAAATAAATGCATTTTGGGATTCGTTAATAAGTTCGAATAATAATTTGCGTGCCTCCGACCCCTATTATTACTCAGCTGCTGCTTCTTGCGAAATAATATGCATTTGCGTGATTTATAAGTAGCTAGTACTTGTTAACCAATTAATCAGTTTTGTTTTGCAATTGCCCATTCCAACAGCATTCCCGTGAACTTTCGTGTATAACCCAAAGTGGTTATCTGTAATTGAAATGTTCCAGTGTTTACCACAGTAGTATTCAACTTAGGAGTATCATAAATTATTCATGAGGGAATTGAATTAATCCATCGACAATTTCAGGTTCACTTGACCATCCTGATCAATGTGATCTTCGACTTGATCAGTGCTTCAACAATCCTTGTAAGAACAACGGAACATGTGTTTCTTTAGAAAACGGATATCGATGTGAATGCCATAAGAGCTGGAGTGGTGAGTATTTTTTCATATGAACAAAATAATCATTCGAGAAATTTTTGCTTTGTACGAGTTGGGTGGAGGGGGGTGGCTGACTCTGTAGAGTTTCTTATGAATCATAAAGACCTTTTATTCTTTTATGGTAATTAGGCAAACGCAGATCTAATTGCTAAAATAGAAGAATAGACAACCCAATATGCAAATCGCTAGTCTTTATTTCGCCGTTAGACTTCGCAAGTCAATAATTCAATGATGAAACTATGATTCTCTGGGATTTTGTACAAAATCTGACTTTATTCCGTCATCTCTATAACTGAGAGAGAATTATGCGATTATCACCCTTTCGCCAATTTGCATTTTGTTCTCAAAGATGGCTCACAATAGAACTTGAAATTTGAATTGAAATACTCAATTTAGCTCGCAACAATAAGCTTATGAAATGACAAAAGTGGAAGAATCGAAATATAAGATGGTTTAACCAATCTGTTGCCAAAAATGTCATCTCAAATTGAGTGCGTGCTTATTCAACATTTTATAAAAACTTTGTGATGGGGAAGTTGTTTGCCCAGACTCTTGACATGAAAATTCGAAACGGAAATGGGCTTCTGTTGCTCTTATAAGATCATTTCCACTCACCATATGTTACAAATATATTTCCAATTGACCTCACATGAGATAAAAAAGAAAAGAACTCAGCTATCTGTACAAGGGATTGTTTTCAGGCATAAACTGTGATGTTCCAAACGTTTCCTTAACATGCTTACCCGGGTATTGTATGTCTGATTCGTCTTGTGACTTGGTTGGCAAGGAAATGAAATGCCGGCATTGTCCTTTTAATGAGACTGACACTGATGAACGTTGTCGACTTCGTTCGTTAACTTTCAACGGGAATTCCGCAATTAACGTTAACAACGACTTGAGTCGGATGGATTGGACTTTGGAATTGAGGTTACCTTTCCATCATCCTTAACAATAATATTTGTTTCTATTCTAGTATTTCTACCATTGCTCATGATGGTATCATTTTATACACGGGACATGAAGAATCTGATCATTTGGAATTATCAATTTCTGATCGAATTCTGAAAGCTCAATTTTCTCTTGGAGATAAAAAGAAGGTTGTTCGAATGGAATCTGACAGACATAACAGGTAACTATAACTTGTTAGCTCAATATGTACTACATTTGAATAGGATAAATGATGGACAGTGGCATAGAATAACTTTGACATATTACGACAGAGTATGGCTTACTGTATAAATTCACGTCTATAATCATTTGGTTTTCCAGAAGCTGACCATTCTTTTGGACGACTGCGATGCTTTCTCTTCTCTGCATGCCAATGGAGAGAAATCATGTGCTGCTCAAGGCAAAATTGACTTACCGGAGAAGTAAGTTAATGAAAATTGATGTTTATACGCTTCTTATTTAGATGTCTGGATCCAGCTGTTCCTTGCTATCGATTCTTGGATTTATCAAATGGAATATTTTTGGGAGGGCGACCATCTTCAAATCAGATTATCGAAAATGGATACTCTGGATGCATATCTAACTTCACTCTGAATGGAAAATTGATCGATTTTTCTGCCATTTCTGATATGTACCGAATTGGAAATGTTAAAGAAGGCTGTCCAGCATTATCTGATTTTTGTTCCAACGTTGCCACTTGCTCGGATAATTCTAAGTGTGTTAATCGTTGGAATGGATTTAATTGTCGGTGTTCTCATTCTGTTCACAGTACAAACAGCTGCGAATCAGGTACGTACTGACAATAATATGAGTCTAATGATGTTTTCAGAAGCTGTTTCTCTATCAAAACCCATTTCCCTCTCTGATGACGAGTCTTTCGTGATTTATGAAGCTAATGAAGCTGCCGTTCCGTTCTCACTCTCATTTGAGTTCAGAACTTCACGAGTGGATACGCAAGTAATTGTGATCGAGTTCGATCAAAGGAACACGTTCTATCGTTTACAAGTAAACTCAAAAATTGAATATTATGTTTTAGTATTATTTTCTTCAGGTTGATGATGGAATCATCAGAGTATGGGTGGGACAGAATTCAATGATTGTGCCAATGCCTGAATTTAATCCGGGACATTGGATGAGAGTTCACGTTGATTTTGATGAAGAAGAAATAACTACAAGCATTGATGGCATTTACACTGTGGTCTATAAGAAGAGCTTATTAGTGGATTTGAATGCAGCTCTCATCTACACGGGATTGGCACCTTCAACTGGTCATCCATCTCGTTTTGAAGGCTGCTTGAGAGATTTGTTCGTAAATGGTCGACTTTTACCCGTCAAGGAGAAGGGAAAGGTACTACAATTCCAGCCAAGTTCTCTTTCTAATCTTGTCAACTTGAAGGTTCGGGCTGGATGTATTGTTGGTAACCGCTGCTCGATATCTGGAGTTTGCCCTAGTGAAAGCAAATGCCACCGAGAGTGGGACCGTCATAGATGTCAATGTCATAAAGGTAAAATTTAGCCATGTTTTGCTTAATTAATCAGTTTTTCAGGTTTTGTTGGTGATACTTGTATGCCAGTGTGTTCCATCAAAGGAATTTGTGGAAGCGAAGGAGTATGCCAGGTCACCAATGCTTCTTCTGGTTATGAATGCCAGTGTCCAAATGGTATTTTAAATTGTATTACTCTTTTTTTTACCTTGTATTAGGTCGTTCCGGTTCGAACTGTGAGAAAAATACCCCTGAACAAATCTGTCCTTCTGGATGGTATGGAGAGTTTCCGTACTGCCGTGCGTGCAACTGCAATGACGCCTATGGGTTTACATCACAATGTGACCGTAAAACTGGAGATTGTTTATGCGAGGTTAGAAATCTGAAAAAAAGTGAAAAAAATAACAAGACAACATTTTCAGAAGTTATTCTTTCTGAAGAATTCTCGCTGTGTTCCTTGTGAGTGCGGGCTTGGTGCTCAGTCAATGGATTGTTCATTAAACGGGCAATGTTTGTGTACTGGTCAAGCCTTCGGTCGCCGATGTGATAGATGTTCTGATCCGCAACATGTTAGTTAGGTTTCAGAGACTTCGTTTTTACTGCGGTGTTTAGGTCTTGGATGTTAAAACATTAAAATGCATACCTCTTCGAGACCGATGTCCATCACAGATAGAAGATGGTATTCAATGGCCAACAACTTTGAAAGGCAAAATAAACAATAAATTCTGCGCAACTGATAACATTTTTAGGTGTTGTAGCGAGAGCTTCGTGTCGTGGGCAGGAAACAGGGTTAGCAACGCGCCTTTGTGATAAGTCTGGCCACTGGCAAGAAGTTAATAATTGGAACTGCACGAAACCAGAGTATGGTCTAATGGTGAACAAGGTAAACCAGAAGTGATTCCGATTTTCAATAACGCTTTCAACAGTTTGATGCTTTGGATTCTTATGAGCTTCTATCCATGCTCCATAATGCGACAAACCTGGAAACGACTATTCGAGGACGAAACTTCGAAATTGCTCGTTCAGCTGGAGAGAGGATTATTGAAAATGAATTGAAGTGGGATTTTTGTATAGCTTATCTATTATAAGGATCTGATTTTCCAGGCTGAAACCCCACACACGTGTCCACATGCGCGATTATCATTTCACACAGTCACTTGTTCTGGCAATCGACAAAATTCTCGATTCTGAAAACCCACTAGAATATTTGGCTTTAGTTCAACGTTTGGCGAGTTATGGCAGAAGTATATTCGATATTCACAATCGAGTTACTTTCTTACAGCCTTTTGCTGTCATCTCGGACACAATTAGTAAGATATATATATGAGCTAGCGAAGCATAACATACACTTTTCAGTTTTTGCGATAGACAATCTAGATTTTGACAACGTGGTTCCAAAGTTTAACAATTTTTTGGATGATCGGAGTCCAAGTTTCCCGAGAGTATTCATAGAAACTCGCCATTCTGACAAGGTATTCATCTCATCCTATTGGTGTACTTTAAAGAAGTATTGTTTCAGATATTTTACTCCATTCTTCCTACTCCGCGATGTGCCCGCTGTGAGAATCCTATCGTCATTGTCTTTGCGAATACAACATCAAGGATACGAGTTGAATTCCCACTGTCTGAAGAGAATGGCTGGAAATATCCAGAATGTGTGCGATTACACGTGAGCAGAGATGCTAGAATATTTATATCTAGGTTTTTTTTTCCAGGAAAAAACATACAGTTCTTGGTCAACCGATGCTGTTAGCTTGGTCGGTTTGAATCTCACTCATGTTGTTTGTGAGTTCTCGAAGCAAGGAATATACACTTTATTGGTTAAGAATAATAAGGGAGCTTATGTAAATCTTATTCTTTTCATAACCCCTCATTTGATACCTTTTTAGCTTCGCCTTGCACACTCGGATAACATAAGCTCTCCTGTTCTCGCCGTAATTGCTTTACTACTTCTGACATTATCGTTCATCTGTACAGTAATCAAGAAAAATATAAAAACTCAGCTCATTCGTATGGGTTTCATACTATTCTTCACTTTAAATGCTGCTAATATCTACTTCGTTCATAAGATATCCATCAATCAAGTAGTTTCTCTTTCTTGTACGATTTCTACAAATTTTGTTTTCCAGGTTTTCTGTCCTGTTCGCAATGCTGTTTTATCATTCACAACGTCATCCCCGTTTGCATGGTTGTTCTTATATTCTTTACATTTGTATCGGATGCTGGCTGATGCTAACCCAAAATCAAGGTTTGTTTTTTCGAACCCAACTCGTTCAATATGATAATCTCCATTTATAGTACAACTGTCTGTCTGTTAATTGGATTAGTCCTGCCCTGTCTTTTGTCATGCGGTTCTTTTCTTTTTGCGGCTCAATGTTCGTTCATGCCTTCAGAATGGCTATTTTGGTTACTGTTGATACCAATAATTTTATTCCTATTGGTAAGTTTATCTAAACTATGTCCCTACTTCATCATTAATTTCAGCTCTCGTTTTACGCGTCGGCCACTTCTTTCCTCGTTTCGATGAACAAACAATATGACGTAGTAGTTGTAAAATTCAGTTTACGGAAAGCACTTCTTCAACATTTTATTTTGGTAATTTATTTTTTCAAGATTGTTCACATTTGTCTTTCAGTCGTCATTAACGCTTCTTCATACCGGACTTTCTTTATCTTTACCGCATTTGCCTATCCCTCCACCTCTTCGTGAGCTCATTTGCAACATTGTCCTAGTTGTTGTATCGCTGTATATCCTGATTTGGAGCTTCTCACCTTCTGGTGTATGACTTTCACTTCATTAGTGTGAAAAATAGTTTTTACTCTTATAGAAAACTGCTGCTACCGCAGATATGTGGCTCGAAGATCCTCAGAAGAATGGGCTTATTGAATCAACCTGTGCTCCAGATATTCACAGCCCCCTTCTCGGAGTTGAACGTGAGAGTTAGCTTATAAATATATTTTATAAGCATCGCTTTCAGGAGTTGACGTTAGAAATACATCAGAGTGGATGCCAGATGTGATTCCGGTTGATCCATACCTGACATCTACTCCTTTACCTAATCACCGATCAGCTGCTGTTCCCGAGTATAGTACCCCAGTTACTCGACTAGATAATCCGTTAGCTAATACAATTCTTTCCCCAGCAGAAAGGATATTGAGTGAAAGTATGTATTTTCATAGTTAACGGACTGATAGTAGTTTAATTTTAAGGCAAGTTCCGATGTGAAGAAGATGATGTCGATGCTGCTTATTATACCTACACGATTCAACGCCGACGACAGAATACAACCTTTAGCAAATGAGTATCTTTATATTAAAGATATCTTATATATTGATATATTTCCATTATTCTTCCAATTTTGTATCGAAAGAAAACTGGTGCTCTCATTGTAAATCAGCCTGTGTTGAGATGTTTCCTTTGGAAAAAATTATTTTTGTGCTGAGATTTTCTAGTCATTGATCTCATAATGTTCTTTCAGATGTTTACTTGTAGAAATAGAATTATGCTCATACAGTGAAATACCATAAATTATTCATTCAGTTTATTGTTTGCTCATCAAGTTTTGTTTCTCAAGTTGGTTGTGCATATGCTCAGAACGGTTGATTATCTTCTCACATTAAATATAATATTATTTTAATGACAATCTTGTATATTCAGACCTAATCTTTTCTCTCAAAGTATGTGTTAGACAATCATCAAACCGTTTGTTTGCACGGAAGTCAATTTCGAAAGAGAAGGATCGAAGACAAGAAAACAAACGGTCAAACCCGAGAAATAGCCCACGAGTACCAACTAATGCTAGCTGGTGTGTTCTCGTGGACGGAAAAACATTCGTTGCCTGTATTTTGATTTCCTTCTGAATTATTACATTAATAGTTCAGACTTGCTCAAGATACCACACATGTTCAGAAGGCTGATTACTTTTCCCTGGTAGAAATGTCCACTCAAAAAAAAACTTTTCAACCCAAGTTGATGTTCTGTCAACAAACCGCGAGCACGACTCTTTCGTCTGTCGCGTGTGTGTGCTTTCTTTCATTTTTTTTCCATATTCGCTACGAAGGCACTTTTAGAACTTCTTTAAAATAGTATTTTCTAGATCTACCATGGAAGCGTCTGTTACAACTTCTCCATTCTTGTTAGCTTCCGTAGACTATACTGTGACAGCTGTCATATTTCTTGGAGCCTTTTCTATCATTTTAACTATAGTTCATCTATTTCAATCAACAAGATATCGTTCTATTGAGGACTCTGAGAAAGGTACTCCTTCTATGTATACAGATTGCAATTTGTTTCATATGGAACAGTATTTTTTGCGAAACCATTCTAAACCAGCTTTTTTTTATTTTAAAAGTGAAAAGGTGCTGAAACAAGTGATGGATGATTGCAGGGATTATCACACGTATACCGAAACCACCTGGAGAGGGATATTCTGCTTATTTCTACCAGCAATCTGATGATGAGATGAAAACATTCGCTTTTCAATAGAGAATGACAATATTTAAGTTCTCTTCTGCTTAATGTTTCTTCACGGGTTATAGCTAGTATGATTGATTATTCTCTTGTTAATTTGAATTCTATCTTTAAAATCCTTTAGATGAGAAATAATTATTTCAAGACTTTCACACAGAATAAAGATTGTTGTATTTTTTCACAGGATTGTCAGCAGAGGAAAATTCTGAACTTTGGTTCCGCTGTTGAGTGAACGAGACTTCTTCTGCAATACACTACCGAGTTGAATTGAATTCATCAATCGAATGTTACATGTTCTCGATAAATCAGAGGATTTACCACCTATACCTCCTCCTTCACCTCCTATCCCAAGTATACCATTTGGACAAGCCCTTTTAAGCGTCATATCATTGGTATCCTTGATTGTATTCTTTCTTATTGTTTCCACGATACTCCGTTACCGTAAGAGTTCGTTTAAATCAGCATACTATTGCATATTTGTCTATCATTTCTTCTGCGAACTAGCTATGTTTATTACGGTTGAAGTTATACTGAAACCGAGGAAATACAATTATTTGGGTCTGTTCCATTCGTGGGTGAGATTGGATTGATTTTGGAGAGATGAGATTTCTTTTTTTTCCTCATTCAGGTTTCGGATGTTTCAATACTTCCTTGCCTCTCATATCTTCTTCTAATGCATTTCCGATCAGTTATAAACTTAAACCATGCACTGATTGCTTATAATCGCTATACAGCCTTCAACTATAAAGTTGATCAAGATTTGGTATGTCCCAGAAGGAATATAAAGAAAATGAATAGCTTATATCAGTTCTGGAGCAGGAAACGTCTAGGAGTCATAATCTCAACTATTTGGACCGTTAGCTTTATCCCCGTACTAATAACCATTCTGTATTATAAAGATGACATATTCTTTCTCAAACTGCCTAATGGAATTATTCAATTATACGGAGGGACAATCATGATGGTAGATTCTCGAGGTTTTTATGAAATTCAATTGAATTATTCAAGTGTGATGGAGCATTGGCTATCATCTCAGATGTCGTAGCTGTTATCATATGCACATTCTTCTATTTCACATCTTTTTTACAGAAAATTGATTTCGATTCACGTAAAAATCAAATTGTGAGTCTCATTGTTTGAAATATTCATAAAAGGTTTATGTGAAACTAATTAAGAAAATAGAAAGGAAATTATTCATATGTGGCTTATTCTCTTCCGTTCCATTGCTTTTAGAGATGATTAGAGGCAGCTTCCTATTCGTTGCAGTAGGAAATCATAATCAGTCGCAGATTGTAATCATAACAGAGTCTTGGTTCAGTTCAAAACATTCAAACCAATCAGAGAAAAAGTATTTTTCAGGTTCTATTTAATTGAAATATCTATTTCTGCAGAAGCTTGGATACAACTTATCATAAATGATAATTTACGACATAAATGTTTAGCCCTGTATTGTATAAGACACCCTCGCTCACGTATCTCTGAATCATCCGTTTTAGGAGGCAACAAGCCAGTTCTCAGAAATAATCAAATTTCTATTATTACTAACTGAATTTAATATTATTGTTCCAAGTTCTTACTTACCACCTCACCCAGTTTAACACCTCTTAGTTTCGGCCAGCACTTCTAATACTTCTGTTTCAAAATAAATTGTTTTGAACCCAATTGGTATTGCTGTTTTGGTTTATTCGATTTTCAATTTTACAATTTCTCATTTTCATTTTTTTTTGTATTCATTTTTGTCATATGTATATATAAATATAAATATATATATATATATATCAAAAATATTTTATCCGTTCATTCTTGCTTTGCTTTTGCTCACTCACCAACAACTCTTCAAGATGTTTTTCAAAGGTATACTTCTGAATAATTCACCTAAAACAGTTCTTCAAGGTTTGAACGGATATCGTTTCCTTCTTTTTGCTTCGATAGGTCTCTCTTTCTTCTTCTGTATAGCTCTATGCATTGGATTAATAACTTCTCTGGAGATCAAATCATATGGACAGCTTTGCCTCATGTTATTTTCATGGGTTTCTATGACGCTTCATATATCACTGGTATTAACTATATTCAACTACAAAGCATTGTTCAACTCGGCATATTATGTATTATTTGTTTATCAATTCGTTACCGAGTTCGGGATGTTTGTCATTGTTGAATTACTACTTAGACCAAGGAAATATAACTTCTTCGGTCTATACAGTGACAAAGTTTTCTTTCTCTTATATTCTTACATCTCATCCCTGTTCAACAGATGACAACCATGGCGGTGTTTCAATATAGTATTTTGACTCATTTTCAAATCGTTGTTTATTGCGGGCATACTTTATTTGCTTTCAACCGTTTCACAGCTTTATATTTCCCATTCATACAGAAAAAGGTCAGTTTGTCCTGCGACTATCTTATGATTTCGATAGATATGGAAGAGTTTGAACATTGGAATTCTAATTATCGTTATTTGGTTAACAAGCTTTTTATCAACTTTCTCTATCATTATTTCGACTCGCTCTGAAATCAAATTTGTTACTCTCCCCAATGGGATCATCCAGATGTTTCCTGGAAAAGCTATGGAGGTCACAGGAGTAATATGATTCACTTAATCATTTCTCACTTCAGAGCACGCTTTACGTAAGTAGCAGCTCCTTAGTAGTGGTGGTGGTGACCTCTTCTTTATTTTATACGGCCTCTTTTCTGAAACTGAAGTTTATTTCAGGGCAGAATAAACCATTAACGGTAAAATTCATTCATTTCTAGCAAATTATGAACAATTTCTTAGGGAACGGAACTGAAACTGTTATTCAGTGCTTTTATATCCGCCACTCCTTTGCTCCTCGAACTGTTCAGAGCACTTATTCAGCATGTAGCCGTTTTCCAATCGAACAATGATATGATTATTATTTTAACGGAGCTGTGGTAAGGACGAGATGAAAACACACAGTACAATCAACTTTCAAGGTATTACATGATTGAAATTACCATTGGGATAGAAGCTTGGATTCATCTTTCCATCAATTCTGAGTTGCAAGAGAATTGGAGAAAATTCATTCTATCAAATTTGAACTCTTATAAGATTACCGATAACTCAAATACTCCGTGATTGAATTCAGTCTGTTGAAATGCATTTATAACTACCAATAACTATTGTATTGTAGTTTGACATTTGGAGCAGCTTTGCTTGAAAAACCAAAAGTCACAGGAAAAAGTGTGACCCAGCGTAACTGTTTGTCCTTTTGTTGATTTTTGTACTGATTATGATCAATACAAACTGGAAAATTATTGTGCTCTGCGGCAAAAGTTTTCATAAATTTGTTCTTAAATTCTGTTTTCTTTTGCTTTTTCTTATTGCTTGAATACCTTGTGTATGGCAGTATTAGACGAGCTCTCCAACATTCGCAATTATTTATTATAATTTATATTATATTATGAGGAATTATAGGCAATCAGTCTAATGCATTATATAGATGAATTCTAATAGTTTTTTGTTCCAAAAAGCAATGGTCCAGAACTTTGAACTTTGAAGTTCATTCGCAGCTTCTATTAATTGATAACTTTCATCTCGAGAAAAAATGCCTCACACCGCTCACTACGCTCATCACGTGAAAAATGAAAAAATGCCTCACACCGCTCACTACGCTCATCACGTGAAAAATGAAAAGATGCCTCACACCGCTCACTACGCTCATCACGTGAAAAATGAAAAGATGCCTCACACCGCTCACTGGGCTGAACACCTGTACAATGGGAAAATACATATAAATTATCACGTAGTGCGCTGTAAATAAAAAATAAATTTGTACGATCGAAACACTGCTCTCAGATGAAGAAGAAGCAAAAACGAGCAAAGCCTTCGCCACTCTTTAATTGTCTGCTTTATTTTCTAACGACATCTCATAATTGTACTTTGAACACCTTACTCACATTCCCTTAGTCTGACCAAGATTGTTAGTGCTCGAGGTTTATAGTCTGGTCTAACTTCCAGATCATTCCAGGAGCCTTTTACTCTGTTTTTCTCTCTTTTTTGGTTTAAATAGTATTGATTGATATAGGTTCTTTCCTAGTTGTACAGTTCCTTTGTCACGTTACTTTTGCTTCTGATTTTCATAAAAAAATTATTCATTTGTTACGTTTTCATCATTTTACCCACAAATTAATTATTCGTAAGGCGAGGGAGAGAGAGATAGGCTTTGTTCTTCTTTTAATGACAAATGAATCTTGGTGGAACGGGTGAGCTTTTTGTGCGAAATTGGAGTTATTTTTGTGAGTACCATGAACCTTTGTGAGCTTTTCTTGGTTTTTTTATGAATATGGGAAGATCGCTCTAATAGCTGCTTTAATCTTGCTTGGTATGGGGTGTGTGTGACAGTGATCGCTTAACTCCTCTCATTGGTTCTGCCCAATGAGGAGAGTTCCTCTTGTGTTCGCTCTATCGCGAACTTAGGAGAAAGAGATAATAGTGACAAACAGATACTCTATAAGTAGTCTTGGTAGTTCTGGCGATTGAGATTCTTGAAGTTATTGGTTGATTGTTAGAGGCGATTGGAACAGCTTTACTCTTCTACTTCTTTCTTTGGTGGAAACAATCTTTGTAATCCTCACCACGCAGTCTTCTATTGCGTTGCTTGAATCATTACTTTGATATGAGATATTTTGAAAGGATATCTACACTGGCCCCACCTTTGTACCATTCACGACAAGATGTCTCATTCGGTCGATGTAGAAAGCGGTCTTAGTAACTGTTGGAAGGGGACATTGCATTGTTCATTTGTGTTTTTTGGAGAACTTATTCTTAGAAGAGTGTGTTAACTTCGGTAGTATGGGGTGTGTGTGATAGTGATCGCTTAACTCCTCTCATTGGTTGTGCCCAATAAGGGGAATTCCTCTAGGGTTCGCTCTATTGCGAACCTAGGAGGAAGAGGAAATAGTGACAAACAGATACTCTTAAAGTAGTCTTGGTAGTTCTTGCAATTGAGATTTAACAGTTATTGATTGTTGGTGTTGATTGCGAGTCCCTTGTGTTGTTCCTTTGAGAGAGGTTTTCTGTGCTATCAATTTCTTATCAAACTCATTCATCTTCTCATCACTTTGCATTCTTCATTTTTGTCTGATTGGAAGTTTATGAAAGAGGGACTCTGTGAATACTCGGTCGCACTGGCCCCACCTTTGGGCTGAGTTGCCGGAGAGTTCAGCCGGATTAAACTGAAAGTCAGGGAATATGAGGCGTGAAACTGGTAGAAGATGTTGAGAAGGAATGGATAGTTCGGTGAAACCAATGGGCAAGTGATATGAGAGAGAGAGAGAGAACCTTCTCCTCAATAAGAGGAGTCCTCCCTATAGCACTGCTTTCGAGTGGTTCAGGGAGGATTCAACAAATCTTTTTTTTTCGGTGATCCGGCCATCCTATACATGGAAACTGCAAACACTAGGGATAAGGGGCCAGTTGG